TTCAGCTCCAAGAACCCCAAGTTTTGCCAGCCTAATGGCGCTGGCACCTGTTGCCCCCCTCCCCGGACAGCTCTTCGAGGACTTTTTCACAAGTAAACGCTCTTACTCTACCTCAGAACAACTGTTCCACTTCAGAGAGGTCTTCTCAAACCACTCTCTCAAAAATAACATCGCCACCTTATTTTTCAATCATACTTACTACCTGAAATAATGCACAATAGGATAGTTATTATATAAATTTAGTATGTTTTATTAGTGTATTGTATGAATTTCAATGTGTTATATACACATATTATATATTATATAAACATATTAACAATGTTCAGTTGTTAGTTATGTGGAAGCTATTTTGAATCAGACTCCATCTTGTCTCTGAGCTGCCATATTGAGACTTCTAGGTAAAAAGTAAATAGGCTGGGGCCGCTCTGGTGGCGCAAGGGGTTAAGCACAGTGCTGTGAAGCTGTCCGCAGACTCTGCAACACAAGTTTGAGCCCCGGCCGGCCAGGGACTACCCACGTGGCGCAGCAGACCTCTCCTGACTTGTCCGCTGCTCTCCTCAAGCAGTGTATTTCAGTCAATCTGGCTGTTCTGCTCTCCACTCTTTCTCTGGTGAATCCTCTCACCCCCTGAACCTCTGGCTACATCCCAGCTCTTGTATGCATAAATAAATCTTTAAAAAAAAAAAAGTAACCAGACTGACTCAATTCCATAAAAGAAGACCCACTCTCTGATTTCTCCATAATGACGACTATGAAACAGCAGCAACAACCTCCTTATCAGTGATTAGCAAAGAAAAGGAAGGTCATGTGCTAAGTGTTATAAAGACCCCATGCTGTATTTTTTTTTTGGCAGCAGACTCCAGTCCATCAATTCCAAAGTTCCAAATAATCTAAACTTAGACTAGTTCAATGCTTCAGCCTTTAAAACTCCCTTATTCCTTGACCCTGATGGAGTTCACCTTGGGACTGCCCCTAGTTTATAAACCCAAATCCTAACTGAATAATCATTTTCTTGATTATATTACAGTTTGATTATTTCTAAGTCAACAGTTACTAGTTTATTTATTATCTGCCCACCCCAATTCCATAATAGTAGGATTTGTAATCTGTTTCCCGCTTTTGTCCCTCAGTGCTTAGAATGGGACCAAGCACATTGCAAGCACTCAATAAATATTTATTGAATAAATCCCTGGGTGGATGATGCTTCCAGAGGTAGCAAGGTCCCCATCAGTGGAGGTATTTAAGCCTTTTTTTTACAACCATTTGACAGTGTCATAGAAAAGCTGAGCATAGTCTCAGTCACAAGAATAAGACATTTGTGTCCCTTCTAGGATGATGAATCTGATTCTCTAACCACCTGCCCTTTCTGCCATGCAATAGGAAAAGCAAAGGAGTATTCCTTAGTCATTTTCCACTAAGTGATAGTATGCACACCCCTGTTTCTGCTGCAATATCATCTCAGCATTAAAATGTTGAAGCTAATCAGACATTTAATTTCAAAGTGGAAGGTCATTATCTTGTCACAAAATTTTATTCCAATTACTTTTTTTTTCTATTATACGAAATGAATTAAAAGTAGCACAAAACATTGGGAGATCAAACAGTCAATCAGAAGCTCATTAAATATCATTGAAATTGGTGCAATAAAAAGCATTTCCCATGGCTGAGTTATTATTTAAAAGCTATATTCTGGATGGCTCAAGGAATTGACATGCTGCCAATCAAAAAAATCACCCTGTCCATAAATAGCCACTTGCCTTTTAAAAGTTCACTATCTGCTTTTTTTGGTGGGGTTTGTGTGTATGTGTGTGTGTGTTTCGAGATAAGAGTAAATATCTAAAAAGATTTAAAGCATGGGTGTAATTACCATCCCATCAGCCCCTATGAGATCCTAAAAAGAAGATATCAGCAAAGACACTATCTGATAATTTAGAGTATAATTTACAGCAAGATGTTTACAAAGTGCAACCAGTGATTTTACAAACACTTCAATATATTGCATTCATGTACAGCACTCAGCTAACCAGAGTCTCAGGCAGAAAGAAGTGGTCAGTTTCAATTTTTTATTTTCTAAAGCATGATTATCACGCACTTGATTTTTCTATGGACTCAGATATAGGCAACTGATAGCGTAGGGATCTGAAAGCTGATCATTTTAAAATTTCTAGTATTTTTCCTCTAGGGGCCCTTTTTAAAAAACTATGCCACTAACTTTACCATTCAATTCTATAGAAATGACCAATTTCTGATGTACAGGATGGCAGATACTTTTAGTTGGTAAAATATAACCACACAAGTACTGTTCCTGTTCCTAGTTTCTTAAGGTGTTTAAGGGATAAAGATATAAATTAAAAATACATAAGCAGAAGAGAAAGCTCCAGGTATAGGAAACCATTTCTTCAGAACAAAAAACTGAAGAACTTCTACACACACACACACACACACACACACACACTCTCTCTCTCTCTCTCTCTTTCTCTCTCTCTCTCTCTCCCACCACCCTAATTTCTTTTCAAAAGCCAGGAGTTATTGGCAAATTATCTGGGAGTAAAGTGGGAGGGAAACATTTCAATGCAAAATTCAGAACTGCTTTATAGAAAGAAAAGTGTGGGGAGGTTTGTTATCATTTATTTCCTCCAGTATATCATTCAATTTCAGCTGTCTCACTCTCAGAAGAAGCGCCCCCATTTCTCACTTATGTGCCTAAGAAACATCTCCCTGGCATCTCATTCTCTCTCCCTGTCTTTCACCAGCATTTCATTATTTCTTAACTGTCCCTCTCATGCCTGTCTCCTTTTTTCCTAGTGATCCACGTGTCCTCATTTAGCAGTTTTCAGAAGCCAGGGAGAAACGTTGCAAATAATGTTAAATATGATTAATATCTTGAATTCCTTGAAATATGACATGCATGAGTTACAATGAAACCTCTTTTATTTCCCCATGAAATGCTTTTGCATAATGAGAAAGAAAATGTCCTCTATGCCCTAATCAGCCCTGACAGTTCCTGGACTCCCAAATACTTTTATTTATGGCATTATTTATTTCATCTCTAATAAATGGAGGGGGGACCACAGTAGATATGAGGATGCTGCAGGAGAGGGGGAGATGATCTAGGGTAGAGGCACACAGAAGCTGAACCAAAGTCTGTAAGGTAGTGGGATCTGGGAAATGAAGCCCAAGAACCTGAACCCCTAGAAGAAAATGGGTTACGCTCCTAAGACTAACAGGAAATCTCTCAGAAAGGACTCTCACGGATACATTAAGGAGAAGCACCTATAATCCCACCCCAGAGAATAAAGATTAAAGGCTGGAAACCAAACTGGAAGGGAGAATGCTGGTATTGGAGATGCCCTAGGGCTGGGGTGACTTGTTCAGCATGGCTGGGAGAATCTAGGCCACTTCTTTAGACTGGAAGATACTGCTATCCAATGGAGACTCTTCTCCAAACCAGAGACTCTGCGTATCTTCCCAAAAGTCCAGTCAGGTAGCCCCAAATGCATCAAGAAGCTGCCTAGGCATGCAGAGACTGAGAGCTCTCAGACGCTTCAGTCCTACAAGCGCATATACATATTGAATATATGTGAAATGACACTGTTGAAAGTACTTAATCATCCCAAAGGGACACCAGGTCATAGTTTTTTTTCTCAATGGCACAGAAAGTCTCCTGGCTCTGAGAAGATGTAGGATTTGATTTCAAATTACACGGAATTCTCTCAACTCGGTTACATCCCTGAGTGTGTCTGCCTTTGAGAATTTCTACCAGAAGCCTCGTTCTGTTTCGTTTTTTAAAATTTATTCACTTATGCATACAAGAACTGGGGTACAGGCCAGGGGTGTGGGAGGTGAGAGGATTCACCAGAGACAGAGTGGGGAGCAGAACAGGCAGATTGACTGAAATACACTGCTGAGGGGAGCAGCAGGTGAGACAGGAGAGGTCTGCTGCGCCCTGTGGGGTGCTCCCTGGCCAGCCGGGGCTCGAACTCGTGCTGCAGAGGCTGCTGGTTGCTTCATAGTGCGGTGCTCAACCTCCTGCGCCACCAGGGAGACCCAGCCTCGGTTTTTCTAATCCGCCGAATGGGGGAATGGCTGCCATGCCCTCTCCGCGCCCCTAGGGGGAACTAACCAAGTAATTTGAAATCCCGACGCGGTGCGCGCTCTTACGTCCAACACAAGCTCCAAGCCACGAGGTGGGCGAGAGTTGGGCCCCTCGGGCGCGCAAATGCGGCTCAGCGGCCTGAGTCAAGACCCTCGAGAAAATCTCCTCAGAAAACTGGGTGCGCCATTCCCCATCACCAGAGGAACCGGCGACACCTCCCCGGGCACAGCCGCCCTCCGGCCACCCTGCCCCGCCGCTCCGTGCAGCCTCGAGAGTTTGAGGTCAGTCAGGGGGCGCCGGGAGCACATTTCTGGGCTCCGCCCCCAGCAACCCGAGCCTCAACTCCTCGTCAGGTGCTCCGAAGTCTCGTCCCGGCCGCAACTGGGGTCCCCCCTCTTCCACCTGTAACCAGGGCGCCGTCCAGGTCTGGCTCTCCCCTTCTCCGTCCCCCCTCCCCGGTCCCGACCCCAAGCCCTCTGCCCACCCCGAGCCCCAAACCCCAACCCCCCCCACCGCGCCCCCGTTCGTCCCCGTCGGAGGCGCGCACCCCGACCGGCGCCCCGGCGGGCGGTGGCGGCCCAGGCCCCGCCCCCGCCCCCATTATCATTAGCAGCTATTACCCTAAACACTTGCTCTTTACCTCCTTTCTCCCTCCAGGCATTGGCGCGGCGGCCTGTCAATCAGCGCTCGGGCGGCAGCCCCCCGCGCGGGGGCTCGGCGATGCCAGCCTCGGCGACAGGCGGCAGTGGCGGCGTTGGCGGCGGCCGCGGCTCGGGCTCTCGCGCTCCCGGCGGCGCGCTCGGGGGCACAGCCGGCGGGCGGGCGGCCGCGGCCCCCTCGGAGCCCGGCGCCCGGCGGGGCGGGGGCGCGCGAGCGGGCGCGGGCCCGGGCCGCGGGGCGCAGGATGGAGGAGGAGATGCAGCCCGCGGAGGAGGGGCCCAGCGTCCCCAAAATCTACAAGCAGCGCAGCCCCTACAGCGTCCTCAAGACGTTCCCCGGCAAGCGCCCCGCGCTGGCCAAGCGCTACGACAGACCCACCCTGGTGGAGCTGCCGCACGTCCGGCCGCCCCCGCCGCCCTTCGCGCCGCTCGCCGCCGGCCCCATCAGCAGCAGCGAGCCGCCGCCGCTCCCGGCGCCGAGCTCCTACCCCCCCGGGCCCGGCCGGGCCGCCGCGTCCTCCTCGTCACCGTCGTGCGCGCCCGCCGCGCCCCCGGCCCCCTGAGGACCCCGGCGCCGCCGCCCGCGGGCCCCGCCGCGTCGTCGTCCTCGTCTTTCGCCGCCGTCGTGAGGTACGGCCCGGGCCCGGCGGCGGCCGCGGGGAGCAGCAGCGCCAGCGGCGACGGCGCCGGCGTGGAGCTCAGCGCAGGTACCAACTCGGGCGCAACTTTCCTGCCCGCCGCGGCCGGGGCGCGCGGGGGGCCCGGGCGGGAGGCGCCGGCGCGGGCGGGCGGGCGCGCGCGCGCGCGCCTCGGGGAGAGGGGCGGGCGGCTGAGGGGGCGTCGGGGCGCACCCCCGAGGCCTTCGCGCGCCGCCGGCAACTTCTCCGGGCGGCGCCGCCCCGCCGCGGCCGGGCTTCCGACGGCGCGCGCCGCCTAACAGGTGGCTCCGGCGCGCGGGCCCGGGGGGTGCGGCCCGGAGCTGGGGGGCAGCCCGTGCGCGGGGGTGGGGGACACGCACGCCCTAGTGGGGCTGTGCCCCAAGGCGCCTGGCGGGGCTGCGCTCTGGCGGCTCTCGGGGACACCCGCGAGAAGTGGAAGGAAAAAGTGAAGCCGGAGAGGGCCAAGGGGACCCCCTTGGCCCTCTCCGGCTTCACTTTTTCCTTCCACTTCTCGCCATCGCCCGGTTGCCTCCATTTGTCTGGCCTCTCGCTACTTGCTCTCCGCGCCTGTCGTCTCGCCCCTCTCTGGTGCACTCGCGCCCGCTTGCGCCGCACGCGTCTGGCTCTCGGGCTCTGTTTGCTTTTTCTGTCGCTGGCGTTTCTCCTGCGCGCTCTGTCTCTGCGGCTTTCTCTCTGCCCGCCCTGCCCCTCGCACCCCAGAGTCCCAGCTCGTGGGGAGCAGACACCGGGCTTCTCTGCCCGGCCGCGCGGGCGGTGTCTGGGTCTCGCCACTGCGGCCGTCTTCAGGGAAGGAGACCTCTCCAGCCCCCAGCTCCCCGCGCCCCAGAGCGCAGCGTGGCGTGGGACCCACCGCCCATGCCCACCCCGGCTGGGAAGACCCTGCTGCACCGCCGGGTCCCGAGCCGACCGAGCTGCTGGGCCCGGGCCCTGCAGAAGGGTCTCTGGGGAGTTACCACCCGGGGGTACCTTGGAGACCCGAAAAGAAAAGGCACGTCGTCTGCCCGGCGGCAGGGAGGGAGGTGGGCCGTGGAGACCCCCGGGCCTGCACCTCGGGGCCCTCCCCGTGCCCTGAGCACACGCGAGCCCGCACGTCAAAGCTAAAAGTTCCTTTTCAGGTCTTCCCTGGCACTCTGGAGCCCCCCCGAATTCTATATGTCAGTGAACAGAACCCAAGGCTTTTTTCCTCATCAGAATAAGAGCATTGTCTCCAAATGAGTTCTAGATGCCTACGCTAATGTTCGGTTGTTTGTCAATATTTTGACACATGAAGGATTGATTTCCAGAAAGAAAATCTAATTGCAGGTTATAGTGAAGACTCGTTCTGTCGCACGCATGCCTGGCTGGTTGGGAGATGCTGGAAGGTTTTGAGTGGGGTTCTTATTTGAGTGTCCTTATTGTTTGTGCGTCTGTTGTTTTTGTAGTTGCTCTGGGTCCAATGTTCTATTGTGTCTTTATATTCATTGTGAGGCTACTTCCATTTTTCTTTTGCCACTTCATTTTTCTTCTGATGGTCTCCCTTCGAAATGAGGTTTTCATTCTTTCTGGGTTTGAGGTCTTATTTCTTTCCTTGCTCTATCTTGTTCATGCCCATGTTTATTGCCCAGCTCTGCTTTGTCTTTTTTTATTTTCCACTTGTTTTTCAGAAGTTTGGATCCTTTTCCCACTTTCTGTATTTTGCATGCTCCTTTGCGTGGCTGGAGTTCCACCTTATTCATTGGGGTTCTCTGTGTTTGCCCAGTTCACTCACTCTAATCTTGCTTTTTCTTCTAAGGCTTTGTTGACTGCCTTTTAATCTTTTACTTACCTATAGGCACTGCAAGTCTGCCATTTCTCATTTCCATGTTTGCCTTGCTTTTTTCTGCTGCTTTTCTAGTATTTTTTCTTTTTTCTGCATCAGTCACTTCTGACCCCTTTCCATGACCTCTTCTACTCTGATAATACCCCTGTTGTTTTTGGTTCATAAGGAGTTTATTTTTTTCTTTACCTTATTCTAAATGTTCTTTTTCAGTGTTTTTTTTTTTTTCTTTCTTTCTTTCTAATCTTCTATTCAGTTTGTCTCTGCCTCAGGTAGAAATCACAACGTTGGTGAATCTCAAGGAATAAAAAAGGGTTTTGCTTACTTCCTTTTCTTCTCAAGGATTCTTTTCTTTTAGGAGAGGTCATAGAGAGGTAAGCTTGGTAGCACGGAGGATAGGATGCTATGTGCTTGTTGGAAAGATGGGAATGGATGGTGGGTTCCTTCCATGCAGCAGAGAAAAGTCCTGGTCCGCCACCTTTTACCCCCACCCCATCCCACCACCTCCAAAAAAGGTCATAGCTAGAACCTTGAATTGTGGTCATAATATTAATAATTGATGGACAAAGCCATCTCTTAACAGGCATAGTGATGTGAGTGGCCATCAGAGGGACAGTCACCTGAAGAGCTGATTGGTTCATTGAGGAGCCAGTGGTTCCACTTTGAACCAATGAGCTTGTGCGCACAGGCTGCCGGCCATTTCAGCATACTGGGTGGGGGTGGTGATTTGCTTGTTGCACCCTCACAAAAGTGTTATTGAAATGTCTCAGCTTGCCTTGTAAACTGAAAATAGTCAAAACATTGATGTGATGAAATGAGTCAAGGATAGGAGGGAGCTAACTGTCCAGAGTAAATGCAGTGAAAAGATGAAAGGATTTAAGTGAACATTATTTGCCATTAAGGGCCATAAACGATTGAGACGAGAAATATGTGATTAAAAATAGATTTTTTCAGCATTCTTATAAAATCTCATGAAGAGTATAATTTTCCTTAAAAGGGGTAATATACCATGGTTTTAAAAGCATATTTTTCCTCTGTGGGAGGCTTAGAGTTAAAACCCACGTAGATCTTGATATGCAGCCTAAATTTGGCATCAGGAAATGGGAAATTGCATCTTTAAGCAGAGTACAATCAAAAATGAATTACAATAAATCCTATATAATTGCATAGGTCATTCTCTTTAATGAGATTTTATTAACCTGACTGTCAAGCTTTTGAGTCAGGCAGATATTTTATCTTCTTCAACTGATAAAAGTGTCAGCTATAAACCACCATATAAATATTCATAAATCTACACATCTGTGGCAGCCTATCAGCATCATTCTTTTGGACATTAAAAGCATTCTAATTACTTTCTGTCTAGCAGAGCTGAAATGCTGCCTGTTATAGTATGTGCTTGGCAGGCATGATTGCTTTTGTTTGCCATCACAAATAGCAGCATCCTATTTTATATACCGATGGTCCAGAAAATATTCAAGGATTGACTGAGCAGGATGAATATTAGGAAGCACCATCTGGTTTTGATAGCACCGAGTATATTAACTCATCTGTTAATTTTTGACACATCATTGATTTATTTATTTAGAAAAATTGCATCCTGTTTTGCTGTGTTGATGTTTGCCATTATGAAAAAAAATTGGATGGCATTTTTTTTTAAAAGACATAGTTCATTGATTTAAGACAAGAGTAATGCTTCCAAAGATGCTTTCATTTTCTAACTTCTGTTTTCTATGCCATGAAGTCTTCTCACTAAAAAGATGCTATATTAATGTTTTGAGGAAATCATCTATTTTGAACTACTTGAAAATCCTCTTAGTAGATATAATATATGGGTACATGATAGTAGGTCACAGAAAAAATTTTTTTTTGCTTCTGCATTTTTAATATTAATATATTTCACCCTTCACTGGGCTAAAATCAAAAGGTTACCACTAATCTCGACTACTGTGATCTCCCTCATAGAAGCAGAATACTCTTGGGGATATGCTGTGATGGGCAAATTCCATTCAAGGCTTTACTTACAAAGAAGGATGTTAGAGTAAGGAGCCAGTGTTTGATTGCCGAGTTCCCAACCCTTTTCCTATTCATTTATCAGATTTAGGATGGATTAAATTCACACGAATTTCAAGAAATGAATTTTTTAATTAAAAAAATAATCATGGGTTCAGATTTTGGAATCAGAAAAGACAATTTGTTGCATGATGTTATCTCCCAGTAGACTACACCATAAAGCAAAATAAATTAGAGATGTGCATGTTTAAGAGTACTCTGTGATTGTGATTTATTAACATTTTCTGGTGTTTAATTTTTGAGAAGTTTAAGGAAAAAGTAGACACTTTTAAAGTACCTTTGTAAACTGTCGACTTCGTACTTCCCTGCCATCAGTTGAGTAGAGCAGTCTGTGACTAGGAGAAAAAAAAACAGTTTAAAAAAATTTCAAAATACATGTTCACACTTTGCTCAATTAAGAATCATGGATCAGTGACCATTCAATTGTGTTCACATTGAAAACAGAACTTTTCTCCATTTCATAGCGATAATGGGCAAAGCACAGTACTTGCATTTCTAATTATATTCTGTCTGAAGAACTAAAATATTGCTGGCTGCAATATGTACTAAGTGGAAAGATTTGCTTTTTTCCACCAAGTATAATAGTCATATTTTTCATCACATTCTTCAATGTATTGATGTTAAATTACTATTCACATATTTTAAGGTACTAGAAAAGCGAGAAATTCAACTTTGAGTTGTTATTTTAATGTATCAATTCTGAGGACAAATTCCAAATGAAGCATTTAAAAAAAAAAAAAAACTTCACACAAGCAATGTTTTATGATGGTAGCTAGCCTCTGATATTCTGAATGCACTTTAATACATTACCTTCATAACATAGTATATTGCATAATTATTTTTCTTAGCATATTATGAGTTTATCCTTCAATTAAGAAAATAAATCATACTTGTCCCTAAGTCAGATTCCTCCCCCCTTAAAATCTATACTCTAATGTGATTTATCAATATGATTAACACTACTGAGTGTATTTTAGGACATTGAATGAATACATTCAAGCAGGTCTTTCTAGACAATTCTGTTTTAGACTTTTCTTTCATATTTTGTTCCTTTCATCAAGGTTATGTTAAAGGACTACAAGCTGTAAATCAATTGGGACTATGCTGATTAAAATGCAAACAGTAAATACAACTTCAGGTCTAGAATGGGATTATAGGATTAAAATGAATGAAAACTGCTAGTGAGCTAGAATTGAAAATTCCCAATCAATATCATCCTTTGATTTTACTAATAAAAGAACAAAAACCCGGAAGTAGGGAAATGACAGTGTAACATGTAACCCTCCCCCATTTGTATGGTTCAGCCGTTTACTTTCTTGTTTATTTGGTTTTGGTCATTGTAAAGAAATGAGGCCCTAGTATTTGAGGTCTTCTGAAATTTTGAATTAAATCATGAGCTCAGTTCTTCCCCACCCTCCACCCCAGCTGAGGGCGGAGCTCTCATCAGTTCCAGTGTTTGGTGTATGAAAGATAGCCATATTGCTGCTTCTCCAGGATAGTAAGTAGACCTTACTTTGGCTGCTTCTTCAATCAACTTCCCATCAATCATTTCTAGCCTGAAACTATACCTGGCATCTGGCTTTTTTCTTTGCACTCAGTTGTGCAAAAAAATTAGCCAATGCCTGACAATTGTGGGATTCGTGACTAGGGCATAAATGTATGCTATAGATCTAAGTAATTAAAAAAGGTATGAATAAAGTATTCAATAAGTGTGTTTGATCCACTCACCCTGACAAATATAATTTTGTAATAACCAGATCTGACTTAAGAGTTTTCAGCCAGCCCTTGACCTTCTCTTCCCATCCCTGTCTTCCACCAGGAGGGAGCTCACATACATTCACACATACAGATAAATGCCCGCAGCCAAGCTTCTAAACTCTGGCACCAGAGTCTGTCTTTGGGAGAGAATGGCTCAGGAAAGAGAACATCACAGGCCCTGAAAGCAGTTTAAGGAAGGAATTCCTGGATCTTGGGTGCCTAACTGTGGGGAGAGAGGAGGTTATGTACCTGAATGTGGGAGAGATGGACTGGAGAGGAGATGATGTCAAGGCAGGGGCTATCCTGCCTATGTCGTAGCATGACCCTAAGTGTGAATGAAGAAGCACTATTCCAAGAAAATAAACCTGTGGACTGTCAGCCTGCCTAGAGTTGTATTGCCAACCTCACCTCAGCCAAGCAAATCTGAAATGCTCTAAATTAAGATTCTCTGCTTATTTGCAAGTGCTCCACATGGGGGCCTCCCTGGTGGTGCAAGGGATTAAATTTCTGCGCTATGAAGCTATACACAACCAATGCAGCACAAGTCCGATCCCCCTCCAGGGAGCTAACCCACATGGCGCAGAGGCAGACCTCTCCTGTCTGGCCCGCTGCTCCCCTCAGCAATGTATTTCAGTAGATCCACCTGTTCTTTCCCCATTCTGTCTCTGGTAAATCCTCTCAACACCCCACACCTCTGGCCTGTACCCCAGCTCTTGTATGCATAAATAAATAAATCTTAAAAAGAAAGAGAGAGAGCCCCACATGTATTCAGCAAGTATTTCTTGCGGTACTGTCCTGGCCCCAAACTCCAGTGCACTAAAACCCAGTGGCCTCATATAATGAGGCCTCCTTTAATCTGAACTGGAGAGATGTGACTCTGTTCTCAATGGTGATTTTTTAGAGGGATTTAGGAAAGATAACATTTTATAGATTTGGGCAATGTGAGGGATGGTTTCTGTGTGCCTGACTGTGCTCCCGGCTTTAAGGATGTACTCTTTTTAAATTTTTGAAAGGCAGGACTTGGGCCCTCTTCCCCAATATCTTTAGTACTTCATGAAAGAAGAAAAAAACAACACAGTGGGGCCTCCCCGGTGGCGCAGCGGTTGAGCACTGGGTTGCGAAGCTGCCCGCGGCCTCTGCGGCGCCGGTTCGATCCCCAGCTGCTCCCCAGCCACTGGAGGAGGGTCCCACATGGCACGCAGACCTCTCCTGCCTCCCGCTGCTCCCCTCAGCAGTGTACTTCGGTCCTTCTGCCTGCTCTGCTCCCCACTCTGGCTCTGGTGAATTCTCTCACCCTCCCGCGCTTCTGACTGTACCCAGTGCTTGTATAAATAAATCTTTAAAAAAAAAAAACAAAAACAGTGACTGAATAAGTACTACATAAAAGTTTCTGAAGAAAGGTTGCACTATCTATACATCCTGAATTTTTATAGCTATTCCAGTTCGTTGTCTGCATACAAGCCCTCGAGTATCTCTGTGTTTTTTTGGTGGGTTTTTTTGGTGGGTTGTGGGGTTTTTTTGTGGGGTTTTTTTTTTTCCATTTTAAAATTGTTTCTCCCCCATCCCAAGAGAAATACAGTAGTTATTGACATCTAAAATCTACAGTATTTTCTTCATCGTCTTTATCCTGGGGTAGCGGGGAGAGGAAATGAGAGGCATCCTCATACCACTACTTAAGCCCTGAAAAGTACCTCTGTATTTATACAAGGCCCACTCTAGGTGTGGTCAGGAAAGAAGGGAATCTGCACTATGACATTTACTTTTAGGGTGAATTTTCAAGGCCCTTAGACCATTTGCAATCACATTTTGGGTTTTTTGATTTGTTTTTTTTGTGTGTGTGTGTTTTTTTTTTTTTTTTTTTGTGGGACCCTCGCTGGTGGCTGGGGATCGAACTGGTGCTGCAGAGGCTGCGGGCAGCCTTGCAACCCAGCGCTCAACCAATGCGCCACCAGGGGAGGCCCCTTTTTTGGTTGGTTTTTGCAGTGAATTTTTGCTTTTCACTGTTTGACAGTTAATATGCTTTGGCATTTGCGTCTGTGAACTGACTGATACTCTTAGTACATCACCATTTTAGGAGCTTTGGAAATCCACTAAAGAGGCTCTAAGCAGCAGCACTGCTGCTTTTCATATGATACTGACATGGATGAACCTATACATTGAGTAGAAATCCAAAGTAGCCGATAAATGAGAATAGTGAACACAGATGTTAGTTAACGCAGAGTTTTGCTTTGGGGTTCATCATCATTTGCCTTACAGGCCCACTCTGTTTTACCTTAGATGTCTAGTGAGCTCTTCAAAAAGACTTATCTCTCTTCTCCAGTTTGCATCTGGGAGCAACGTACTCTCACTCTCGGCAGGGATTGTATCAGCTGATTAATAGCAAGGGCATGAGGGCACTCCAGAAATAGAAGTAATGATTGCTGTAAGCCCGCCTATCAATGAGGAATTGAGTCTGCTGTGGCTGGCTCGATTCATTAGAGTAAGGATATTAATGAAGCCAAAGGTGTGAGTTCAGACCTGTGCAGTCCAGTTATTGCCATCGAGAGGGAAATCTCTATGAGGTCCCCAAAGTCACAGACCAGTCCTTTCCCAGAGGAAAGGGCTGGGGGTGGGGGGTCATTCAACAGGCATCCCAGCAGTCATAGAACAATAGAAAGCTATACACCCTATTAAAAGCAGGTTCACCATGTTACTTTGGTTTGTAACAGATTAAGAATATATAGTCTTAACATTTTTGAATGTTACGCTCAAAATAGAGGACCTTACTTGTTTTTGACGTTCAGTCTCTGATGTTTCTTTTCATGTGTTTCAGAGAGTCGGATGATCTTGGATGCTTTTGCCCAACAATGCAGCCGCGTCCTTAACCTCTTAAACTGTGGAGGAAAACTTCTGGACTCCAACCATTCTCAGTCCATGATTTCTTGCGTAAAACAGGAAGGTTCAAGTTATACTGAAAGACAAGACCAGTGTCACATTGGGAAAGGCGTCCACAGTCAGACCTCAGACAATGTTGACATAGAGATGCAATATATGCAAAGGAAACAACAGACTTCTGCCTTTTTGAGAGTTTTCACTGACTCCCTACAAAATTACCTGCTCTCGGGGAGCTTTCCAACACCAAACCCCTCTTCAGTCAATGAGTATGGCCACCTGGCTGATGTGGATCCTCTGTCAACCTCCCCAGTTCATACATTAGGTGGCTGGACCTCCCCAGCAACATCTGAATCCCACGGCCACCCATCCTCTTCGACACTGCCTGAGGAAGAAGAGGAGGAGGAAGAAGAAGGCTATTGTCCTCGATGCCAAGAGCTGGAGCAGGAGGTTATTTCATTGCAACAAGAAAATGAAGAGCTCAGAAGGAAATTAGAGAGTGTCCCAGGTAACCTGCCATGTTTTTTGTAAGCCAGTTATAACTCATTCTGTTATCTTGTATGTGTGTATGATGGGGTTCTGATATTGGGGTTCAGTGAGTGGAATCCTTGGTTTCCCTCTGAGAAAGGTTTTGGCAGATTCTCATTTAGCAGCACACAATGAGTTTAGTATGGGAAAAGATGTTTGCATAGACATAAACAGGCAAAGGCTGCAATAAAGAGGGCAGGTTTATTAAGAAAAAAGAGGCACCTATATAGACACAGGTGGGCAGAGAGTTTTATTTGAAAGGGGCAGGTTTATTAAGAGACACCTGCACAGCAGGCAGGCTTCATTCAAGATCTGTGTTTTCCCAGATCAAGGGGTATCTTTATATAGTATTCTCTTGGGGCATTCATTCGTTTGTGGAATCTATCATTTCTGAATCTGATTGGGTTAATCTTTAAGGACTTGGGTTTCTTTGTAGTGACCCTTCCATAACACATCTTCCATAGAAGGCTTAATGAATCGTCAGTCATTTCTACCTCTAGTTTCTGGCCTTGTGAAGCTTCCTTTCTAAGTTTTCTTTGATAAGTTTCTGTCATGTACATATTCATGCATTTATAGTAAATGTTTGTTTGGGGCCAGTGTTGTAGAAAAAAGTTGGGGAAAACAGTCATGCACAAGATGCCCTTAGCTTACCAGTGCCAAAATGAAGTTTCAGGATGAGCCACTGTCTATGTTTAAGCATCTAGGTCTTCTTGGGCATATGCCTAAAAACCAAAGTTCTATTAAAAATTTCTCTTGGGCCTCCCCTGGTGGCGCAGCAGTTGAGCACTGGGCTGCCAGGCTGCCCACAGCCTCTGCAGCGCTGGTTAGCGCCGGTTCGTTCCCCAGCTGCCAGCGAGGGTCCCACAAAAAAAAAAAAAAAAAATTTCTCTTTCAATATGAAAGTGACTCCTAGATGTGGTGTAGTAAGAGATGGGCTGAGTGCTCTGAGTCTGAATTGTGTTCCCAAACTGATTCTGTTCTTTCTGTTCCTTTAAAATGGCTTTTGTATTTTTAGAGACTTTGATATATGTGCTTTATTATTCAGTGATAGAAATTAAAATAAAATGATACCTTCAGAGGCAGGACTGGAGTAGTGCTGAACAAATGATCTGTTGTAGCTGTTGTATTCCATTAATTTCTCACCTTTCTTGTTAAGTTTCAATAGGCATCATCTCTTTTTAGCATGCAAACTCCTCCTTAAAGTTAATAAGCAATTGTAAACAAAAAGAAATAGATCAAAGATAGACCAGTAATTAAGCTGATTCCAAACTATTTGTGCCCCTGGCTAAACATGAGGCATTTCCTGCCTCTTGGAGACACAAGATTTGTAGAGTAATGAACTCATCTTTATGGCAAGATCTTCCCTGGGTTGCTAAGCCATTTTTTTTATTTGGAAAGGTACTGACTTTGCGACATCTTTGAATTCATTCCTGGTTTTCAAAGGTATTGAGATCATTAGCTAGAACAACATCTTGAAACTTTTTACTTAATGCAGTCAGTCCACTGGTAAAAATTTTTGATCGTGTTGTCATCAGTGCATTTATCTATTGGTCAATAACATACATGTTGTACTATACTAATACATTATGTCCCAAACAAAACATACATGAAAAATTAAAAATTTTAAGGCTGATACACATTTAAAGTAGAAATTAGGATCTTTTCTTACTCTGTTTTTGCACCACCCAGTTTGGCAACTGTTCTAAAAAAGAAATATTGAAGGAAGTTATTCACTTATTAGTGCACTTAGAGAGCAAAAACAAATGTTAAGAATTGCCAGATCAGATGTTTATTTTCCTTCTATCCTTTCATTTAAAAATGAATTCCCCAAATAGGACTGAGTTTGGTTCAGAATATTTTGGAATTTAGATTTAGTGTGATCTCATGGGGGAGAAGAAAGTAGTGAAGTAAATCCATCCCCCTTTTTTGCACGGGAGCCCTGGGGTAAGAGGCAAACGCTAGGTGTCTCCCAAACAAATAGGCTCTGACTGGAGGACAGAGCCTAGGTAGGAACTGGGTGAATGCAGTAGAACCAGAGTGCTGCGGGCTTCGTCAGGTCTGAGAATGTGGGTGCAACTAATAAACTGGGATTTTACAACTTTCACAGTCCCATACATTATGGTCAATTAACTATGAATTTTATCACCAGTGGAATATTTTATCTTATTCCCCATCCTCGTCTCTCATAGGAGAGGAAGCAGTTGGTTACAGAGATCAGCCAACTATGCATACTTACATCAGCTTTTCCGATTGTGGGTAAGAGTTTCATTGTACAGGGAAGTCAGTAACACAGATGTCCAGAGCATTGTTGTCTAATTCCTCATCCTAAATATTTGGCGTGGCAGCCTTCTGTCCTTGGTACCAAGCAAATTTGGGGTTTAATCCATCTCCCGTTTTCTTAAATCTGTACCAGGTAAAATATCTGTGTCAGTGATAATTCACCACTGGCCCTCTATTCCCCAGAAAGATGAAAGTGCTGCAATTTCTTGACTCCTCTTGCTGCCCAGACATTGAATAACACTGGCTATAAAATTAAGCTACTGTTTACCATTCTTACTGCAAATATGCCAGCCCTGTTTACAACCCCCTCTGTGAGCTTGAACCTCTAACAGCACATGGAGAGTTATGATTACTTTAAATAATCCACATTGAAATCCAACTGTATAGGTAGAAATCAGTTGACAATTGTGAATAGAAAAAACAGTGCAAAGTTCAGGAAACGTGAGCTTATTTGTGATTACTTATCATATCTCCTCATTTCTCAGGACACCTTCATAATGGGCATCAGGTTGAAAGGGTCCTTTGGGGATGAAAACTTAAACCAAAGGGAAATGTTACCATCTTCTTGCCCTCACCTTTTGGTTAAATAAATCAGACTGAATGATCACCCAAGAATCCACTTTTCACTCTTAGCTGTGAGTGTTGGAGAGATAGGAAATGTGTTATTTTTAGATACCCCTTTAAAGAAAAGGACAATAAATAATATACTGGCTGTGCACGTAACAATATTTTGTAAGTGGTAACTCCCCTATTGATTTTCCCTAAAGAGTTGATTTTCCTTAAGCAGTTGCCGTTTCCTGCTTGCCCCAGTTGGTCTCTGTTGTCCTTACAGGCCAGTCCATTTCCCTGGATAAACCTAGGGATTTCTTCTCCTAGACTCTATCCTTATCTTATAGGTTCAGTCTTTTTACAGCAAAGCAGGATGGATGATTACAAAGGAGAAAGTAGTATTCAGCAGTTAGCAGAGGAAATAAGGTTAACAAGAAGTTGGGGCATCTGCCACAGATCAGGGCCAAGACAGTGTACCCCAGGCACTTCTGTGCCACTCCAGAGTCATGCTTTTGAGCAGTGCTGAGATTCTTGTTTCACTTGTTCACCTGGAATAAAGCACTTATGTCTGAGAACAGTTCTTGAAGTGAGAGTTCATAAGAAATGAGCCTCTTAGTCTGCAGGGAAAAATGATTTCACTTGGGCAGCTATAAAAGGGGCAAAGGAAAGTGTTAGACCTTGTCAAAAAGAGAGAGGTATGTTGTTTTCCATGCCCCTGAGGGACCCTGTGTTATTTGTTAAATATTCAACAAAGTCTTATTACCAGCCACATGCAAGTCGGGAGCTTCTAGAAAGTACTCACTTTCCAAAGATACTTGCAGATGTAGGCAATTAAATATTTTATCCCAAGGAAATGACATTAGCACATTTTCTTTTGTATTAGATTATCACAATAGTAATTAGACTGTTCAAAAGTTTAATTTTTTTAAAAGGAAGTGAAAATAGTTTTTAAAAGTCACAAGAAGAACAGATATTTTGGATTAGGAATATGGAGAGCTGAGAGGTTATTAAAAGTAGGAAAATGACAGGGAACCTCAACAGAGTGTGTCAAGTTAGAGTGAGTTGTCAAAGTTTATTAGAAAGCTTACAGTCAACACCAGTTTAAGAGCACTCTTAAGTGAGGGTGTCTGTAAAATACTGTATTTTATCTAGCTCAAGATCCCATTGAATGTGAGGCACCCCAATATTTTATATTCTGCTAAAAAAAAAGTATGTCACAATTGTAGATTGTAGTTATCTTTGAACACAAAGTTCAGAGATTTTTAATTGTGGAAGAAAATGTGGATCTTCAAATCATAAAGTATAGTTTCGAAATAGCTCCCAAACTTAAATAATGATGACACATTAAAAATAACTTGAGGGCCTCCCCAGTGGCGCAGCGGTTGAGCGCTGGGTTGCGAAGCTGCCCGCAGCCTCTGCAGCGCCAGTTCGATCCCCGGCTGCTCCCCGGCCACTGGAGGAGGGTCCCGCATGGCGCGCAGACCTCTCCTGCCGCCCGCTGCTCCCCTCAGCAGTGTACTTCGGTCCTTCTGCCTGCTCTGCTCCCTGCTCTGGCTCTGGTGAATTCTCTCACCCTCCCGCGCTTCTGACTGTGCCCAGTGCTTGTATAAACAAATAAATAAATAAATGAATAAATAAAAGATTTATTTTAAAAAAAAAAAAAAAAATAACTTGAGATGTTCTAAGTGCCGAAGAAGGCACTTAGGAAGATATATTTATTGTGTATCATCTCAGTTTATCCTCATAATTCCGTGGGGCTATACTATTACTACTGAGATATTAGTGGGAATATTAATATTCCCATTTTACAGACAATTTAAAACTTGGACAACTGAAGTCTGTTGCCACTTCTTGGATTATAATCCAGACCTCTTGATATGAGATGAGGTTTATTATCCCCATCCAACCGCAAAACAGTCTCTTCTCAATCATTGTATTTGTATTGTAGAAAATTGCTGTGAACACTGAATTATCGAATACTAAACCTTTACTGTTAGAGAAAATACAGAGCTCTGGTCACAACATTTTCATAGGCCAATCAGTGCATCAGCTTGTTCATGTATATTTTTGTTTAAAGAGACCTTAATTTAATACATAGTGTTGTTTGATTAACATGGAACTCACAGCCAGCCACACTATTAACTCATTTCTGAATATAGCTTAACATGCATTTTCTCCATGAGGCACATCACAGCTTCTTGCACTTAGGATCATCCAGTAGCTCTTCAACTCCACATGTAGGGTCCATCTTAAACAGAGCACCACTAACAAAAAACATAATAGTGCAAAAAAACTGGCACTAAATAGACCATTAAAGAATACTGTTACAACCTGAGAACTGAAATCAGAAGTCAGTGTTACCTTGTTCAGTCTCAGCTTGAAATGTGCACATTGGGCAACTCAAAATTTTCAATGATGTAAATGTACACAAATGACTGCAGGAGCACCCCAAATACTGAAGTTATAGCAATTGTAGTGAGTAGGCAAATTTGCAAATAAGAGATCTACAGATAATAAGGGCCAACTATACTACCTCAAGAGGCTACAAACGCACTTCTGGTCCTATTTGTCCACACTTGCCATTTCTAAGTAAGATTTAAAAAAGAAAAATCAATAATGTCAGGTTTTGGACAACAGTAATTTTGCAAAAACAAAATTAGAGTAAAAGTGATGTCAGTATACCTGTAGGTGCTCTTGCCACCCTCAATTTCCACATGCCCATAGGTGCCTGTGGTTTGCTTAGGTAGTTCTGGTCCTGAGAAACTGATTGATCATATTTAACGTGGGGGTGCTAGATAAAATGAAGAGAAGTAAATGCATTGAGTGAAAAAAAATCAGAGACGAAGAAAGTACAAATTGCGTACTTTGACTTAGAATTTGCAAAAGACATCACAATTCTTGCTGTTATTATAAGTGAAATTGAGGGTGACAGAAGATGTAAGGTAAACCTTAGTTTATATTTCTGCTACTGTGATTTTTGGCAAATCCCTTAGCCATTCTAAACCTCACTTTTCCTTTTCTGTAAAGTGAGGTTAATAATAGTATAGGAACACTGGAAGTGTTAAGTAACAACAGACTACCTACTCGTGAGAACTCAATACATGGCAACTTCAAGAAACAGACGGAAATACAGAAGGCTTAAGTGGTTTTCTTAGATTATAAATGTATTCGTAGCCTTATAAAGAGGTCACCATTCATTTAGTTAAATCAGTGAGGACCCCAATGTATCAAAAACTTACTTTCTCTCCTACTTCAGTCTCCTGTCCTCTGGATTCTCCCTCTTCCATGTCTATCTGTTCCTCTTCTCTCCCCACTACTGTCTCTTGGGCCTATTTCAGAGTGTGGACTATTGCCACAGCCAGTCACCCCCTCGGCCAGCCTCTGGTTTTTCCCCACTGAAAAGCCCCTGACCTGCTGAAAAGCCTCCCAAAGGTATCTTGTTGTCTGTGCAAGCAGTCCAGCACCCTCTGTGACATAAGGTCTTTGACTGTCTGAATCTTTTTCTAACCATTTTGGAAACTCCACCCTAGGTTTCCACTATCCACCAGGTGTTTCAACCTCACTGGACAATTTGCGATTCCTGAGCAGCCATGTATATTTTTATACCCGATCTTCCCTCACTCTTCCTATCGTTATGACCTTAAAACATACTCTCCTTTGCCTTGAGAGAAGCTCTTACTCCTCCTCAGTACCCAGGTCATATGACTCTTCCCCCACAGACCTTTCCCCAGTTCTCAGGCAGAATTAACCACTTTCCATAGCTCATCATACATACTTCTCTTAAAGGTAAGTTGTTATTCTGTGTCTGTCTCTCCTGATGTCCCAGTATGAGGACAGGCAGGCCATGTAAGATCCTTAAGGACAGAGACTTAAGTCAGAGTCATCTTTGTACCTCCAATTCTCAGTCCAGTGTTTTGGGCATGTTGGAGCATCTGCATGAGTCAGTTAAATTAGAGATAGGTCGAAAGTTCTAACCATGCTTTTTTAGCCATAACTAGGCTAAAGAATACTTACAGCCCATCCATTACTTCTAGGTATTTGCATTTCAATGGCTTCTATTTCACAGAGACCATGTGAATAGGATACTTAAGATCATAGAAGCACACAGATGGCATGGTCATCGGAAGACAGTAAATAATTTCAATTTTCCTGTGAAATTATATATGGTGTTTTTTGAGATAAATGTTCTGAATCTTTTTTTTTTTTTTTTAAAGAGGCATGTATTATTTATTTATTTGTTTGTTTATCTGTTTGTTTATACAAGCACTGGGTACAGTCAGAAGCCTGGGAGGGTGAGAGAATTCACCAGAGCCAGAGCGGGGAGCAGAGCAGGCAGAAGGACCGAAGTACACTGCTGAGGGGAGCAGCGGGTGGCAGGAGAGGTCTGCGCGCCATGCGGGACCCTCCTCTGGTGGCCGGGGAGCAGCCAGGGATCGAACTGGCGCCGCAGAGGCTGCGGGCAGCTTCGCAACCCAGCGTTCAACCGCTGCGCCACCGGGGAGGCCCAAATGTTCTGAATCTTTTAAAAATAAGTATATAACAAGGTAGGTTAAATAATGCTTAAATAATTGGAAGAGAAACTCTGATCAAGATTTTAAATGCACTGAAAATTAGGCACTCAAGACCCAAGCACCCTTAATATAGGCAAGAACAGATTTGAAGCAGTTTGCCTTGAAAGAGCCTTACTTATAGTCACTCAGACAACAGCCAAGTCAGCAGTCAATTAAATGGCCTCTATAAGGAATTCTCAAGTCTCCTAGTAATAAAAAAGACAATAGCTTACATTGGGCAATATTTACTGGGTGCCTTCTGCTTACATGTATTATTCTAGTTAATCCTCACAATGGCTGTGTGCGATAGGAAATTATCCCTGTTTTGTGGATGAGATAGCAAAGGCTAAAGGAGTTTAGTAATTTGCCTGGATCACATAATTTATAAGTACCAGAGTTTACACATTAAGGGAAAAAATAATGCCTAAGAACTACTCTAGGACTAATTCCCCAGTCTTATTTTTAAGAGTTATCTGGTCATATTATCTTAGAATGTTTTGAAGACCCCAGCTATGCAGATTAACCAGCCTGCCCTGACCATGAGAACACAAGCCACGGGGGCCCCCAGGATATCCGCTTTTGAGAGCAGCACACCCATCTAGATATCTTAGGCCACTGATGGAATACTTGTAACCCACTCAGTGTTTGCTTTTGTTGGCACAAAAGATCTTCCTACTTTGTTCTTTTCTTCCCGAGTATTTTACTCCTTCCAGGATTATCTGATAGACTTTTTTAAATGTTTCATAGAGGGGAAAATATGTACCATCAATATTAGAATAAGTACTAGGGATATTTTGGGTACTTTTATGTCTTTCCTGCCTTTATCAAAGTTTCTGCTGTTTTTGGTTCTTCATTTATTTTCTCTTTAAATCTACTAGATGCATCTGACTTTTTTGCAAAATGAATTAATGAAACATGCCCAGTGGGTGTGAGGTGGTATCTTCTCCATCGCATGAGTGAATTGCTTAAAATTCATAATTTGCATGAGGAAGCAATTACATGTGTATACCTCTGGGGCATAATGGGCTCCTTAAGAATCCTGTGGGTTGTTTTTTATTCTTCTAAAAGCCCTGATCTCCCTTCTTCCCTTGGAGGCCACAATTGCAGCGTCTGGCCTACACTGCACAGAAGCATGCACTATTGCTGGCCCCTTAGTCACCATCTGTGAGGATCCCATGTTCTCACTTAGGAATTCTGCATGTCCACAGAACTTTAACTGTAGGTTAACAGAATGGGCAAGAGGACAGAGACTTTCCACCATTCTGAATGCAGTGCCCGTGCTTCTCCCTTTCATCCCCACTTTAATAGATACAACTATTTCCATTTCCAGGCGGACTGATTTTTTTTCCCCCATCACAGAAAATGTTTCAGCTTCCCTGTGTAAATCTAGAGAATTCGCCATAGCACCCCCAGTTAGGAGCAGTGCTCCAAATATGTTACCAACAGGGGCATACTCTGACCTTCGACTGGAGGGGGCCTGCTAAGAATCAGATCTAGTTGTTCATCAGGGGCTGAAGAGGAGGAGGTTGCTCAGAGCTCAGAGCAGTGACCACATGAGTTTTAATAGTTTGCTAGAAAGGAGCCTGTCTTAGTCTTCCTGGCCTTAGCTTTGTGCCCAGTCACCAACATACAGGACCCACTTGCCTTAAATAGAACCCACTACTGCTAGTAAACACATGAAATTCCCTTTTCTTCCAAAATATTTGAATCAGCTGGCCTTGCTCCTAGCTTGATACTGCTGCCTAAATATGGGGTGCAGAGAATGGGAAAGTTGATTTCTCCCCTAACAACACTGAAAAGGTGAGACAGAAAGCAGAAGAGGACCAGCAAGAGTTACATAGACATTCCTCAAACATCTTTTAATTTACAATGTAAGCCCATGTAGAAATTTTTTTATTCTAGGAATGATTAAAAAAATAAAAGTAGGGCCTCCCCGGTGGCGCAGCGGTTGAGCGCTGGGTTGCGAAGCTGCCCGCGGCCTCTCCGGCGCCAGTTCGATCCCTGGCTGCTCCCCGGCCACCCGAGGAGGGTCCCACATGGCGCGCAGACCTCCCCTGCCGCTCGCTGCTCCCCTCAGCAGTGTACTTCGGTCCTTCTGCCTGCTCTGCTCCCCGCTCTGGCTCTGGTGAATTCTCTCACCCTCCCGCACTTCTGACTGTACCCAGTGCATGTATAAACAAAAACAAACAAACAAATAAATGAATAAATAAATAAAACATGCCTCTATAAAAAAAAATAAAAGTAATAACTATCCCAGTCCTGCCAATAACATGTAATGATGGCTAATTATTAACATGTTGGTTTATATTTCTTTCCAGTCCTTTCCCTATACACGTAATTTTTAACATGGTGGAAGTCCATGATCTATTTGGTTTTGTGTGTTCCCTTGTCATAGCATTTTTATGCTTCCTTTAAAGATTTTTTCCATAAAGATCTTAGTGACTATAAAGTATGGATAAAGAATCAAAAATTCATTCAGATCCTTGTCCATGAGTATTTACAAGTTTTACTAAAACTCCCAACCAAATCCAGAATAATACATTGGCAGAGCAGTGACATGTGTAGCCGTATTTCATTCTAACCACAAACTGTAAAGGGCATATAAAAGTTTGAGGCTGTTGGGAGCCTCACGCTCAGCCCTTTGTAGAAGAAACGTAGTCACAGAAGTTGAGTAGAGTCCCAAAGACCACACAATGGAAAAACCCAGAGCCCAAATGTAAACCTGTGTCCTCTGTCCTTTAGTTTCTGCCAAGTGCCAGAACATGCATCCTCACTCACCAAGACACTTGTATGGTGGGTTAGGCTTTTAGTAGATTGCTGAAATGAGGGGTACATGACACATTTTCTTACATGTTAAACGATGTGTGCATGCCTTTTTTTGGTTGACAGTTGTGGTTCATGAACAGTGACACTGGTCTATAAGACACAGGTCTATAGGGATGATGATCCAGTACTCTGGGATTATACAAACTGAGAATACAGAAAAAATCAATTATGTTTTTCCATAAATATGGATTTCTTTAGAAAATTAACATTAATCCAGGACTTTTGGAAGTTCCAAATTTATGGCAAATAAATATATTGAATGTAATACCACCTCTCCTCCCAAAAAGGATGATTGTTTAAGAAAATATTTTTTTTGGCAAGAACAAGTTTCCAAATGTACTTATATTTCCTATCATTCAAATTCTTTAAATGGATGTTGGTGTCATGTTATAACATGATCTTACCTAAAAGCAAAGTGAAGAAAATTCAGTGGTAATACTTTAAAATTGGGGCTTAACTTAAATGTTTTTTATTATCTCTAATGTGACAAAAACGTCTTAAGAAAATACACAGCTAAGAGAGATTGTGGCAGGCCTCCCCGGTGGTGCAGCAGTTGAGCGCTGGGTTGTGAAGCTGCCCGCAGCCTCTGCAGCGCTGGTTCCATCCCCGGCTGCTTCCCGGCCACCAGAGAAGGGTCCCACATGGCGCGCAGACCTCTCCTGCCGCCCGCTGCTCCCCTCAGCAGTGTTCTTCGGTCCTTTTGCCTACTCTGCTCCCCGCTCTGGCTCTGGTGAATTCTCTCACCCTCCTCCGCTTCTGACTGTACCCAATGCTTGTATAAATAAATAAATAAATCTTTAAAAAATAAAATAAAATAAAATAAAATGCTTCTCTTAAAAAAAAAAGAGAGATTGTGGCAATAGTTTGCATATATTAGGTATGAATGAAACTACCAAGACCTTTAAAAGCAATTAGTTAATACTCCTGAAAGGACACTAATATAAATCATAAGATGTAGGAATTATTTATGCAGTAGTACAAAAAATGGCTGGCTCTATGTTGGGTTAACAGCTGTTTGATTTTTATTGTAAATACTCGATTCTATAAGAGGAGGTCGCAAAAAAAAAAAAAAATAGTGCAGCTATTAATGAAACACATATTAGCCAAATCAGTGGAGCTTCCCAAAAGAAGAACTATGGCCAGGTATATTTGTGTTGGAATGCAGGTCTACATTGCATGGAATTCCTGCTTTACTGAAAAAGTAGGAATGAATCTGTCCTTAGAAATGAGTATTATATTATTGATTAAAGACTAATGAAACATTATCTTCCAGTACTTTAATTTTTAAAAGCCTCACTGGGTGCTCATGTGACAACTTGAATCAAAGACCTAGCTCTTCTGTAAGTTGTTCATTGATAGTTATTGTTGACCCAAATTCATCTTAGAGTAAGTTTTACTTGAAAGTTTTTAGTGAATTGTGCTGAGCCTAAAAATTCTCCCCAGGCCATAGCATCTGTTTCTGTATTTACAAACTGAAATAACTACGGATGTCAAATGAAAGAAGATTCTATTTTCTTGAGAAAATAAGTGGTTTTTTTTTTTAGAAGTTTACATCAAAAATCTTTTTAGACTTTAAATTTGTTTTCTTGTTACAGGATAGCTAATGTGTAATGCTTGCCATTTCTTCCCCCCAGTGCCCTGCCAGACTGTTTTAGATTACTTGAAGACAGTGCTGCAGCATCACAACCAACTCCTGATCCCACAGCCAGCTGACCAGCCCACCGAGGTAGGTATTTAGTCTAAAGATCAGTGGGGTTCCATTTGGAATTTCCTTAAGATGAAGCACCTTTGTGATTTATACATCTATGCCAAAACAAGTTGACTAGCAAATACAGTTTGGAGTATATATGCTGTGGTGTAAAAGCATGTGAGGCTCTAACTCACAAATAATAGATCTGTTCTCAAGGTGGGGAGGGATGGAATAGCATTTTAAATTATGTGGGAAATTCTTCCACCAATTCACAAAGGAACCCAAAATGGGAAACACAGACCTGTCATTCCCTCAGGCAGAGCCAGTGTTCCTGAGTACCCCATCTTCGGGCCTCCTCCATGCTGAGTGAGACTCAAGTGTTTGGATGGATGTTTCCAGACATTAGAGCCCCCAAATATGAGCATTTTCTTCTTTACCGTGGAGGAAACTAATGTCTTCCAAGTAAAGGTCTATTTGATGGTATTGATGTATCTGTTAAAACATGGTACATTTTTTCAGGATTTACAAAGTTCAGTCTGCAGATGTTATTTTTAACTTATGATTTTAGAACCTCAGTCAAGTGGAAGAAGACCCTACACTGTACCTTCTGGAGTCATCAATGTTTTGGATTGATAACCGTAGATAATATACTATTTAATTAGTTAAAATTTCTTTACCTATGAAATTGTTAATATTAGGATGTTGGTCTGTTGACATCCCTATGTCTACTTAAAATCATCTTAAAATTCCACCCTGGTGCTTACCATTCAGTAGATCCAACTGCACTCATGTTCTTCCTGTTTCTGTCCTCTGGAGAAATACCAAGAACACAGTTTCCAGTTTTCTGCACATAAGAGAGTAGAGGATAGAAAATGCATCAGTTTAGTGCAGAATAAAACTCTTATATACCAGTGTAGCCCCAGACTTGTTTAGCAGTTGCTCCCTCTCCCTGTAATTTAGAAGTGCTGTTTCACAGGTCTGCTCTTGCCTGCAGCCCTCATCTTAATCCTAGTGCCACCGCCCACCCTCTTGAATTCAGCAAAAAAAAGTAAGAGACAAAAACAGATTTAATCCACTGAATCTCAACACACTGATTACTTCATGCATATCCCATACCCCAAAAGAAGCACTGTGCCTCCCTCTTAGTAATGTCTGTTCTGTGACCTAATGCTGCCTCCCCCTTCTAGGACTCTGCCATCACTTACTCCTCATCCCCTGCAGTGAGCTCTCCCTTGCTCTTGGAGCATTCCCTTGGGTATCAAACACACTCGAGTCTTTCCACCCTAAAAGGAAACTTTCCTTTGATTCTTCATCAATTTTTGTCATTCCTTTTGCCTTCCATCATCCAAAGCATCCTCTGTCAGCAATTTCCTTCTCCACCATGACACATCTCACTCCTTGAGGGTTGAGCCCTGGTCTCACTCCCATCAGCATCCCCAGTACCTGTCCCAGAAGGCACTTGCTGAAGGGTGGCCTCATTTTTTTAGTGTTTTTGCTTAAACATTTGAAAAATCTATATCCATTTTCTTCACTCTCTTAGTTCCTATTTGTGTTTCTACCCCCTGAAATCTGATTCTGTCTTCACAGCTTATCAGAATGCTCTGCAAGTGACTTTCCAGTCATCTAGTCCAGGGGCCTGTTACTAGTCCTCATCATCCCCAGGACCTCAACCCCACCTTCTCTGTACTCACCTTTTGCCTTAGACTTCATGTCAGGACCCTCTTCTGTTTCTCCGTCCTTACCATGCTTTAACAAATTAGAAGATTCTTTTTTCTTTACTCAGTATATTGGAAAGTTACTTTTCTAAAATATAGATCTGAAGTCATCGTCACATGCTTAAAACACTTTGATTCCTAGAATGAAGTCCACATTTCTTTCCTTGACATTTATACTATACAAAAAGCACATCTGAAAAGCCTACTTCCTACTGGTTGCAGTACCCTTGTGTGCTCACATAGCACATGGTTTTATATGGCTAATTCAGAATTTGTTTATTAGTTAATCTATACCTGTGCCTTCCATTCAGTTGTGAGTTTATGAAAACCTTAAACAATGTTCATCTTGGTTTTTTCAAAATAACTCAATGACAGGTCAGAGTTGACTAACCTGTTAGTGACTAATTGAAGAGAATATATAGTCAGAATTCTATAAAAACATATAAAAGTAGAATAAAAGAAAAAAAATTCCTCTGGATAAGACTACTTAAACTTTCATTAGCCTTCATCATCATCATTACTGTTTCTGTCATTTCAGGCATATAAACTTTTTCACTTTAGTACTATTTATCATATTTCTTTTTTTTTTTTAAGATTTATTTATTTATGCATATAAGAAACGGGGTACAGAGGGTGAGAGAATTCACCAGAGACAGAGCAGGGAACAGAATAGGCAGACTGACTGAAACACACTGCTGAGGGGAGCAGTGGGAGAGACAGGAGAGGTCTGCCCCGCCATGCAGGTAGCTCTGTGGCCGGCCTGGGATTGAAGTCATGCTGCAGAGGCTGCGGACAGCTTCACAGTGCTGTGCTTAAACCCCTTGCTCCACCAGGGAGGCCCCACTATTAATCACATTTCTATTAACTGTGCTAAAACAAAGACCCGTCTCATCCACAATACAGAGAACATTCCAAGTTGTGTTTGGGGCTGTAAATTATTTTCTTTCTGTTCGTTTTTCTTGAAGAAAATTACCTCTAAACGGCATTTCCACATCTTGTATAGAACTGCTACATTTTAGAAGAGCTGATGAGTTGTTCTGTATGAGTGGAATTTTTAAGGGCTTGCAAAAAGCTCTTTCCTTGGTTTATCTACTCCCTTACCTCAAGTACCTCCCATCGTGAAATAGCCTCAACTCTGATTTTAGGGATGCGCTCTTAATTGAGATAGAGGGTTCCCAGCTCTGCCTTTTGACTTAGTTGACCTTTGGGAAGGATTTATTCTCCTTAGCCAAACAGCTATGGGAATCCTGCCTTGCCAGCTGAACTGACACACCTGAGGGAAAGCTGTTTTTGTTTTGTTTTTTTTTTTAAAGATTTATTTATTTTTACAAGTATCGTGGTACAGGCCAGAGGTATGGGAGGGTGAGAGAATTCACGAGAGACAGAGCGGGGAGCAGAACAGGCAGACGGACCGAAGACACTGCTGAGGGTAGCAGTGGGCCAGGCAGGAGAGGTCTGCTGTGCCATGTGGGAATCGAATCCGCGCTGCAGAGGCTGCAGAGAGCTTCACAGCGCTGTGCTTAACCTGCTGCGCCACCGGGGAGGCCCCTGAGGGAAAGCTGCTTTTAAAACTTGAATAAGGTTTAATAAATAGAAGGTTTTACTAGTAACTGCAGTCTCCTTTTCTGAGATTTACCCGTGTACTAACTGAGAGGATAGTTGCAGCTTAAGGACTGGAGGTATCTGAAAGGTCCATGCAGCAGGCCACAATGCAAAAGCCTACCCGGAAGCCCACCTGGGGGGCAGGAATGCGGATACCTGCCTGGAGGACTCAGACAATGAGCCTTCCCCCCCCCCCCCCCCCCTACGAGTCTCTTCTCAGACAAAGAACCTCTACCTGCCCTACAAACTCCCCCCCCCCCCCTATGAGCCCAACTACCCACCTGACCTCTCCTCACCCTATAAAACCCTGCTTCCCCCTAACAACCTGCGCGGCTTCACTGACCCCCACCTTGGGTGCATGAGGTCCGCCCGGGGCGCAATAAACTTTCCCTCCCTTTGAGAAATGTAGCCTGGCTCTCCTTTTCTTTACCGTGCTGAACCTTACCGCGCCGAACCTTTCAGTATCCTGTTCCCTATACCCCTTGTCTGCTCTCCATAGTTTTTTAACTTTGTCAATTTATAGTCATTGGAGGCTCTTCAAATGAATGCCACAATGATGATAAAAAACCGACCAAAAAAAAAGATGAAGAAAAAAGTAAGAGTTTACCATCCACAGAGGTGTTCACTGGATTGATCCCGTGACACGTGTTTATTGCAGCTGCTCTGTGTCAGGCACTAAACAAAGCAGATTAGAATCAAGTCCTTTTTGGCTTATCTTCAGGTGGAGAGATTAGAGGACTCTTCACTGCAAATTTGTAAGCTGGGACTTTCCCTGTTTTGTCTTACTAAAGTTTAGGGAAGTTAAGTGACTTGCCTGGGTCCTGCCCCAGAGCCCAGCCTTGTCATTGTGTCAGTACCACCAGCTGTGAGGGACTGTAATGCCAGGGGTATAGTGGGGTGGGCCTCAGGCTGCTCTTCAGTCACTCATTAAATGATGACAGTTTTTTAGCAAGGTTTTTCTACAAAAATACTTGGGGCAATTCATGCATGGTCTGAGGAAGCCAGCCCTGGGTTCCCACGATCCAAGACCCCATCCATTGCTGTGAGGACTGGGGGAGAGTTAATCAGATCCCTGGTGACCCCTTCCCTCCCTGTGCCTGGAGGCAATGGACTCCTCTTCCTATGTGCCTCTTCTCAGCCCTTACTCTCCGCTCCTCTTCTTTATGGAAGAAACCACCACTTCTTCAGCCATTTTGACTTCTCCATCTCCCACAGTCAGACTCACTGAAGAGGGTGCATGACTCCCTGGAGCCTCTCTGCCACTGCCATCTGTAGACAAAACTCAGGGTTGGTTTATGTCCCCAGGCACTTGCATCTTAAACTTAGGAGAAAAGTTCTTCCCATTTTACAGAAGGGAAAGCTTTAGTCCAACAATTTGAAGCAGTTTGCTCAAGGAATGCTTCAGATAAGACCTAGAACTGAGCTTGAATTCAAAGCACATAACTGAGTCACATACTGCCAGCTCCAGGAGATGGGAGATCCAAGGTAATGGTGCAGGTATGTGACTCACTGGCTGTTGTGGATAGGCAGGCCAGCTGCCTCTTTCCTGTTGGCACCTCTACCATTTTCCTTTTTCAGTGCTTCACTGAACAGACCATTTTTTAAAATAAAACCCTATCAGACCCAAACAGTGCCAAATTTATAACCTGTAGTAAATTTGCAGAGTTGTAAAACTGAATGAGTTTTCCCGTCTTTATTTTGTACACCTTAATTACTAGGAAAGGAGTACATTAAAAACTGAGATCATGGGTTAATTAATTTGTCCTGGACTGTAGAATTTTATGGACAACCGGAACTAAAGTAATGGTTGTGTAGGTGCAATTGACTAAACATGCCTTATAAATGTTACAGAAATTCCCATAATTAGTCCCTCTGCAGCTATTTAGCTTGGGAATTTTATAGCAGACATAAATTATGAAGGTGAAAAGTAAGAAAAATTTTGAGTTGACATAGTGACATTTGCGGAAGCTATAATTTGAGGAAAGCTGTTTTGCATTATCACTAACAATTATTTTTTTCAGTTGCCAAGCTTCCTCTTTTTTAATTTGTTTTTAATGTTGATTCCACGGTAATGCGTTGGCTATTAGGTGTTAGTACATTAGACACTAGTACCACCTTCTGAAAATAGTCCACTGGCATCATTTTGAAAGTACTTAACCGCCAACCAAAGGATGAAGAGACCTATTTGATCACGCTCTTCAAAGTCATTTTTGCATATTTTAATAGATTGAAAAGGAAAGTTACAGGTTATATTTAAATAGTGTTCCCTGTCATTGGATCTTGACACATTTTAACCTACCTGTTAAAATGCAAGTTATAAATAGCTCCTCTTTCAAAGGTGTTCATTATACCTCATTGGCTCTTGTTATAGAAAATGCAAATGTAATTTGAAAAGTGCCCGTTCTGAGTGTGAGCAATTACTTGTGCTCTTCAATACCTGGTTCATTGTCAGCATAGCCGCTTGGTTAAAAGGCATGTTTGCCTTTGAAATGGAGATGGCCTCGACTTCTGCCTGGCTGGCTAAGCAGGTAATGAGAAAAATATTTCGCTTTTCCAGGGAAGCAAGCAGCTGTTGAACAACTATCCTGTCTACATAACAAGCAAACAGTGGGACGAGGCTGTAAATTCTTCAAAGAAAGATGGGAGACGACTCCTTCGATACCTCATCAGATTTGTTTTCACAACCGATGAGCTTAAGTACTCATGCGGCCTTGGGAAAAGGAAAAGGTCAGTGCAGTCAGGAGAGACAGGTCCTGAAAGACGCCCTCTGGATCCAGTTAAAGTAACATGCCTCCGAGGTACTGCATCCTTCCGCTCAGTGTCGCCATCTGTGATCTCATTTCACCGCATTGGCTGTGGCTCCCCCGTGCAAGTGTTCAGCCTTTACTGTATTTGGTTTTTTCCCCACACCCGCTAAGACCTTATAGGCTTCATGTGGCCCATCTACTTGGGATCAAGAATTCCTTAAAAATTATTCGTTTGCTTTAGCCTTGGTGTTCTCACTTAATGGCACATAAGCATTGTGTAACACCTCATGTTTCACGCTTTAAATTCAGATTTTTCTTTGTCACCAGAGAAGGCCACCATCAGCAGAACTGGAGCAATGCAAAATGCACAGAGGAAGGGAAGATGTGGAACTTTAAAAAAAAAATCAAAATGATGTATATCCCATTTCCATTTGTAGCCTGTAGACCAGCCCCTCTCCTCATATAGCTGCCTTCCCCAGGGGCCTTGCTCCCAACTCCTTAAGTGTATTTAGAATTAACTTTCTTTAGTGTCTAAAGTATACCTTATCCTATTAGTTAAAAAAAAAGTTTCTGATGTTAAAATACTGCTTAGGTAATACTAGTTCATCAGTATAACTGCTGATCTGTACTATTGGTTAGCCAGTCAGAGTGGGGAGGAAGAATCAAGAGGTACCAGTTGATTCAGTAAGTGCAGCAGACTTAGACTGGTAGAAATACTACAGTGCCATCAAAAACACTATTCACACCTGAAAAGTCTATATTAGAAAGCTCCATATTTACCTGTGCGGCTCAATAACAGTTTTATTTGTTGGAAAGACAAAACTGGATTACACTGGACAGTGATTAAATTATTTCCTGGAGAGGATGTCACAGTGAAAACATAATCACTGATAAGAACCTAGTTATCAAAAAGACCCTCACTCTCATACTCCCTTTGGCATGCCCACAGTGATTCTGCCAGATTAGTGCAGCTAGTCCACCCTGTGCTGCTGATTCAGGAGGTTTGAGGGAGCTAGGTATTGTTAGGTATTGTTAGGGAGCTAGGTGATTCTGTGCAGGCAGCCCATACTTGAGAAAACCACCTGGAATGAAAACCCAGTATTAAGTAGGCACAGGTGCTGCAGGGCGTCCCCTGTTGGAAATTTCCAAGTCTTAGCAAGCTAGCCATAAAGGTTTTCCTTTATTCCCCAACATCATCAGAGCTGATATAATTGCTTAGAATAACTATATTGGTACCAAGAAGTAGTAGTGAGCTTGGGAGCCTTCTAAAAATACTTTATGTGCACTTGATTGGGTTGTCATAAGATTTATAAGGGAGTCAAAATTAGGGGCTTCACAGCTGCACCCCTTTCCAGGAATTCTTAGTAAATATTTTACATTTTAAACAGCAATTCAGTGGAACTGAGGGGTTAAAAATACATCCCAAAGCACCTTGCTGCTGCCCTCAGAATGCTGCATACCCACTATGACGAACACAGTCCAGGCTGCCTATCCAGAATCTGCATTCTCCATCTCATGCCTCACTTGGGGATGAGACAAGCTTCCGCCCAACCTTTAGGAGAAGAAAATAGTGGGCAAGAAATGGTGATTATTTGTGTTGAGTGCAACTGACGAGAACATTTTTAAGCCTGTCCCATAGGCTAAAATCCTTCCTGTGACTTAAATGGGATTCCCTTCATATAGAGACTGGTGACTCCCTGGGTGGACGTCCTTGTGGTGTGCAAGATTAGAATGGCCAAGGAAAGGAATGAAATCAAATTCCACACCATCCCATTCCAAAAGGTGGTTTGATGTGAGAAGGAAGAGGGTCTGTGAAGGTGCTTCCTGTCTGTATAATAGAATGAACTCTAACCTTGTCTTTTAGTACAATATTCATCAACAGTGGATCCTGAAAGAGGAGGTAGAAGTTGTGGGAGTGATCACAGAACAGCCATTGTCACAGAGTTGCAGGGTTGCAGTGCTCTCATTCCTTACCTATTACTTCTAGCGTTCATATGCGAGTGCAGAATCTGGGTAGAGATAAGAAAACTACTTAAACAGTTGTCAGATACTTAATACAGTGAGGACTTGAGTAAGATGAAGAAATAGAAAACAGAACCCTTGACTTCTGGAGCTGTAGTCTAGCTGTAGATGATTTGAGGACAGTTGTGAAAAGCTTCGAACACTAGGAAAATACTAGGGAAAAGGTTAAATATTTGATTCCTAGAGCTCCCGGAATACTTTCCTTTCTCTCTGCCCTGCATCATAATGATTATGACCTAGGACTTAGAATCATCCTTAGTGTTTCCCAGGCCTGCACCCAGGATTCCTGGGAATTCGTTAGGGTGTGGAGCTGAATAAACATGGTTCTTTCGGCAGGGAAGGCAGCCAGGGCTGGGACTTAGGTGAGGTGAGTGAGACTGGAAGCTCTGGAACAAAATTGAGGATGATGCCAAAAAAAGTAATTTCTCTGCTGAGCTTGGACTCTGCTGAGATGGGCATAGGTCAGTTCATTAGATTTTTCTGGTGCCAGTAACTTGAAGGCATCAGCTTCTCCTACTGACAAATAGGGCTGGGATTGCACTGAGAAATTTCAGACAAATCCAGTCTGACAATCAGGACTATTGTCTTACAGAAGGAGCATATTAGAGAAGAAAAAGTATGTAAATAATAGGCACCTTGAATTTTTTAATCAGCTGTGCAAGAAAAAAGTTTGACTTAGAATTTTTTTCAAAATACTCTCTTCGGTTTATAAATGCTCAAATTATTAAAATAGCAACTTAGCAATTCTGTATGGGCCCCGCCTGACCTCTTGAAAAAAAAAAGAAGGGTTAATTTGAACTCAACCCAAGGAAGGTCAGATTTGTTCCATTGGAGTCTTAACCAGTTTTATTAATATATATTCAGTCTTCCAGTTATGCTAATTATGTTCTGGTAAAATTAAATATTTAGGGGAAATCTTGTTCAAAAGTATATGTCAGTATATGTAGAGATATCACAATTGGGAAAATACGTAGAGCCTATAATACAATACTTTAAGAATATGGAAAGTTCTATACTAAAACTTAAGCAGTTTCTCAATTCACTGAGGTTTTGTGTTTTATAGCACTTAATCTACAAAGTAGTAGCTGGTTAAGGAATACCATGGCAATGATTGCTGTGCTTCTGGAGATAGCATTCTGAAAATGTGAGCAGGTAATCATATGGGTTTTGAAATGTACTCAGTTACTTTTTTCAAGCCTGGTATGTCCCACATATTGCAACTTAAATATGCCTTTCATTTCAGCAGCACGTGTTCCTTAAACAGAACATTGTCTCACTTAACATGATCTTTACTTTTGCACAAGAGTAGAAAATTAGTATGGGATCCATTGGGTTTAACAAGTGACATCATCATGGCATTACATTGGATTTCCCATAAAGTTCTCTTTACAGAACTTGTTAAAGTTTAAGCAGCCTGACTTTCATCTTCTGCAAAATCCAGCTGTTTTTCCTCTCCTTTTGTTTTTTATTTTGTATATTTTCCCACAGAATTCATTAGGATGCACTGTACCTCCAACCCTGACTGGTGGATGCCTTCGGAGGAACAAATAAACAAAGTATTCAGCGATGCTGTGGGTCATGCCCGGCAAGGGCGGGCAGTGGGGACTTTCCTGCACAACGGAGGTTCGTTTTATGAAGGCATCGATCACCAGGCTTCCCAGGATGAAGTCTTCAATAAAAATTCCCAGGATGGGTCTGGGGATTAGTGGACAAAATCTTTCCATTGTAGCAGCAGGTCTCTCAAGAGTTCCATTTGTGAATGTTTGTTACCATCACCCCAGAGTCCAAAGCATGTCATTCTTTCACACTTTACACATCTTAAACCTACTGCCATAGTTCCCAAATAGAAATCCATTTTAGGGTTTTGGGGGAAGTCTATGGAGACTACAAAAGACTTTTCATAATTGTATAAAAGAAAAAAACACAAATTGATTATTACACTGATGGTGAGGATGGAAAAAACTTATTGCTTCTGGTCACCTGTCTGAAATTTTCAAGTAAGCACTGCTTCCTGAGCAGAGCTAGGCCCCACAGAATTTGACTTAGTGTTCCTGCCCTGGGGAAAAGGTAGAGACATAGGATTATTTTAGGGGACAAGGAACAAGCATTCTCTTACTCTAACTCAAGTAAGTTGTCATTTTGTCTTCCAAAGACTTGAATTCATACTTCTCAGCAAAAAACATAAAGGTGACATTATATACTGTCTCTGCATTGACAAAGCCTGTTATTAGTGGGAAACCAGAGAACAGGCCACCTCTACAGACAATTTCAATTATTTCAAAATAATTGAAAGTCAGTTATTTTTCTCAGTTATTTTTACAAAAAAAATTCTGTGTGATCAAGAAGGCACTAAGTGAACTCTGGAGTTTACAAACACTAGTAGTTTTCATTATGCCAGTCTAGAAACATCCAAAGATCCAAAACTGTTTTTCAAAAGCTTGATTTTGTAGATTCATAGATCCACAGTTCCATAGCCTTAAATCAGGCTTTGTAAGACACAATACCAAAGTGATGGGTTGAACAATGAGAATTTCAACCAATTAGTTGTTTGGTACATCAAAGACCAAACAAGTGGGTTGACTGACGGTATTCACTGAATTGACCAGATGTTCTGGAATTGTATACACACAGCTTCAAGGCCATTCTGACAACTATGCAATGGGCTTGTCTGTAATTTCTCTGAAATTTGAGGGTCTTTCTTTGCCGAGCTGATCTTTAGAATTTGCATAAAACTTAGGTTTCTGATTGCTATTGTTGAAAATGTTTTATCTTGACTGTTGTGTGCTTCCTTCCCCTAACAGTCCCCAGAAATACAAGTTCTGGTTATGTTAACCCTGAACTACTACTACCCATTTTCCCCTGTTTGATTTGTTGGGCTCCATATGTGAAAGTATTAGTGACTTGGGAACCATTCCTTATCAATACATGCTATAGAGATGCTAGAATCTATTTCTGAGAGCATTAGGTTTGGAGATCAGGAGAAGCTTCCTTTATTACACTACTCTAGATTCTTGTAGAGCAAAGGGATACACTGAAGGCTATTAATGTCATCTAGCATTATTAAGGGTTAGAAATTGGTTTGAAGTTTATAAGCATCCATTTATAAAAAGGTTTTTGGGGGCCATTTTTGACAGTTACTAACATTTTTTTGGTCAAATTTATCCTTTATATTCAATAAATTAGTTATACCAACTATATGTATAGCCATAGAAATAGGTACTTGATTCACTGTTGTACTAACTTTCATCCCTTGACAGATGTAATCTGTCAGATCTGTTAAATGGTGTAAGGAGAGCTAATATATCAGTCCTATTTGGAGCCAAATCAGTAATATCTGACAGTAAAAGAAATGATAAGGGCAATTGTGATGTTGCTTGTGGAAACCATAAGACAAATATCTTTGACTATCTAAGAAAGCTATTACATGAAGACTTTTTAGAGATCCGAGAAGACAGTGTCTTATAAAATTCTTTGGTGACATGAAACTTTGACCAGAAGAAAAATGCCATTGTAACCTCATCTGTTTTTCCATCTTATCTTTCTTTTTTTTTTGCATTGGACTGTAGTACCTTTATTGCTTTCAGTTGGTCTCACTTTGGAGACCTGAAGCTGTTATTGTCTTGATTTTCTACTTCTTTGCCCATGGGGCAAATTGCTCTCATGACAAGAAATTTAGTCTTCTGTTAGTTTTAAACTCTTGAGTTATCTTACCATTTGATATAAAACATGTCAGATTAAAGCAGCTGTGCTCTACTTCCTGGGTGAGAGAAGGGGGTTGTAGAGCTGGACTGACACCAAAGACTACACTTTGGCGTTTTTTTCAGTGACTAGGTAAGGTCTCTATCAGAAGCATCCATGCCTCTCAACAGTGACAGTTTCCCAAATTAAAGTCATGTCACAAAGAGCATATCCGCTTTCACGGTGAACTGACACTTCAAGCACAGTTCCTCTTAGTTCAGAAGAACCTTTCAGTGATCTGTATGGGCGACATAGGAGGGGAACCTGTACATAGGAGCAGTACTCAGCAAGTTACTAAAGTCACATGTCTTTAATTATGAAAATGCACTGTTCAGAATGTTGTGGTTTAATAACCCTGGTGTTAAATTCCTTGGAGAAGAACATTTAAGTTTATACCTTCCTTTTTACTTGAAAATACTTTAGTCCTTGAACCCAGACATGACTCTCTTAAGGTTCCTCATTTCCATCAAGGTGTTTAGGTTACTTTCACCATTTGTGTTTTCTCGTAGAAAATATGAGAGCCGAATATTGCTGTTTTCTCTCCTTTGTAGGGGAATTGAGAAATGCACAGAGCTACTTCATCACTGTAGAGAAAATGTGTGGTTTTATATTCTGGATCTTTCTTAGCCCTTCATCACTTTGATCTAAAAGATTCATTCCTTCACCAAGAGTAGAATAGAAGAGCTAGAAATTTTTACACTATGTTATTTAATCCTTGTGTAATGTCAGAGTTTGATAGGATGTTTTAAGTCCAGTGACTATTTTTGTAATACAGGTTCTCCCCAAATCTACATAATAATCCAAACTTTGGAGCTACAGGTTCACAATTGCTGCATTTTCCTACCACCTTTAATGGCTTGTCCTCTCTTCGCTAGCTATCAGAAAGTGGGTGGGAGCATAGTGTCAGATCAAACATGCACTATTTTCAGAAAAGCATACACATTGCTCTTCATGTAGATTCTATAATTCTGTATATGCTCTGGAGCCTAAACCTCATTGACTACCTCCTTGGTTTCTTGAATTTTAGTTGTTTTTTAAAAGTTTCATTCTTGGATAACTTCATTTTTTAGAAAAGATTTAAATGTAACTTTTCTCATTCAGTGCTGTGTCATTTCACAGTACAGATCTGTGTAAATTTTGACAGCTCTTCTATAAAAATTTTTAGAAATGCAATAGAAAATGATTTTGCACATATGGTGCATGTCTCGCTGGTGTATGTTTAGTGTGGCAACGCTTGCCAAAACTGCTCAGCAAAACATATCAAGTAGAACGCTTGAGTCAGAAAGCTAATGTAAATGTGTCTAAACAGCAGTATGTATCATTATGGTATATTTTTGTAAACAGTGATGGTTTCTTTCAGTCATGCAAGTACTGGATAAAAATAACCACTTAGCGTGGAATAATGCAGGAACATAATACCCAGCTGATGGCCCCTCTGCAAAATTTGCATTGTCAGTACCTGGCATTGGTTCTTCTATTTGTGATTTTTTTTTTTAGAGGAGAGTGAAGAATTGATAACAGACAATATGGAATGCAAAAATAACCCATCAATACTTGCCTTCTAATATGTAAAACTTAAAACCGTGACTAATAGAGCTAGACCTTAGAACACTTTTTGCCTTTCATGCTATACTCAACTGAGAGAACATTGAGAAAATTGAACTTCCCTCTCTAATAATCAGGTTGGTCAGTTTGGCTGTTGAATGCACTAAATTCCCAAATCTTTGCAGTAAGTGACCAGGTTAGTTTTTCACATGACCATCTACAACCAGCTAAAGTAAGGAACTAGGTTGCATTGAATCCCAGTTCCCCAAATTACAATGAGAATACATCGTTAAGGACTCATTCCAAAACCCACTTGTTGTCAGAATAACTACCAGTGGCCAGATGGGTCTTGGTCACATTGGAGAAAACAGCCCATCCAAAACCACTAAGGATAACAATAGTAATTGCATAGCTAATATTCGTTGAGTTCTTGTGTGCCAGGTATTTGCTAAGCACTTTAATATAGACTGGTTTTAATCCTCACAACCGCCCTATGAGACTTAACTGTTACCCCATTTTGTTGATAAGGACGCTGCCCAAGGTACTTAGCTAATAAACAGGTCACCTTGGGCATAGTAAACAGAATAACTAGTTCAGTTTTCCCCAGTAGTCAAAGTTCTCAAAGCCTGTTGTTCATTGTTCATCGTTATGCCATTGAGGGAAAGTTGATATTTGTGTTACTAAAAACTACCTTTAAAGTAAGTTGATGCTTAAGTACGAGCATTTAAACCCTATTTCTCTGAGAACTGCCAAGGTTTATGCATAAGGCTTATGTGAGATCCTATGATGAAGACTAGAAAAAATTTTAAAGTCATTAGTAAACTAACTACTAATTTGTTCACCTTTATTTCATAGGTTCCCAGTAAAAAAAATGCAGGGATAAAAGCAAAAGTTTGAACTCAGTGAAGTGGTATCTTTGGGAACTCTTAGGTGTTAGAAATGGCACTGGGCATCAGTTAGCCAATGTTCCATTTGTTTTTCGCATTTGTATTTGTAGCCTTAGATTTGATGAGTGTGGTTTGAAAGAGAATTTTAATTTATGATGTCAATGTGAGAAATGTTCTGAAGATTTGGTAGGGAAGTATAGTAGTTTGTTGATTCTTTACTGTAGTTTTGACTTGAACATCTTTTTGGCTGTGTTTAAGTTCAAGGGCATGCAAGGCTGTGAGGGTCTGACTTGTGTTTCTTGGGAACTGGGCAAGCCCGACCATGAGATGAGTCCCGACTCTTTCAAGGTTACTGGTCTAGCCTGACCCTGTCCAATTAAAGCATTGCCTTTCTGTCTCCTCTCTGGAACTTCATGTAGCAGCCTAACACTAGGGCCAACTTGCCTTTACTCTATTTTCTATGATGAACACTTGTGGAGAAACTGTGACAAATCCATTGATCCCAATATTTTTATTGTTGGAGTCTTGTTGATTCTCTATGATAATTTCTATTTGATTGTACTGTGTAGAGTTAATACCCACTAGGGATATGTTAATAAAACTATAAATGCATAGTGTAATATAGACTAGCAAGATTTTTTTTGTGAACAATTTATATAGAAGAGTACATTGTTTTTTAAGTGTTAGCACATTTCTTTTAGGAAGTTAAAATGTTATAAGAGTTTTTTAAACATTCGATATTTTTAATTATAAGAAACATTTGTTACTAGAGCTGGTTATTTCAGGTGTTCTAATTGGAGTATTGATTTTATTACCTCATATACCTCTAGAATGCCACATGTTCTGTTGGAGATAAAATTGCACAATAAATGTTGAGTCTCTGTTAAGTATCTTAACTTGTTTTTTGCATCATTCTCCAGTTCAGTGACAGTTTTCTTTTGGGGAAAAGAACTTTTTCTCCCCAACACTGAGTCTTTTCTGCCTATCTTTGAATGCCAAGAAAATTTTTACCCTTAGTACCCAAATGAAAAGGTAGTCCTTTATGTCAGGAAACTAACCAAAAACCATCAAAACAGTTGTTTGAACTAGTGAATGACAGGGTTGCCACCAATGATGATCTGGTAGTGACATGTAATCCAGGATTTCCAACCAACCCAGTATTTTGTACATTCACTTTATAATGTTCTTTTTTTTTTTTTAAGATTTATTTATTTTTATACACGAGCTGGGGTACTGGCCAGAGGCGCAAGAGGTAAGAGGACCCACCAGAGGCAAAGCAGGGAGCAGAACAGGCAGATGGCAAAAATACATTGCTGAGGGGAGCAGCGGGCACAACAGGAGGGGTCTGCCGCACTGTGTTGGATCCCCGCTGGCCGGCCAGGATCGAACCTGCACTGCAGAGGCCATGGACAGCTTCATAGCATGGCGCCCAACCCTCTGCGCCACCGGGGAGACCCTCTACATTCACTTTAAACACTTGTTTCCCACTCACAGTACCAGGAGGTAGGGATTCTGCAACTTTTACTCATGACCTTTCAAAATGAACAAATGTTGATTGCTTATAATTCTTTAACAGTGATCTGAGTATAAAGCGAAGTAGCCATGGCTAAATAATGGACATGATTGTAGCTTCCGTTTGTAATTATAAAATATAAATCTGACATACCAACCATACTGAACAGCAAAATCGAGTGTCATTTCAAGAAAGACAAAATACTATTTTAGGAAAAATATAAAAGTTTTTAAATGTACATTAAAAGTTGCAGTGTTTTAAACAGGAATTTTGGATGAAAAAGTAATTTAACCCAAATAACTGGGGTTCAAATTGGGGTATCAATTATAAAATGAAATTAAAATTGTTTTATTCTAAGCATTAAGAGGATTACTACATAACTTGAGTTTTTTATTTTGTACATGGACACAAAGCTACAGATAAAAAAGTACTAGGAACAAATTTAGCAAGGTTGCAGGTCACCTCTACGTCCAAATACTAGATAACCTGAAAATGAAAATTATTTCACTCAATATCAAAAAAATAACTTACTTAGGAATAAATATAAGTGCCAGACTTGTACACTGAAAAACTAACTCACCATTAGCAGAAATTCTAAAAGATCTAAAAAATGGAAAGTCACCCTATGATAATGGAGTGGAAGACATGTTTTTGTTAAACGGATATTCCCTAAATTATAGGAATTATAGCTTCATTTTTAATTCCTATCCCAATCTCAGCTAACTTCTCTGTAGAAGTTGATAAGTTGACCCTACATTCCATGACAATAGAATTATAAGGAACCCAAATGGCCAATAAAAATAAATCCCGGGGCCTCCCAGGTGGCACAAGGGGTTAAGTCGCAGCATTATGAAGCAAACCGCAGCTTCTGCAGCACAAGTTCAATCCCCAGCCAGCCAGGGAGCAACCCACATGGCGCAGCAGACCTCTCCTATCTCGCCCGCTGCTCGTCAGCAGTGTATTTCAGTGTATCTACCTGTTTTGTTCCCCTCTCTGTCTCTGGTGAATCCTCTCACCTCCCACACCTCTGGCTTGTGCCCCAGCTCTTGCATGCATAAATAAATAAATCTTTAAAAAATAAATAAATAAATCCCTACATTTATGGACATTGATTTTTAACAAAGGTGTCAAAAATTCAATGGAGCAAGACGTCTTTTTAACAAATGGATCAACTTGATACCCACATCCAAAAATTAAAATTGGGTTCCTACTTAACACCATGTACAAAGAAATAACACAAAATAGAACATAGATCTAAATACAAGTAAAATTTGAAAACTCTTAGGAGAAAACAGGTAAATTTTCAATAGCAGGGGTTCAATTACTGTGACTCCCAAAAGTACAAGCAACAACAAAAGAAACAATAGGTAAACTGAAGTTCATCAGTTTACCTGAGAACCTTTGTGCTTCAAAGTACATGATGCTTTAGAATGGAAGCATGGATTGTGCAGAAGAGAAGAAAAAGGAGCTTTCCCTACCAGAAACTTTTTTAAGAAAAAGCTAAAGAATTTCATCAAGCTGAAGATCAAGGGCTTGAGAAAGAAGGTGATTTGAAAGTCAAGGAGTAAACTTATCTGTGACATAGCTAAGCATTATCACAAGGAATATAAGCAGATGAACAGAACTGAGATTCAAATGACTAAGATGGTAAGAAAAGGTAATTTCTGCATACCTGTGGGAACCCAAATTGCTGGTATTTGTCATCAGGATCAGAGATATCAATGAGGTGAGCCAGCCCAAAGGTCTCAAAGGTGTTGCAGCTTATTCTTTACTAGATATTCAGTGGCATCTTTGTTAAGTCCAACAGGGCTTCAGTAAACAAAGGTGTCAAGTGGTTTGTGGTTTGTGGAGCCATATTTTGCCATGAGGAAATCCAAACCTAAAGTCAAAAAATGACAAAGACATAAATTACGAGAAATTTCCAAGTTCCCCTAAGCAACTTGTTTCCCCCAAATAAAGCTGAGTCGGACACAAAATGAAAGAAAGTAAATACCAATGAGTCTGTTTCTCTTTTACCAAACTGTTGGCCATCGCAGTTGCTAGATCAAGGAAAGAACTTCGTACATGATTTGACTATTCAAATTTTGCTGAGTTGTTCTTTTTCTTTCTGCCTTCCTCCCCTGCCCCCTTTATAAAGCTTTGTTCAGCCTGTATAGTCAAAGTCTTAGTTCCATATGGTATTCCAGCCAGATGGAAACAGGTGGCACCGTTGATTTGTACAAAGGTGTGGGCAGGGTGGACTGAAACTATAAGGAAGAGTGTCGTATCCAGACCTGGACACTGTCTTCAGCCTGAAGGAGTGAGGGCTGTGAGTTTGGTGGCACTGGAATTCAGACTGTGGACAGGGCTTCCTGATAGGAAATGATCTCTGTGTGAGAAACCCCATTAGCCTTCCCAGAGCCTGCAGGGGGAGAGCCAGAAAAAATTAATACCCCCCCAACTCCTGATGCTCCCCTCTAGTTGAAAGCAACTCATGACTAGAGAGCAGGAGAATCTACTGGTGTTCAATACAGGTCAGCCTCCTGGGATACAGAGCAAGGTAGGGATAAAGAAAAGATATTTAGCATAACTGATAATAGGGATGAGTCTGATAGTTAAAAGATCTGTTTCTATCTTATTGAAATCCTGAGAATCAACCTCTTTACATAAATAACTTTTTCATTCTGAGTAATTTGATAGTTAGCATTTATTAAGTTAATATTTTAGGTGCTTTACCATTATCACATTGAATCTTAACAAGTCTATGAGGTACACTAATACTATCCCCACTCTACAGATGAGTAAACTGATGCTTTGAGAGATGTGCCTAAGGTGACAGTAGTAGTAAAGTGATAAAGTCAAGATACTAAACCAGACATTCCAACTCCAGGTGAGAAACCCATGTTTAACCCACACCAATAAAACTGATCTTCAAAAGTAATATCTGTAAGACTTTTGAGACTGAGGGGGGAAATTGCAATAAGTAGACTGATAGTTACTACCTTTTAAGTCTACCTAGCTCTGGTTCGTCAAACTACTGTGTAAGTCATCTCTCAGTTTCGCCTGAGAAGGTACCCACGCAAAGTCCGAAAAAATGCACATATGAATATTGGTCGGTCCTAGGTGAGCAATGGTTTTGATTCAGTTCTAGCTCGATGCCTCTGTCAGCAACAGTTCTCATTGATGCTGGTATTTAAGAAACAATTTCCTACACAATCAGTGGTGGAATAAAATTACATCTGAAACAGAGTATCTTAGTCCTTGTTCTTATCAACTGTCAAATTTCAATAAATTGGACTAAACAATAGCTTTGAAATACAGTTTTAAAAGCTTTCTCATTTTGGGGCCCCCCTGGTGGTGCAAGGGGTTAAGTCGCAGCAGTATGAGGCTAGCCACAGCCACAGCAGCACTGTACAAGTTCCATCCCTGGCCCGCCAGGGAGCTGACCCACATGGCACAGCAGACCTCTCCTGTCTCACCAGCTGCTCCCCTCAGCATTATGTCTCAGTCAATCCACCTGTTCCATTCCCCACTCTGTCTCTTGGTGAATCCTCTCACCTCCTGTGCCTCTGGCTTACACCCCAGTTCTTGTGTGCATAAATAAATAAACCGTTTAAAAAATAAAACCTAGAGTACATTTCCCAGCAATAACTGGGATTTAAAACAGAACCTCTTTAACTCCACACCATTTTTTAGAGAGAAATTCAGTCCCTGTCAAGATATGAGTAACAGGGAGGAGAATGAAATTATCTGCTAGCCTGTTTTCAATTCCATTGAAAAGGCAATAATTGTGTTTGATTGTGGCTGTGTTGTGTTTTCTGTTAACATCTTGTGCTAAATAACTACCCTTTCTGTTTCTGGTGTATTTTTGGATAGCCTTTCTCTGTGACTGCAGAAGATGTCAAAGCCACATGACATGAAATATGCAATAGCTTTAAAATTGTCAAGATTTGGTAATCTTGTCACCTATATCTTTAAGGAAACTTAAGAAAATCCTCATGAATACTCATGAAAGAATGGGCCTCCCCAGTGGTGCAGTGGTTGAGCATTCGGTTGCGAAGCTGCACACAGCCTCTGCAGCGCTGGTTTGATTCCTGGCTGCTGGGCAAGGGTCCCACATGGCGCACAGACCTCTCCTACAGCCCGCTGCTCCCCTCAGCAGTGTACTTCATCAGTCTGCCTGTTCTGCTCTCCGCTCTGGCTCTGGTGAATTCTCTCACCCTCCCGCGCTTCTGACTGTACCCAGTGCTTGTATAGATAAATAAATCTTTAAAAAAAAATACTCAGGAAAGGATAAACATTTGTTTAAGATGTGTGTAATTCTGATGAAAAGTAAATCTTTTCTTTGAAGTCTTATTACTAATTGACTGAGAGGTTATGGACAGGGAATTTAGAGATCGTCTAATTCAGCAGTTACCATCACATATGGGAAAAGAAGACAGAAAATTCTTGGACTTGTTCAGCTACTTACTAGCAGTACCTATCAAACTAATACACTTTCCTAGACCAAATGGTTTTTGCAACCACTTGTTCAAAGTTCTTATTGGTGTTTAACTTATTAGTTTGGATACCAGAAAGCACAATGTTAAGTTAAATCTCAATAACTTCGTTTAACTCAGTTGTTCTGGCATCCTTATTCCCTACAACAATCAACCATCTTTTCTGTTTTCTCTTTGAATTTATTTTTGAAAGTTACTGTAACAGGGCCTCCCTGGTGGCACAAGAGGTTTAGCACCACACTATGAAGCAATCCTCAGCCTCTGCAGCAGGAGTTCAACCCCAGCCAGCCAGGGAGCAACCCACATGGCGCAGTAGACCTCTCCTGACTGGCCCGCTGCTCCCCTCAGCAGTGTATTTCAGTCTGTTCTGTTCCCCACTCTGTCTCCGGTGGATTCTCTCACCTCCCCCACATCTCTGACCTGTACCCCAGGTCTTGTACACATAAATAAATAAATCTTTAACAAAAAAAAAAAGAAAGTTACTATAACAATGCTTTAGTACTGTAAGTTGTCTATTTCTACCGGGACATAAGTAAAGATAACATGTATTTTAGAATGTTTCATGGAACATAAATTATAGTGTTTTAAAGCTAACAGGAAAAGGACATCTCCTTCACCCTTCCCTGCCACCTCCTCCCACGCCCACCTCCAGCCCCCACCCCAACACACAACAATATTTCGAACTATTTGTTCCAACTTACCCATCTGGAATCTATCTTCACAATCTTGCTGTTACTCCCCACCAGGGTTCTGTTTCTTTTCTGTCTGCAATGAAGATAAGAGTCTCATGTGAGGAACTTGCCCAGAGAAAAAGGCATGCGATGTCCAGGACACCTAGTCCCTTCCTTGGGACCTAGTTAGAAAACTTTGAGAACAGGATCTGAGCAAATAGCTGTTGTCCCACAGGACTTGGAAGGGGAAGTAAGGAGTGAAAAGCAAACTGTGATTTTAAGCTACTGAGGTCTTAGAGTTAATTTGTTCCTGCACCCTTACTAGTCTATTTCACTCATATTACAAGAGTGATTCTCTTTTGTGTCAAGACCACTGTGGGAATTTTGTAAAAACGACAGACTCTTCTGAGATGAGCAAACACTCACCGGATTTTCAGGAAATTCCCATGGGTTCTTGAATCCCCTAATGCCACCATCTCCAAGTTAAGAACTAATCTAGAACCTTTTCCTCTTTTTCCCTGACAAACTAACATATAGCTTTTTCTTACTTCTTATAGCATATGTTGGCTACATAGAAAATCACTGGAGTAAAAACACAGTTCAAAAATGTTAAAGTGAAATGCCAAAATTATTTGTCTTTGGGTATCAAAATGACAATAGATGAGCTTTCCAGAAAAATGAAAATTCCACTATTAAAAAGTTGTACAGAAAAAAAAAGTATTGTGCAGGAGGCCTCCCTGCTGGCCAAGGGGTTAAGCACAGCACTATGAAGCAATCCACACCTCTGCAGCACAAGTTTGATCCCCTGCTGGCCAGGGAGCTACTCACATGGAGCAGCAGACCTCTCCTGTCTCACCCACTGCTCCCCTCAGCAGGGTGTTTCAGTCAGTCTGCCTGTTCTGTTCCTCACTCTGTCTCTGGTGAATCCTCTCACCCCCTCTTCCTCTGGCCTGTACCCCAGCTCTTGTATGCATAAATAAATAAATATTAAAAAAAAAGTATTCTGCTACAATTATTATTGAAATGAAGCAACTGTGCTACCCCAGATACCCTAAACTCTAATGCACATATGGTCTCAGGAATTATGCCAGACCTAAATCTAGTGGGTCCTATAATATTAAAAACTTTATGGTATGCTAATAAAAGTATTTATGAGGAAACATTTTTAAGCACAATTATTCTGTGCCAGAAACAATCCTTCCCATTTTGTTAACCAGACAAGCCTGCCCATTTATATTGCAGGCAGGCACACGCTGCAGACTCAGCCATCCACATCATTCCCTGCATGTTCCTGCCCTCCCCTTTACTCAAATCAGGAAGGCAAATGGAATTGTTTGAGTGCCTTTGCTCTATGCAATGATATCAGATGTTTCTATTGCTTAGGTACTAAGTACCATGAAAATACATGAAGGGAATATTTAAAATCTAGCCACTTAAACATGTGACTAAACTAAAGTTAGTTTTACAATCACGTAACCATAGTGATCCAATGCTTTCTTTTGGTTTGCTTTATTTATTTTTGAACCATTTTTAAGGTTTTTTTTAATATAATTACGTTTATTGAGGTAATGTGGAATATAAATAAACAAAGCAAAGGAACAGATAAAAACAAAGCAAAACAAACCTTTGAAATCTGACTGCAGAACTAAGGCTAGCAGAAGGGGAAGTTGGAGGTTGAAGGCCCAGTGGACTATGGTGGAAAATTATTGGGGATTTGGTGATGGCATTTCTAGAGTTATGAACCAATACCCCTAAAACAAATAGTATTGTGAACCAATGATCCAATGCTTTTGTAAAGTATCTTTAAAATCATTGTTTCTTGTCTTTTTTCTACTCCAGTTTGTAACCCAACAACTAACAAAAACTAACTTTAGTTTCATCTCCCATGTGAGCAATCTGAAGCCAAATACCTGCCTTTTTTTTTTTTAACTTTCTTTTTTTTTAAACATGTGAGTGTTTAGTATGTGCTGCTTTGCAAGTGGTTAAGTCCTGGACCTGCCCTTGGGTCTCAGTTGTCACACAACTGCAACCTATTATTGATTCCCCATCTATGGACTCTGGTTAGAGAAAATCAAAAATGGCTCCTGAAGATTTGGTCTAGGAGAGACAGAGATCTAGGCTCCTTCGGGTTCAGGTCAGGCTCAGTTTCTCCCAGAACACAGCTCATGATGAGTGCAGGAGGACCTGGGTCTATCGTTGCCTGCTGTAGGCAACATTGGTTACACTATTTTTTAATGGCCCACACCCATTTTTAAATGGAACACCTAACATGCAGCTTTATTCTGAAGTCCTCTGATTAAAAGTCTATGTTGTAATGAAAAATTCCTAGTTAAATCTTTATTCTTAAAAATCCTCATTCTTTCAGTAGAGTGGGAAGGATGAATAACTTTGAAAATCATTGTAGGTGACAGTAGAAATATCTATGAAAAGGAAATTACCTGGATCCAAACATGCTAGTTTTACTAGGAAACCATATTACTTATTGTCAATTTGTGGTTTGGTGTCTTCATGATAGTTTCAAAAGTCTCTAAAATGCTTAGAAAAGGAAGAAAATGGCAATCCCCTTGTACCTGTGGGTAACAATGAACAGTCACAGGAATATTCTGGAAATTTGAAAGGAAAACAAGCAATATCACTATGTCAATAGCTCTCCTAGGGAAACAAGTAATTCCTATTTCTCCTCAAACTATTCCTAATAATTCATTCTGTTATTTCTCATTGTATTGTTACTTTCATAGCACTTAGGACAATATTTTTCTGTGATTTCTTTGAATAAAAGTTGTGTGCTTCAGACTTTTAGCTCCATGATGTCAGAGGACATAATTTTTTCTCCTTTTTCTGTATTTTGTCTAGCACAGCACTGATATATAGAGCTCTTGTTAAATATTTTTTGACTTGTTAGTGCACTGTACCCATCTATGTGTATGTACAGAAATGCTGGGCACACCAAAGAGCTTTTATAGATGTGAAGAGATTTGTGAGAGATGACTTGGATTGTCTTAATTGTAGTCAATGAGAGAATGCCTTATAGCTGTAAAATATTTACCTCTTTGAGTTAATAAGAATTAAAGCTAATTTCTCATTTAAAAAAAATTATCTCAGGCCTCCCTGGTGGTGTAAGGGGTTAAGCATAGCACTGTGAAGCTATCCACAGCCTCAGCAGCACAAGTTCAATCCCCTGGCTGGCCAGGGAGCTACCCACATGGTACAGCGGAACTCTCCTGTCTCGCCTGCTGCTCCCCTCAGCAGTGTATTTCAGTCAATCTGCATGTTCTGTTCCCCACTCTTATCTCTGGTGAATCCTCTTACCCCCCCACCTCTGACCTGTACCCCAGTTCTTGTATGCATAAATAAATAAATCTTTAAAAAAAACTTTTTTGTTCTTTGTTTACTGCTTTGTTTTGGACTGAGTATTTATCATGATTCCATTGTATCTCTACTGTTGGCTTAGTATGTGTGCATATGTGTGTTTTTTTCTGGTTGCTCTATGATTTATATCTTTAAATAAAATCATACCACTTTATTAATAGAATAAAAATCTTACAATGCATTTCCGTTTCCCTTTTCTTGTCCTTGGTCCTACTGTTGTCATATATTTTAATTCTACATTTTATGGGTTTTTAACTTAATTCCATTGTGGTCAAAGAACATACTTTGTATGATTTAAATCCTTTTAGCTTTACTGAGACATGTTTTATGGCCAAGCATATGGCCTTTATTGGTAAATATTCCCAATGCTCTCCAAAAGTATGTGTATTTCTGTTTTCAGGTGAAATATACTATAAATGTTAATTAGGTCAAATTAGTTGATAGTAATGTTCGCATCTTCTATAAATTTATTGATTTTTGGGGATGGCTTCTTATCATTTTGGGAGGGTTCTGTGTGGATATATCTATTGTATTTCAACTTTCTGTTCTGTCAGGTTTTGGTTTTTGTATTTTAAAACTCTGTGTTTAGATAAATACTTAGGATTATATTGACTTCTTGAAAAATTAGTTCATTATTATGAAATAATCATATTTAATCCTGGTAATACTTTTCATTTAGAAATCTGCTTTGCCTGGTATTATTAATATCTATTCCAAGTTTCTTTTGGTATTGGTATGGTATACTTTATTCTATCCTGTAACTTAACCTATATGTGTCTTTATATTTAAAGTGAATTTCTTTTCCTATAGGTATCTTATAGGATATTGCTTTTTTATCTAATCTGTCTCTGCCTTTGAAGAGTCTAGATAATTTTGCCCTTAATATGATTATTGATATAATTCAGTCTGTATCTACTATATTGCTATAAGTTTTACATTTGCTTGTACCCTCTTTGTTTCATTTTTTCCCATTCCGTCTGCCCTATTTTGGATTACACATCTTTTATGATTACATTTAATGTCTTTTGTAGATTTATTAACTATACCTCCCTGTTTTCTTTTTTTAGTAGTTGCTTTAAAGGTTAGAATATGTCCTTAATTTATCTTAATCTGCCTTTGAGAAATTTCATACCACCACCGGCATAAGAACCCCATTACAGTGTACTATTTCTTCCCTGCTAGTGCTTTTGTTTTTATCCATTTTATTCCTACATTTGATATAGACCCCATAATATTACATATTATTTTCTCTTTGAATATCAAAGTAACTTTTTTTAAGATTTATTTATTTATGCATACAAGAGCTGGGGTACAGGCCAGAGATGCAGGGGGTGAGAGGATTCACCAGAGACAGAGTGAGGGAACAGAACAGGCAGACTGACTGAAATAACACAGCTGAGGGGAGCAGCGGGCGAGGCAGGAGAGGTCTGCTTCGCCATGTGGATTACTCTCTGGACGGCCAGGGAAGGAACGCATGCTGCAGAGGCTGTAGATTGCTTCATAGTGTGGTGCTTAACCCCTTGCACCACCAGGGAGGCCCCATATTAAAGTAATTTGAAGAATGAAAAATATTTTTACATTTAATCATATATTTCAGTGTTTTACATTACTTATGTAAATTCAGACTTCCATCTGGTTTCATTTTCCTTTTGCCTGAAGATTTGCTTTAGTATTTCTTATTAGAGGCAAGCTGATAATGAATTCTTTCAGATTTGTGTCTAAAAAAATTTTTTGTGAGATATTTTCACTGAGTATCAGATTGTAGATTGAGAATTTTTCTTTCTCACTGTTTTAAAGATTCTATTCCACTTACTTCCAGCTTGCATAGTTTCCCAATGTGAAGTTTTCCATATGTCTAAGTACCTGTGCACCATATGACCTATTTTTCTGTCTGCTTTTTATGTGATTTACATTTTTAAATTTTTTATTTTTTTAAGATTTTTAAAATTTATTTATGCATAGTAGAACTGGAGTGTAGGTTAGAGGTATGGGGAGGAGGTGAGAGGAATCACCAAAGACAGAATGTGAAGCAGAACAGGTGGACTGACTGAAATACACTGCTGAGGGGAGCAGTGGGGGAAGTCAGGAGAGGTCTGCTGTGCCAAGTGGGTTAGCTCCCTGGCCAGGGATAGAACTCATGCTGCAGTGGCTGGTGATAGCTTGATAGCGCTGAGACTTTAACCCCTGAGCCACTAGGGGACCCAAGTTTAATTTTTTACTTTTTAAAATATCCTTGCTTATTTTTTCATAATATAGTATTTCTCTCCTCACATGTAGTCACCATAGTATTTCCATCATCAAGCGCCCACAGTCCTTCACCACATGCCATCAGGCTCTCCTCCCATCCCCTACTCCCTTTCTCTACTGTCCCCACTTCCTTCTCCTCCTCCCCTCTCTGGATGCTTTTAAATGTTTTTATCACTTTTTTTAATCATATTTGGAAATTTTTTCAATCACTCTTTCTTCAAATATGTTTTCTACCCTCCTTTCTCCTCTGCTTATGGTACTCCAATTACATGTGTGGAAGGGAGAGTAATAGAACTCCCACAATGTCTACACCATAACCCACAGAATCTGTGAATGTGTTAGGTTATATAGCAAAGGGGACTTTAAACAAGGAGATTATCATGGATAACCGTGGGTGCACCCAATGTAATTTTAAGCATCCTTTAAAGAGGAAGAGGGAAATATAAAACAAAGTCAGAGTGAACCTGAAAGTTAACCAGACCAGCACTACATCCAGAGGGTCCAGAGACTTGGGATAAAACTGGAATACCTCTTGGACAACTCTAATGAGGCACAAACTGCGTAGGAAGCGACACTGAAGAGATTCATGCTTCATCAATCAAGAGGTGAGTAGAGAGAAACTCCTGGAGGCTGTGGTCTGGGGCAGGAAGGCCACCTTATAAACTGACACTGTGGCTTGGTTGTGGCCCTGGGGAGGGAGGACGCTTGAGTGATGTAGAGGGAAAATGTGCAGAGGGACTAGGATACTTCCATCAGGCCAGACGACCAATAAAAAGAACAAGGAGAGTGTGCTAGGCTGAGCTCTCTTCCTTATACCCAGAGGACTGGTACTGACCTCATGAAGTGCACTGACAGCATGCAGACTGCAAAGACACAGACCTGGAACCCTAGAGAGAAGAGATATTGGCAGTGCCACAAACACAAGCCAGTCTCTCCATCCCCCGGCAAATTCACAGAAGTGGCTGGATCCCTCCAGCCCTTTCCACTATCCTTGACTCAGCAGCTTCATGATCAGGTCTCTGCACCTAGGAAGTTGGAAAAGCCATGTCTAAAATCACGTAAAACCACAGTGTTACTAGCTGAAAAACTTTAAAGTGCAAATCTCTAAGTTACTGCTTCAAATATACTTAAAAAAATAGGGAACTATAAAGTAGCAAAATTGGCAGATAAAAAAATAAAACACATGGTGCCTTGAGAACTCAAGGGAATATGTCATCATAAGAAGAAAACTACTCTCCAGAATCCAACCACAGAAACATGAAAGATTTTATCTTCCTATCAAATACAAAATTGAAAATTGCCATGATAAATTCATGGATCTGTTGATATTTAATGTTTATTTAAATTATTGAAATTATTATGTGGCCATACTTTGGATATAATTCCAAATTTATACCCCCCAAATTAATTAGATAATACCTTCCTTTATAAGAGAATTCATAGTGATCTTTAAAAAGTGTTTCAATTTTACAACCACAATAACATTTGTCTTTAGAAATACCTATTGTGAAATATGAGATATTTCTATCGTAGGCTGCATATCCACAAATCTGAAAATATTCTTAGCCCCTGCTAGTCAAAGGACTAAGGGCCAGCAGATTGGAATTAATTCCCTACGAGGTTGTTAAGAATACAGAATCTCAGCCCCACTCCAGACCTACTGAATCAAAAAATCTGCATTTTAACAAGATTCTCAGGTAATGATTTGTATGCAGGGTAAAATTTGAAAAGCACAAATCTAGCAGATCCTATGACAAGACTACATAATTTACAATGCTAATGAAACAGCTAATGAAGATAAGGAAATTATTTTCTGATAAAATAGTCAGTGATGACTGCCTTTATTAAGGAGAGAGGTAATTCTAAAGCTAAGTTTAAGGATTATAAATCTTCAAGAGAACTGCAGCTGAGTTTAGTTGGCTCAGAGATGAATACCAAGAAATTATGTGATTTATAAGAAAATGAGCCTCTTTACTGTGAAAACACTGCCCTACTTTCAGGGATGGTCCTATTGTAATAGGAGGCTTGTCTTCAGGATGCAGCAAGGTCAAAGACCTCAACAGTGAAGATAGCTAAGACACTCCAGGAGGAACACTGTTGAACTGCTACAAAAAAGGAGTCCCCAGGAAAAAATGAGGTGCAAACAGCTATGACATCTATTTCTTTCCTTCTGAAGATTCAAACTTTTTTCCATTTAGAATAAACTGAAAAGTTCTATATCAAATATAATTGCCTGTAAAATACTAAATTGTTTCAATCTGAGTTTAACAGCCAGCTCACCTTTCATCTCTTACTAAATCATCTTAAAACTACATCTAGGATTCAGTAGGAAAAATTACAATAAAAATGGGTTTTAGAGTTTTCTTAGATTTATTTACTATTTCTACTGAGAACAGGTAAGTCACAATTTAGAACTCCAGCAAGAAAGAATAATTTAAATCTATATTACGAGGAAACAAGTTAAATGTACAGATCCAACAGAGACACCATATACACCATTTCAAAATAGGCATAACACTCTTACCCATTATCATTGTTCAGATCCAGCAGAAATGTAGCAAAGCTGTATTCTCTCAACATGGAAGACTAGAGATGATCTGTTTATCAACACTCAGGTAATGGGTTCTTAGGAATGGAAATGCACTTTGATATTCCTGTTAGAATAAGATTGTGTCAGCGTAATTAGACATAGCTATCAACTAAAGAGCAATAGTCATATTTTTGGGCACAATCTGTCCCTTTTGCCTAGAACACTCTACCCTGTTCTCTCTGTGCCTGGCCTTAAAAGTCTCTTCTACCCCCCACTGACAGGGTAGTTATGAGGTAGACAGTGCTTGGTGACACAGGGTATTTAAAAACATACATTAAGTGAACGCATTAGGTGAAAGAAAGGTCAGTGCTTAAAATTTCTTTTTCGGTTTCCCAATTCAACACAATTACCCTAGTCTCTGATAAATATATTGGGCTTTTTTTTTTGATTGGTTGGGTTTTTTTTTGATGACCTATAGTGAGATCAAAAGGACTTTAGACCAGAGAAATAGGGACCCTCCCTGGTGGCGCAAGAGGTTAAAACGCAGCACTATGAAGCTCTCCGCAGCCACTGCAGCAAGAATTTGATCCCCAGCCAGGGAGGTGACCCCATGGTGTGGCAGACCTCCCCGTCTCACCCGCTGCTTCCCTTAGCCGTGTATTTCAGTATATCTGCCTGTTCTGCTCCCCACTCTGTCTCTAGTGGATCCTCTCACCACCACCCCACACCTTTGGTCTGTACTCCAGTTCTTGTATGCATAAATAAATAAATCTTTAAAAAATATATACCAGAGAAATAAATCAGCATGTTGAGTTCCAATAACATATGCCTCTATTGCTAGGGGTAGAAATCCTTAAGGGAAACTTTTGTTATCTAATGTTATTAAGCCTAAGGTAAAAAAAAAATTAGCTTATCTTCAGTCTTTTTCCTTTAAAATTTTTAGTTCTCATCTCTTTTTGACTAGAGATATTAAAATTCTTACTCAAGGATTCTCACACCTTAGTTTTATGACACTCTAATGTTTTCAATGCTCTCAAGAAGATTCAAGAATTATTTGTTTATTCTTTTTAATTATCTTTAAAAGACAAGCTTATTATAGGAAATCTGCACATGAGAAATGGAGAAAAAACCCATGTTGTGAGCATAGTTAACATTTAATGTATTTCCTTTCAGTCCTTTTTCTATGTACAAAAAATCAGAATTATTCTGAATCATTACATTTGCTGCTATTATTTTTCCACAAAAATGAGTCTTAAGTACTTTCTAAAATTAACTAATACGTACTCATAAAAATATTTTTAGTGTGCATAATAAAGATGATTTCTCTCATCCTAACCCCAAATATTAGCAGTAACAATTTGAAGTGCTAGGTGTATATTCTTACATTTTTCTCTATCATAAGAATTGTGCCAAGTTATTAAATATTCTGTAAAAAATCTTTCTAAAGGCTGCATTATAGTCTAACATGCCATATTTTAGCCATTTTCCTAATTTTTTATACTGCAACAACTCTATTTCCTTATATTTTATTCCTAGAAGTGGAATAACTATGTCAAAAGATATGAACATTTTCCAAACACTTGTCACCTGCTACAGAAATGCCTTCTAAACAGAAGGTCTCAGTTCTACATTCCCATCAATATCCTATCTCCCAAACCTAGTTTTGATGAAGATTAAAATGAACTCACATAAAGAATATTTGGTAAGCACATTTTTATATCATATAATCATTTATAAGAGGCCTCTTGTCAGTTAACTAAACTGTGACAGTAGACTGAATCTGTTTTTATCTTTTTTTATGTCTTTATACCTTTAGAGATTAGCATGATACATGAAACATTCATTTACTCAATAGCTATTTATCGAATGCCTACTCCCTGTCAGATGCCATTCTTATGGATGTTACATTCTAGTAAAGAAAATAAACTAGCAAAAATTAGAATATACCAGAGGGTAGAATATTAGAATACTCAGGGGGGAGATATGGAGGGGGTTTGTTATTGTTATTGCATATAAACAGGGAGGAAAGATTTCAGATAAGGTAACATTTGAACAGACACTTGAAAAGTAAAGAAGCATGTGGTGCAGGTATGTGGCAAGGAGAATATTTTAGGCAGTGCGAAGTCCTGATGTTTGAAAAGCAAAAGGCCAGTCAGGCTGGATCAGTAAGGGAGAGAATAGCCGAACATGGGTTTAGGAGATAGTGGGGAGATTCGTCATAGAGGACATATAAGCCTTGTCAGAACTTTTATTCTGTGTGAGATGAGAAGCCATCAGGTTTTTTAGAAAAGAAACTACACAATCTGGCATAGCTTCAAAAAAATCACAAGCTGTCATGCTGAAATAGAATGTGTGGGCTACAATTATGGGGCAAAATGGTTAAGAGGCCATTCTGATATTACTATACTAATTGAGATGATAAGAAATGGATTTTAAATTTTGGAGGTAGAATGAGATGCTGAATTCCCATTGCATGAAAAATAGATGAGCCAGCCATGGATTCAAGGTTTTGGACAACTAAAAGGAAAAAGGTATCATTTACTGAGAAAGAAAAAGCCAAAAGAGATATTTTTGAAGGTAAGGTAAAGAAATTGGGAGTTTTTCTTTTAAATGTCTACTTTGAGATATTGTCATCTCCCAAACCTCAGTGACTCTCTCATTACATATATTGTGGGCTAATTGTCATTTTCTTCCATTGTCATTTTCATTCAGGAATCTAGGTAGCCCCTATCTGGAACATGCCATTCTCATGGAAGAAGGAAAATAGAAATAGGAGAATTGTGCAATAGCTCTTAAAACATCTACTGAGGCACAGCATACTTACGTTCACATTATATTGATCAAATCCTGGTGTTTTTTTTTTAAGATTTACGCACGCATACTGAGCTGGGGTGCAGACCAGAGATGCGGGGAGTGGGGGTGAGAGGATTCACCAGAGACAGAGTGGGAAGAACAGGCAGAGCTACTGAAACACACTGCTGAGAGGAGCAGCAGGTTAGACAGGAGAGGTCTGCTGTGCCACGTGGGCAGCTCCCAGCCTGGGGATTGAATTTGTGCTGCAGAGGCTGTGGATAGCTTCATAGTGCTATGCTTAATCCCTTGTGCCACCAGGGAGCCCCTGATCAAACCTGTTGTCCAACTAAATCTAGTAACAGGAGATACTACAAGTCATATGGGAATGACTACTCAACATGATGCATAGTTTCCTACATAAGAGCAATGAATAATTGGGAACAATCGTATAATCTAACATATTACCGAAGTGGGCATGTCAGTAGAGCTGAATATGCATGTGGGGTTCAAGGCTGAAAATCCAGGTTTTAATAGGTGATGGTTTTAATAAGTCAAGGGATTGAATCATTCAGTGAAATGAGTATAGACAAAAACTGTAAGACACACCAATGCTTGGAGGTTAAAGGAGGACCTTGCAACACACATACACATACATACACACACACCACAAACAAAACAACTAAAAAATAGTCAGCATTGAGCACAGATATTCTAAAAACTCTAGAGAGTTCTAAAAGATTCGGGGTCAAATTCTGTGAAAGGCCGGTAAGGTGAGAATTTAAGATTGACCACTGAGTTTAGTAGTATAAAGATCAACCACAGGGCTAGTGGAGAGAGCTGACAAAAGCCTGACAGGAGTATGCTTTGAGACAATGGGTAAAGAGAGCACCAAGTATATAGAATTCCTTTGAGTTTCACTGTAAAAAGAAACACAGAAATGGGAATGTAGTTGAAGGGTTTATTCTTATGGACTTTTTTCGGTGTGTGTCTTATTTTAGTCTGTTTTTCTAAGTAGGAAAACTAAGGAGAAAAAAATATTTATAAAAATCATACTAATTTTGTTAGGATCTTATACATTGTCAGACTTAAGGAAACTTAAATAAACCTAGTAAAGCAAATGCAATTCTTTATGGGAATTGCTCAGGATACCTCCCATTAAGTGGACTCAGCTTAGGATCCCAATCAACATCTATGCTTGAAACAGCTTACCATTCACTGATCCATGGTTTCTAATTACTTGGTTCTGATTCAGGCCTTAGTGAATCTGGGAAGGCCAGGCCTCAACCCTGAGTAAGTCCTCTGTTCTAGTTCTTAGAAGAGGGGGTGATCCAGATGAGACATTCACCAGCTATGACCATCAAAAATGACTTCACTTACTTGGTTGACAATACTACCATATCTTTTTTCTAGAAGGGTCTCTACTGACCATCTAATACCTTACATATATCATAGTACATAGTAAGTGCTCCACACCATATATTGTGTTCCATAGTATATAGTAAGTACTCAATAAACTTTGATGTGGGCTGTCAATTTGTCCAAAGTATTATAAGAAAATTGGATCAATGTGTTCCCTTGGAACTTCAAATATTGCTGATGTTAAGACTCATCCAACCACTTAATGCTTTTCTAACCTGGATGAAACTGTTATAGGTCCAGGAGTAATTTATAGTCAATCTCCTTTAAACAAGATTTAATAAAGATAGCATTCACATTGCAAAGCAATTTCTTAAAATTGTAAGCTCCTCTACTGCACTTAAAAGTAGATTTTAAAATATTTAATTTACCTAATTCCCAGGAACTTACTTCTTATATAAAATGTGGTAAACCTGTAACTCCCCTTGTTCTCACCATTTGAATCCACCAATCTCTTCATCTCTCAGGCCTGTAGATGATGAATGTGTCGCATTGAGCTCTTTGTTGGAATAACATGTAAACTAACATTAACCCTCAGAATCACATAGTTTGTCAAACTGGTAAGATTTGATGGTTCACATTTTTTAGGGTTGACTTGTTCCCTAATGTTCACAATGTTGACTATGCATTTGAGAGATGAAAAGATCAAAATGTTTTGAAGAAGACAAATGTACTAGCTCAAAATTACACTAACTAGCTTGGAGCCCTAAGTTACAGCCGAAGAATTAATTATGTATCAGTACATTTCTAAGAACCAAGCTAGGATTTCTCCCCTCTGCCTCCAACAATTAAAAACTGGCACTATTTTGTCATACATTATAAAATGCACTCAAGTATAAGAGATTAGGATTAATTTAACCTACCAAAAGAACTTTTTGTAATAATGGTACTGTTCTGTATCTGCACTGTCCAAAATTGTAGCCACTAGCCTTCATCTGTGCTACTAAGCTCATGAAAATGTGGCCAATAAAACTGAAGAACTCAGTTTTTTATTTAATTTAAATGTAAACAGCCCCGTATCACATGAGCTTATCATATGGTAATGCACAGCACTATACATTTTCTTGATGTAATGACTTTCAGTAAACATGAAACTCTTGAAACTGGCTGTGTATCTTTAAAATCACAAGATTAATGTATGTTTTTCATCATTTGCACAGAATGAGGGAAATTTATATAAGTGTATGTATGTACATAAATATATACATCACATATTTAGAAGAACACAAGATCTTAGTATTAGTTGCCTCTGGGAAAAGAAAATGGGCCATTAGGAGTTAGAATTGAGAGAATGTCTCCTATGCATCTACTTGAACATACTTAATTGTTGATCATGTGAATGTTTTATCTATTCAAATACACTTTTAAAATATTTAAAAAATTTTTGATTAATACCAATTTTGTGGTCACTAAATTTCTTTGCTAGATGGTACAAGTCAGCAACAATTTAACTAATTATTATCTTTCTGGATATGTCTCTAAGGTAACATGTAAATATTGCTTGAAAATAAATTTCAGAGGTGGCAGATAGCCTGACTTCACAAAACATCAGTGTTCTGTTGTCATGCCACCCCACCCATCCCTTCCTCTGTCCTAAGCAGTTCAAGTTAGATCCAGCTAGCTATTCTGACCACAGAATGTTAATTGATTACTTCAAAATAAAATTAAGATTTCATTTCTACTTTCTATACACTATTACTTTTCATGGGCTTTTTAGTAGAGCGACTTGTAGAGAAACAGGTTCTGTGAGTTCAAATCCTTTACAAGGGGTGTAACCTCAGACACATTAAGTATCTACTGTATTTGTTTTGTTATCTGGCCAAAAAAGAATAATCATCTCCATTCACTCTTTGTAAGGATTAAATGGATTACTACTAGTAAAATGAGATCTGGCATAAAGAGCTCAAATTATCCTGTTGCTAGCTATTATAATACAAATAAGTATTTTTTGCTTTTAAGTCTGTTTTAAAACTTCTACAAACCTTAAAAACAGACAAAATTCTATATTTTGCTCTGTAGATTCTAAACTATAGTATTTTTATTTTTCAATGTTTTGATTTTGTGGAAGGAACTATACACTCTCAAAATATCAAATACTTTAAATAGTTTTTGAAAAAGAAAATATATTTGGAATTCCTACAGGACAGTATAGAATTCAACTTGAATCCCAACATATACTGTTTTTAGGGTATAACTTTTGATGATATATTTTGTGTTTTTTCCTCTAAATAAACAATATAGATGTATCACAAAAGAAATTTCTTAGTTATGTGATCTACTTTTGACAAAATGTAATGATAATATGTATTAAGGGATATATTTGGATTTGTGCTTTACCAGGCACATTATCCTAATGATACACTAATTATAGTTCTCTTTTTGATGAAACCTGATTATAAAATAATTAAGTATTGTTATATTTTGGTTTTGCAAAACCAGAAAACTTACAATCTAACAAGCAAACTCAATAATATGTCCTGTTAAAAGATACAGATAACATTTTCAAGGTAAAACATATAAGATTACACATATGAAGTAAAGAAGCATTTATTTTTAACATTTTTTTATCAAGGGGGAAAAAAATTCCAAACTAGTAAGTGAACTGCCCTAACTCACAAGTGGCACTTATTAAGGAAAAACATATCCTGAGGTACCAGGGCCATCATACTATGATGGCAAAATCAGATAGCTGTAATACAACACATCAGGAAGAAAAATTTTCTTTTTCCATAAAACCAAGCCTAGCGATGCTAGTAAACTTAAATTAAAATTTAAAGGCTGCCAGACCAAACTTCTGTATAAATGCCTTTCAAAATCCCATTCCAGAAACAGGGAAGAGGGATTTAGGGGAGATAATCTTTGAATCAACATCTTACCTCCAATTCTTTGCTTCATTGACTTCTGAAACTACGGCAAATTGGGGGTCAGCACATTTAAAAGAAATGTCAAATCCTGACAAATGCAAACTAAGAAAGACAGCATAGATTCCAAATTCCTATGTGATTTTCTGTAATTCCAGGCATTTTAACTCAAAAAGTTATCAGATTTCAAACTTAAGTCATTTTCCTGAGATGGTATAATTTTGGCAAAAAGAAGTACCCAAATTTTGGGGAGAGTTAAGGTAATATTTAAATATATGTCAACTTAAAATCCAAAATCTATCATATTTTTATTCTGGGCTATTTCATGTGTGCATGCGCACATGTCGGAGGAGGAGGTTATATGCAAAAATAAACCGTGTTGATGAAAAACTGAAAAATTTCCAATCTGATTCTCAGTTTCTTCAATGTATGTTCAGAAATCTTCCTCTTTAGAACTGGATACAATTGACCGCCAGCATGATCCATTTAAAAATAGATTTTCTTTCCTCATCCTCCCACTGCCATGGTTTTAAAAATGTGCCACTTTTAATAGTTTGGGGCCTGCTACTTATATAGTTGATTAAAGATTCATTCTCAGCCAAAACTGAAAACAAGTTACCTTACCTTTGATAGTTATCATAGCTTACTATAAAAGTTATTTTCCTTGGAAATAAGAGTAACATATACTTAAACATTCAAATGCTATACATCAGGGTAAGACAACTTTGGGGGAAAAAATCCAAGAATCCTATTATCTTATTTTTAAGAAAGAGATTAAATTCCTCAGTTTTAAAAATCAAATTTGACTCAAAAAATTAAAAAATAAAAAGGATGTCACACATTTCCTAGTTTCACAGAAATACTCAAATTCTTAGGTATTCTATACTTCTTTATATCAAATTTTGCTTAAACAAATTAAAATATCAGTGCAGAACAGAACTGGAAAGAAATGATAAAAACATAAGCTTTCAATTACTATTTAGGAATAGATATGATCTCAATCAAAATCAGACTAGAAACTTAAATACCAAGAATGGGCCTCCTTTTAAGGGAATCCTAAAAGAAAAAAATCTTACCGTTTGGAATAACTTCACATCAACATAATTTTTTTTTTAATGAGTTAATTATTCTTGTCTACCTAGGAGAAATTTTTCAGAGTAATTTTACTAGGAGGAAATTGGATATAATTTAGTACCTTTCAATAAGGCAATGACATGGAATAACAAATGGCAGGTGGGAGAGGGGAAACAAGAAGAGCATAAGAAGAGCATAGGAAACAGAATGAATTACAATGGGTTTTTAAAGCTTTTTTTTTTAAGTCAGGTCGAAGAATTTGAAACTGTTAAGAACACAGAATCAATTGTATATATAAAACAATTTTATATCCTAAAAGATAAAACTGGAATGTTATTTCAATTAAAATACACAGATTGAAAAATTCTCTGTAGAGGTAAAAAAATTTACACCAATGTAAATTTTCATAATTTTCCAATAAATGACATTTCTAGATCAAAAATTGCCATTACAAAATCTTTAATCAAATGTTTATTTTTGTTTCCAGCATTACAATTTGCTGTAATTCATAAACTTCAATCTAAGTAAGATTTTAGACACTGACCTCATACAGGTAGTTAGGTCTTTATGTCAAGCTCTCACTTATCCAGCAAAGAGATCACTCAGCCACTACTCTTGTGTGGACAATGCTCACTGCTACCTGACAATTTAAAGTGCATTATGAGTTGTTTTGATGAATGGAGACAAAGCTGTGTTTTTTCACTAAATTTTCGGTTACTGGATTGATATTTTTTCAACTTGGTAACTTATGATCATTACAATGCTACTTACATAATTTTATAGCCACATAGTATGATAAATGCCCACTTACAACTGCAAGAAACTCATGTTACAGACACACCATTGACTATGATATTATACAAAATCATGGCCACAAGTTTCCACGTAAAAGATTTACTTCTCTTTCTCTTAAAGCAAGAAATATTCCACAGTTCAGATTTACATAAGTAGTGCATCTTTTTAAATAAATTAAAAATAAAATGCTGTCCTGTAAGTAAAATTATAAATATTCTAGTCCATTTTACAGAATGTTTAAATGCTCGTAAATGCATTATCTCCAAGTAAATATACACTGTGGCAGTAAAGCCAGTTAGAAAACAAAAACAAAAAACCAGTCATCACACTGATCCATGGAAAACATCTAGAGTTATTTTATATCTCCTATCATTAGAAAAATTATGCATAATAATGGGAAAAAGCAAAGGAAAGGTAAGAAACTTTACAAAATAACTAGTATGACCTAAAAGTATACTGAAATGTCTTCCTTCAATTCAGTAACTAAGCCATTTCTGGAATGAACATTGACAGATAACTAAGTTAGAAGACTCTTCCTATTAGTGCTCAGGGCAAAATGACATGTTATGTAGAAATAACTTCTATATTCTATAAGGAAAGACAAACTTTAAATAGTAACAGTTTAAAAACTACTAACCAAAATTTAGCTAGAATATTCAAGATTGGCAGGTTTTGATGGAGTGAAATCTTTAGTAGCTACAAAATTAAAAATCATAATCCTGTGCCTGCTGCTTATTTTTACCAAAAAAAGAACATGATTGCAAGGTACAATACTTCTTGACAGGCTAAAATGAGAAATTGTGAAAAATTTAAGTAAATGTCTCTTACTAAAACAAAAAGAAAAAACCATGATTTTCAAATTAATTCAACTTGTAATATGTCTCATAGAAATATGAAGTCATTTTAATTCTGTGGACTGTTGAATTGCCTTTACATAAAGTATTTCCTCATCTTTAAAAACATGGCTTCTGAATGGCATTAACTCCTTCCAGGTGCGAGATCAGGCTTGACAAACTTGTTTCCAAGATTCCCTCCAAGATGATTCATTTCATCACATCTAAAGTATCTCCAAATCTACATGTCGAACTTCAGGATTTCGTTTCTGAAAGGAAAAATCACCACCACATTATTCTTAACAAAACAAAATCTTCCTTTGTTTATTTTGGTCACTAAAGCCACTGAAACCACCTGATTAAGCTACTTCATTGTAGCATACTGGCATATTTGCATAAGGAAAAAATAAGATCAATAGATGAATAGAGTAAGTAGTTCCCCCACCTCCATGTATGCAACAAGCATTACAAAGCCCTGGTACTTGCTCTGGTTTGTGATGAAAAGAAAATCACTATATTTATTTTTAAAGATTTATGTATTTATTTATTTATGCATACAAGAATTGGGATATAGGCCAGATGTGCGGGGCGGGGGGGGGGGGGGGGGGGGGGGGGGGGGGGGGGGGGAGGATTCACCAGAATAGGTAAGTGGGGAGCAAAACAGGCGAATCTACGGAAATACACTCCTCAGGGGAGCAGCGGGTGAGACAGGAGAGATCTGCTGCACCATGTGGATTATAGCCCTGGCTGGGGATCAAAATCATGCCACAGTGGCTGGCGATAGCTTGATAATGCTGAGGCTTTAACCCCTGTGCCACCAGAGAGGCCCCTTTAAAGCAATAATCAGGGCCTCCCCAGTGGTGCAGCGGTTGAGCACTGGGTTGCGAAGCTGCCCACAGCCTCTGTGGCGCCAGTTCGATCCCCGGCTGCTCCCCGGCCACTGAAGGAGGGTCCCACATGGCGAGTAGACCTATCCTGTCGCCCGCTGCTCCCCTCAGCAGTGTACCTCGGTCCTTCTGCCTGCTCTGCTCCCCGCTCTGGTGAATTCTCTCACCCTCCCATGCTTCTGACTGTACCCAGTGTTTGTATAAATAAATAAAAATAAATCTAAAATAAATAAAGCAATAATCAAAATAAGTAAATTGGTATTTACTTACCTAACATATTTTAGTAACAATTCATATAGCCTTGGGTCAGGTGCTGGACTAGAAAGTGTATCAGGGTATGACTATTAAATAAGAATCTGTTCCTGACCCTGAGTGGCTCGGTTTAGCTAGGAAGACAAGTATAGCAATAACAATCTATGAGTAAAAACATGATGGCTAATAAGTTAATGTTTAATGAATACTTTTTGTCAAGTACTGTGTTAAGTAAGGGGCTTCAAATATGTGATTTGAAATCCTCATAATAATCCAATTATTTCCATTTTACAAATGGGAAAACTGAATTTTGAAAAAGTTAAACTGCCCAAAGTCATACAGCTAGTAAGTGATGAAGGGAGGACAGATTCAGGCCTGACTTCATACTCTAAGTTCCTAACAATTACAATGTACTAAATGATAACTCTGGGAATAAAAGTGCGAGATGTACTGTATTACTTTGAGATCCAGAAGGACTTCCCTGAGGATATAATAATAATATCTAAGTGAGATTTGAATGCAGTGAGTTTTCCAGACAAATGATAAAGAAGATCTAAGTAGAAGAAACAGCATTAACACAGTCAGACAGTCTAGAAAGTAAGCTTTGCTATGTACTAACAGAATGGTACAGTTTGCAAAGAAGTTGCAAAAAATGGCAGAGTTACAGTCTCCCTGGTGGCACAAGGGGTTAAGTCTCAGCACTATGACGCTATCAGCAGCCACTGCTGCATGAGTTCGATCCCCAGCCAGGGAGATAACCCACAAGGTGCAGCAGACCTCTCCTTACTGCTCCCCACAGTGTATTTCAGTAGAGCCACCTGTTCTGCCTCTGGTGAATCCTCTCACATACATAAACCCGCACCCCGCATGTCTGGCCTACACTCCAGCTCCTGTATGCATGAATAAATAAAATAATTTTTTTTTAAAAAGGGGAGAGTTAGTATGAGGTTGGACAGGTGAGCAGAGGTCAAATTATGAAAAATCTTAAATGCCTGCTTAAGGAATTTCAAAACAATAAAAAAATCTTTATTATATTTCTACTTTATGTTAGGCACTGAAATATAAAATAACGAACAGGAAACAAACAGTATCTCTCCTCAATGAATTTACAGCTACTGGTGAAGATAAGTAATCAGGTGATTACAAGTCTATGACAACATAACAAATTAAAGGGTTTTGGCATTTTTCCCCTCTGGGTACATAAAGGAAGTTTACCTAGTTCAATTTTGGGAAAATGAAAAGTGTAATAAAATGTAATATAATGATACTGTAAGAATGGAGGGCAGAAGAGAATGTAAATAAGATAACTAAATATATACCTATCAAAGAAAAAACAAATGATGTCAAAGCAGGTAGAGAAAAAACTTAGATGTAAAATCTATCCATAAATATAAAAGAAATACTGAAAGTATTAAACATTGGTTATTCTCAGAAGCAGATTTAAAGATTTAGAAGGGTGAAGCAGTTGACACTTCTGATATAAGCTCTTCAGTTCTGTTTAACTTAATAAATTTTGAATAAATATAGAAAGATAAATCAGAAGAGTAAAAAAGCTCCTCTGATTTTGATAATCATCCCGGTTAATTGTGACCTTAAGTAAATAATATCCTAGAAACATAGGTATATTTCTCATATTAAAGAAATTCAGTTATCAAACAAAATCCTGGTAAGTTACTGGAGTTTAGCTCCCACTATTCTATTGAATGTACACTGAGATGTTTCTTATAATTAGTGTTGTTACTTTCCCCTAGATCCTAGTGTGAGAGTGACCAAAAATCACAGAAAGCATACTTCTGTTCTCAATATTTTATCTGAAACTATTCTCTATGTCTAGAATTGCTTAAATTTCATAAGTAATAAAGATTTCCTCAAACAGAAATGAAACTGAATTTTATTTTCCTACTCCAATCAACCCTTTCTCATCCCATTATGACTTAGGAATTTTTACCAGGAAAGTCTGAAGTTATTTTATTTAAAAAGCACTATTAGTAGACTGTATGTTCTAATAAGTTTTCCAAGAAAAGGCGACAAAAATTAATTTATTCTACTTTCTTAAAATCAAATTTTCAGAGAGAAAACTAATCAAATTCCTAAAATGCAGTCTACCCAATATAAAGCAGACACATGCAATATATGTTTGCTGACTAAATGAATAAAAGAACAGTATTAATATCTTTGTGTGTCTGGACCTAACAAGATATCATGTGCATAGTAAACACTGAATAAATATTTGTTTAAAATAATTGAAAATCAGTAATTGTTGTCCAACTTATAATTTTTATTCATTTATTCAACAAATATGTATTGATCTATTATGTCCCAGGCACTAGTCAATGCAAACTAGAACATTTTACACATCACAGACAGATTTTATTCCAACACTCATATTAGGGGAGATAAAACCAAACTATGTAATTTATTTTGCAATGTTATATACTCAAGTTAAGAAAATACTGTAGGAGGATGCAATTAGAGAAGCAAAAGACAAAGTAAAAGGGCAAAATATTTAACCAGAACATTACTTATAAATTTGCAAGTGCTATGGCATCTTCCCACTGAATTAGTTACCAATAGTTATTTCAGCCCAAACATAAAAAATTTCCTGGAGAAATAGAGGAGGGTCTACACATGCACTGAAACATAGCAGTAGAACAAAAACTTTTAAGTTAACAGTTCAAAGAACTCTGCCTTCCTGGTGGCACTAGGGGTTAAGGTGCAACCTATGAAGCTATCAGCAGCCACTGCAGCACAAGTTTGATCCCCGGCCAGGGAGCTACCCACATGGCATAGCAGACCTCTTCTGACTCGCCCACTGTTACCCTCAGTAGTGTATTTCAGTGTATCCACCTGTTTGACTCCCCACTCTGTCTGTGGTGAATACTCTCACCACCCTTCACAACTCTGGCCTATACCCCAGCTCTTGTATGCATTTGGGCAAGACAGGAGAGGTCTGCTGCGCCATGTGGGTTTCTCCCTGGCCGGATGGGGATCAAACTCATGCTGCAGAGGCTGTAGATTGCTTCATAGTGCGGTGCTTAACCCCCTGCGCCACTAGGGAGGCCTAAATAAATAAATCTTTAAAAAAAAGTATCACCTATTCTAATATTTGGATCAATGCATTACTCAACAGAGATAAGCACTCAACTAACAGTATTTGTGCATAATTTTATCACTGAGTGTGGCCTTGCAAACTAATTCAATAATTATTAAAATTTAAACTTAAAGGACAACCATACTTAGATACTAAAAAGGAGGAACTATGCTAGTATACAAAATTTTAATTTTCCAAAACAAAATCAGCTTTATTTTCACAAACAAGAATTACATTCATTTATTCTTTAGATTTGGTAGCTCAGCTATGAAAAAATCTTTCCCTTTGACTTAAGATTAATTATGTCTCATTAGCTTAGCCAGAGATGTTTCTACCTGAAAGTGCTATTTAAAAATGGTGTCCAAATTGAATAAATTATATAATTCAAAACCACTTTGAGATAGTTCAGTCTATTAATGATTTAAACAGCTTCTAATTAAAGCACAAAGTTAGCTAAATAAAAGTAAACTTATCTGATTGTAAGAAGTATAAATATAGTTTAGAATGACCAATTTGTTAATTATTCTCATACCTGACTGCTGATTTATAAAGCTAAAGATTTAGCTTAAAAGTCCATTATCTTCCTTGCTAGGGTAATAAAAACAGAACAGAAAAGCAATTCTCATGTCACCTTGTGCAAAAATAATCACCTCACATTTTATTTACAACAGTGGTTCTTAAAGTGGACCAAGTATCATTGGGATCCTGAGATCTATTCTAGGGAAGTCCAGTGCCAAAATTGTTTTATAATAACACTGTTATTTGCCTTTTTTACTATGCTAACATTTCCCCTCATGGTATAAAAGAAATTATGGATGAAACTGCTGTCACCTTTGCACAAGTCAAAGCAAATGGCATAAAACTATACTGGAAGTCTTTGTGCTCCTTTTCTGGTAATTTCATTTTAAAATAGCCTTCTTGAAATAGTAAAACATATTGATTTTTTTTTTCAACATTTATTTATGCATACAAGAGCTGGAGTACAGGCCAGAGATGCAGAGTGGGTGAGAGGATTCACCAGAGATACAGTGGGGTACAGAACAGGCAGACTGACTAAAAATACACTGCTGAAGGGAGCAGCAGGCAAGACAGGAGAGGTCTGCTGCACCATGTGGGTTGCTCCCTGGCCGGCTGGGGATTGAACTCATGCTGCAGAGGCTGCAGATTGCTTCACAGTGCTGTGCTATTGCGCCACCCAGGAGGTCCTGTATTGATTTATTAAACCTCAACCCTGAAGTACACTTAAAAATATTCTATGACAATATGGAAAGAATGGATAAAGTCCTTCTGCTTCATACTGAAGTTTGATGTTATCAAAAGGAAAAGCACTTGTGTGACTGCTTGAGTTATGAGCTGAACCAAATGCTTTATCCAAACACCCTTTTCACTTGAAAGAATAAAAGTGGGTATTCATTTGTGGGTATTTGACAGGCAACTTCTTTTAAAAATGAACAAATTATTCTGTTACTTCAAGGAAAATAACTAACAGTATTTGTTGCTAATGATAAAATGCAACCCTTCAAGTGAAAATTAGGATGTTGAAAAAAAATTCATACCACTACCATTAAGTCTTACATCTTCCCTATACTGGGTCTTAACAGCTTCCCAATACTTAGAAATGTATCAACATTTAAAAGATGTGCAAAAATTCAACCAATATTTTCCAAATGCCAATTCATTATGTTATAGAATCATGCATTGGCAAATGATTCCCTTAGAGTACAAAGACTGACCGAGTTTAAATATAACAGTGGATAGTAAGAATTGTAATCAAAGAGGGGCTCCTAACATTTACCCGCAGCTACTTAGAAGGTAACCTCTAAGCCTCTGAAATGTCCTGCCTGATAATTATGTCCTTAGTTAGGAGAGCAGTGATCTGCTCTAACTCCAGAAGTGGCTGCTCCACCTCCAGAAGGAAGGTGTCAGCTTTCTTCAGGGCAGCTTGGGACTGAAATGTTAGTTGCTCAGGCAATCAACTACAGAATCCCAGGAAAAATCTCTGGACACTCTGAGTTCCCTGTTGGCAATACTCCATACAGACTATCAACACCTCGTTGTCAGGAGAGTAGCACTGTTCCTGACACAACACAGAGAGGACAACTGAATCCCCAAGTTTGGATCTCTGCCTTATGCACCTCTTCCCTTGGCTGGTTTGAATAGGTATCACAGTAAAAAACCATAACTTTGTCTAGTAAAATCATTCAGAAAAATCTGTGAGTTCTAGTGAATTATCAAACCTGACTGTGGTCTTACCAATCCCTTTAAATTGCAATTAGAGTTAGAAATGAGGATAGTCTTGTACATTGTACCCTATGACTTCATAAACAGTATACTGAAAGTTCACTGATGCGGTTTTAGATTCCATACTGAAATCTTTAAGATTTCAGTAAGCTTTAAGAGGCTATCAGTTGTCAAATTTTGGTGTAGTATTAAAAGAGAATAAAACAATTATCTGAAAAAGCAGTTAAGAGTACTTAAAAAGATTTCCTCCCTTTTCTTCATATTCTTCAACCAAACCAATACAACCAAACCAATATATGGCAACAGAATGAACACAGAAGTAGATGTGAGAATACAGCTACTTTAGATTTTTGCAAAAATATGAAACAGTACCACCTCTCACTATTTTTTCATTTTGGAAAATGTTATTTTTTGTTAAAATGTTATTTAAATGAGCATTTAACAGGCTTATTATACTTTGTTAAATGAACAAATATCTTTAAATTTCTCAGTCTTAATTTATAATTTGAGGGCCTCCCTGGTGGCACAAGGGGTTAAGCACTGCACTGTGAAGCAATCTACAGCCTCTGTAGCACGAGTTTGATCCCTCAGCCTGCCAGGGAGCAACCCACATGGCGCAGCAGTCCTCTCCTGACTCACCCGCTGCTCTCCTCAGCAGTGTACTTCAGTCAATCTGCCTGTTCTGCTCCCCACTCTGTCTCTGGTGAATCCTCTCACACCCCGTATCTCTGGCCTGCACCCCAGCTCTTGTATGCATAAATAAATAAATCTTTAAAAATTTATAATTGGATAAATCTAACTCAAATAAAGTATCTTCGGGTCCTCAATAATTTTTTCTTAAAGATTTATTTATGCATATTAACATAAAAAAATCATCTTATTTGAAGTGATTTTATTAATCTGACCCAATATCTATATTTTAAAAGAAAAGACAGCAAAAGTAGTGATATATTTCCCTTCAAATTGTTTCCTTTAATTTTTAAACAAACTAAAGAATAGTCAACATCAACTGAAGAAAATACATACACTATATATGTTAAAGATCATTTATAAGCTTTACTCAATATTTCAATAAAATAACCAATAGGTTGTAATGATCACCAACTAAACAGAAACAAAGATAAAATAATGTGAGGTGGACTAAAAGCAAGATGTCCATGTATGTTTATGGTAACCTTCTCTTTTTCCTAACTTATGACCTTTTATTTTCTCTAAAATATTTTGAAATGCTTTTTTAAAACTTTTGAAATAACAAAATTTTTTTGACTATTTTAGAAGCTAAGCAAGCAGTATAAACTAGTGGCTAAAGGTACAGAACTTGGAGTTACATGTAGTTCAAATCCCAATTCCTGGCATCACTGTGGCCTAGGGGTTAACTGTCAGTGCTACCACTGTGCAGGCCCATCACTACAGTGTGAATACAATCCCCAGCCAGGGAGCTGGCCCACATGGCGCAGCAGACCTCTCCTGTTTCATCCACTGTTCCCCTTGGCAGTATATTTATATCTATATATTTCAGTAGATCTGCCTATTCTGCTCCCCACTCTGTGTGTGGTGAATCCTCTCACCCTCCACCATCTGCCCTGCACCACTGGCCAGCACACCAGTTCTTCTACACAATAATAGATAAAATCTTTTAAAAAAAATTCCCAATTCCCCTACTCCCTTTGGTAAATTATCCAATTTCTCTAGCCCAGTCATTTTCTCAACAATAATTTCCAATAGATCATGGGGTTACTAAGAACATTGTGTGTGTGTGTGCGTGCGTGCACATGTGTGTGTGTGCGCGCGCGTGCAATTAGCATAGTGCCTGGCACAGAGGAAGTACTCAAAAAATAGTTGAAATTATTATTAAAAAATTCATCTTACTTTCAGCTCCTTCTCAAGTCTATCTACTTCAGCTCCTAAAGTGTCAATAATATTCTCTCCATGTTTAAGCATAAAGGTCTCTAGTTCTTCAGGAGTTTTCACTTCCTGTATTTCCTATAAAGAAAATGAAGACAGAAAAAAAAAATAAGTATGTAAAAAATCATGGTGGTATGGTGATGATTTCTTAAAAAAAAAATAGCTTACTGTTATAAACATCATGAAGGTTAATGGAAAATTTAAAACTTTTAAGTCAAAGTCAATGGGCAACCTATTTCCAAAAAAAAAGAATTTTTTTCAAGAAAAAGTAGGAAATCACAGCTTACACAGAAGTAGCATGACAAAATTAGTGGGAAAAAATGGACTATTCAATAAACAGTGCCAGGACTATTATTTTTTTATAGGAATAAAATATTAAATCTCTGTGTCAGACCTTTAAACAACTTTAAGTATATTAAAAATCTACCAGTAAAAAACCAACTCAAAATGGATTAAAGAACTAGACATAAGACCTGAAACCATAAAATACAAAGAAGGAAACAGAGGCGAAACATTACGTGATATGCACATCAAAGACATCTTTACAGACACATCACCCAAAGCAGTGATAGTGAAGGCAAAGATAAACAGCTGGGACTACATCAAATTAAAGAGCTTCTGCACAGCAAAAGAGACAATAACAAAAACAAAGAGAAACCCCACCGACTGGGAGAACATTTTGCACACAACACTAATGATAAAGGACTGATCACAAAAATCTACAAAGAGCTGATGAGATTCAACAAAAACAAAGAAAATAATCCAGTCAAAAAATGGGCAGAAGAGCTAAAAAGAAACTTCTCTGAAAAGGAAATGCAAATGGCCAACAGGCATATGAAAAAATGTTCAGCATCACTTGTAATCAGGGAAATGCAAATCAAAACTACAATGAGATACCATCTTACACCAGTGAGAATGGCACCTATTAAAAAAACTAGCAACAACAAATGTTGGCGAGGTTGTAGAGAAAAAGGAACTCTCCTGCACTGTTGGTGGGAGTACAAACTGGTACAACCACTATGGAGAGCTGTGTGGAGATTTCTGGACCTACTAAACATAGAGCTTCCATATGATCCAGCAATTCCACTCCTAGGTATTTACCCAGAGGACACAGAAACATCAATTCCAAAGAGCACCTGCACCCCTATGTTTATAGCAGCACTATTTACAATAGCTAAGCTTTGGAAACAATCCAAATGCCCAAAAACAGATGACTGGATCAAGAAGATGTGGTACATATACACCATGGAATATTACTCAGCATTCAAAAAAGATAAACACATGCAATTTGCAGCAATATGGATGGAGCTGGAAGGGATCATGCTTAGCGAAATAAGCCAGAAAGAAAAAGAAAAATACCGGATGGTCTCACTCATAGCAGGAATCTAGAAAACTTAAATAAGGGACCAGGAAAAAGAATAACTATAAGAAAGTAAAAATCAAAATCAACAAACAACTATGAACCAGAAACACTCTATGGGGGGCGGGGAAAGGAGGGATTGAGGTCAAAATAAGGGGGTTGTAATTGTATGGGGAATATAAAAATAAAATTTAAACTAAAAATAAATAAATAAATCTTTTGAAAAAAAATAAATAAAACTCAAACCCAGTCAACTGAAAAAAAAAAAAAAATCTACCAGTAAAAAAAACCATAAAACTTTTAGAAAAGAGAATATTTTTTGGTAATGGATAAGAATTTCTCAAGCAAGATAATAAAATGGATAGAGAAACTACAAATTTGACATTTAATTCATAATCACATTAAATCTTCTGTTCAATGAGGTAAAATGGAAATCACAAACTAGAAAAAGATATTTACTAAAATTAGTATCCAGTATATTTAGAATAAGATGCCTACAAATCTATCAAACCCTTGATTAACTAAAAAAACCAAAACTGAAGTAGAGGAAATTCCAATGGTCAATAAATTTCAGTGTTTATCAACCTTACTACTATCAGGAAATTAAAAATGTAAAAATAGGGCCTCCCCAGTGGCACAGCAGTTGAGCGCTGGGTTGCGAAGCTACCCACGGCCTCTGCGGCGCCGGTTCGATCCCCGGCTGCTCCCCGACCACGGGAGGAGGGTCCCACATGGCGCGCAGACCTCTCCTGCCGCCCGCTGCTCCCTCAGCAGTGTACTTCAGTCCTTCTGCCTGCTCTGCTCCCCGCTCTGGCTCTGGTGAATTCTCTCACCCTCCCGCGCTTATGACTGTACCCAGTGCTTGTATAAAACAAAAACAAACAAACAAACAAACAAATAAATAAAACATGCCTCTATTAAAAAAAAAAGTTTAAAAGTATAAAAAAAATGTAAAAATAACAAGATATTATTTATACTTATCACAATGATAAAAATTTCAAAACTGTCAATAAAATCTAGTAAGAATGTGCAGAAATAGATGGTAGAAATAAAACTGACACACCTTAAGAACAACCTCCCCGTATCTAGAGAAACTGAGATATGCACACCTGATGGCCCCTATTTTATATTTAGCTACATAATTCCCTTACTAAGAAAACTGCCAAAAAGTATAGAAACTGAATGGAAGTGGTAGTTGTTAAATTCAGGAAAACTGTTTATTCTAGTGGAAGGGGAACAAGATCTAGAATGAAAAAAAAAGGTCTTTGAGTGATTTTGTAATGATTTCTTTTTTTAAGATAAGCAAATAAAGGCAAGTGGTAAGCTCAACACTTTATAAATTCTTTTAACCTATTTTTAATGAAAAAGCTTGCATTCTGGAGTTACAGAAATCTAAAACCATATCTGACTCCATATTATGCCTCTGCAATTTTGGGAAAGTTCTTAATCTCTTTGTCTCAATTTGCCTATATATAAAAATGAAAATATTATTTCTTTACCTCACAGGCTTGCTGAGAAATAAATTAGGTAACATATGTAAAATGCCTGGCATATAACAAGCATTTTAATAATAAGTTTGCTCTTCTGCTGTCTCCTCCAACCCATTCTATAGTAAATAAAAGGATCTCTGTCAAATTTTGGAACCCTAAGTAGTTGAAAGCTGAAATGACTCTAAGACCTGTAAAAGAAAAAGTTTCATTTTATTTACTTAAAAAGGAATTTTTCTAACCCTTGATTATGTAAGAAAACAATAAACACATAAACTTACTTGAAGCATTTGGTCAAAATCTTGTTTTTCCAAATATGACCTTGTAACAACTCGTCCATCAAAATCTACTTCTGCCTTAAATCTTACTTTACCTAATCCCAGATCTGTGGCTTTAACATCATGAATTGCCCTGCAATCAATAAAAAAATGCATAAATTTATGTACACGTGCATGCAAAGTCAAGAATTTTTGTTTATCTTCGACAGTGATGAAAGTGGATTAAGATATGCTTTCAGAGTTAAATACCACCATTAAATGCCACCTACCATTTTCCAAACAAATGTCCATCTAGCTCTTTTGTATAGTGCTATACACAGATGCAAATGTAATAAATATAATTTTATGATTGCTTGTATATTTAGATATATAATTTCATGATTTGTATATACATAAATTGTGAAGTTTGTGATTTATGAAAAATCAACTCCTTTTTTTCCTGTTTTCAAAGTCTTTGAAAGTCTTCATAAAATTTTGTGACACACTCTATTAGGAGATAATAAGATACACTAATGCCATTCGCAGTAACATGGTTGGAGCTAGCAGGAATTATGCTCAGTGAAATAAGTCAGAAGGAAAAAGAAAAATATAAGATGGTTTCACTTATAGGAAGAATATAGGTGAGCCAAATAAGACATCAGGGGGAAATATAATAACAATACAAAATAAAACAAAACAAAAAGAAACAGACAATTATAAACCAGGGACATCCTGCAGGGGAGGAGGAGGGAGAGGGAACAGAGGGAGGAAGACAGAAGCACAGGGGACTGTGGTGATGTTGCATGGGTGCACTGAAGAAAATTCTATGGGGGCTATACCTGAGGGACAGGGGCAGGAAGCAAACATTGAGAACAATGAACAAGGGGGCCTCCCCTGGTGGCGCAGCGGTTGAGCGCTGGGCTGTGAAGCTGCCCGCACCCTCTGCAGCGTCTGCTCGAACCCAGGCCGCAGGTGAGGGTCCCACATGGTCGCAGACCTCTCCTGCTGCCCGCTGCTCCCCTCGGCAGTGTATTTCGTCGGTCTGTCTGTTCTGTTCCCTGCTCTGGCTCTGGTGAACCCTCTCACCCTCCCGCACTTCTGACTACACAGTATAAATAAAATAAATCTTTTTAAAAAAAGGTAAAAAAAAAATTTAAAAAATAAAAATGAACAAGGATGTAAAAAATATATTTAAAAAACAAAAGAAAAAAGGAAACAAAAAGAAAGTAACAATTACCTAAAGGGACTGATATGGGGAATAATGAGCCAACATTTATAAAATGCTTAATACAGTACCGACTACATAACGGGCATTTAATGAATGCCTTTCATCAAGTAGGTAAGATTGCACCTTTACAGATAGATGATAAAATGGCCTCATAGGGACATGAGACTTGCCCAAGGAAATTCAGTTAGTTGATAGTAGAGCTTGGACTTATCCTGAGATCTTCAGATACCCAAACCCAATGATTGTTCCAATATACCACTTTGGCTCAAAGAAGCAAATGCTCAAGTATAACAACTTTTCATCCTTCCTGCTTATCTCAGGAATCCAGCTTCCCTAGACAACTGTTAAGAAATTCTTTTCTTGGGCCTCCCCAGTGGCGCAGCAGTTGAGCGCTGGGTTGAGAAGCTGCCCGCAGCCTCTGCAGCGCCGGTTCGATCCCCGGCTGCTCCCCGGCCACCGGAGAAGGGTCCCACATGGCGCGCAGACCTCTCCTGCCGCCCGCTGCTCCCCTCAGCAGTGTACTTCAGTCCTTTTGCCTGTTCTGCTCCCCGCTCTGGCTCTGGTGAATTCTCTCACTCTCCCGCGCTTCTGATTGTACCCAGTGCTTGTATAAATAAATAAATTAAATAAATCTTTACAAAAAACATTATCTTTAAAAAAAAAAAAAGAAAGAAAGAAAAAAAAAAGAAATTCTTTTCTTTCCATGGCAATTACTATAACATTTTTTTCTTTACAGAACATATACAAAAATAAACACTGTGAATTCTGGGGACATAGAGAACTACCGGGGAAACAAATCTAAAAGAAACTCCAAATACTCCTTAAGAGTGATCCTCTATTTAAATAGAGTCTAAAATTCATTACCCAAAGATGTATATTTATGAAATATCTAGGGTAAAATGAAGAACTAATTATTTAATATTTATAAAGTTATAGATGCCCAATTTGAAACAAAATAAAACCTGTTGGGATTGGCAAGAGACTATATAATTTATTCATGTAAAGACAATAAAATATAAAAATTTTATCTACTTGAGTCCTTTCAAAATATTTAAAATTTTCATTTTTGACTCAAATTTAAATAGTGGCAAATGAAAATATTTTGTAAAATTTCCCTTATTATTTCCATACTGGTTTGCAGATACAAATTATGATATGCAGCTCCTATCATGGCTTCTAATGACCCTGTCTCCTGTGTTCAATGCAACTATGTAATCCTCTCTCTTGGAATGTGTGTTAGACCTAGTGACTTACTCCTAGCCAACAGAATATGGCAAAATGATGAGATGTCATTTCCAAACTAGATATGAGACTTTGTCTTGGTCATACTCAATCTACTGCCTTTTCAGCTTTCACGCCTCAATTAAGCAGGATACTATGCTGAAGAGGCCCATGTGACCAGAAGCCATATTCTGTCAATAACTGCATAAACTTTGAAGCAGAGTCTTCCCCAAGAAATAGCAATATGCTTTGATTACACCTTGATTACAGTCTGTGAAAAAACCAGAAACAGTGATCCCAGGCAAACCATGGCTAGATTTCTGATCCATGTAACTATGAGATAATACATGTTTTCAGTCATTAAGTTTTGGAGTAATTTGTCACAGAGCAGTAAATAACTAATGCTCTGTTTAAAAAACTGTGTGAATTTTCTGGGTTACTAACATGTTTTCTCCCCAGCAATTTAATCTACAGATCTTCACTCTTCCAGAAAATTTGCCAGTGAGTCTTCCCTTTGCAGCGCTTTTTAAAGAGTTTAAGTCTAAGAGATATATGCAAAATTATAAACATAGGCACCAATTCATTCTGTAAGGTCAGTCATTATCTTGATACCTAAACCAAAGATATCACAAAGAAAGGATATTTAATATGGATTATCTCACAGTAAATTACTAAGCCTAATACTGATTCTAACAATGCTCAGTCGTTAATCTTGATCCAGCTATGTAACTACTTTTCAAGATTAAACATGTATGGCTTAGAATATAAATCTAGTCTACTGATTCAGACATAAAAGTCATTCTTAAAAGATTTAGCTTAAATATTTACTCTAAAATAAAGAAGAAATACATTATTTTATCCTTTTTTATAGGTAATATTGGTTTATAACATTGTGTATATTTCAGAAAAACAGGATCCCACCTCTTCAAATGTATGTTACCACAAAATTTAAAATTTAATATATATTATGTGGCTAATGGAAAATTGGGATCTTAAAGTTTTGTCCCTTCCAATTCAGACTGTTGCAGAATTTCACTCTAAAAAACTATTAAAACTCTGTCTCTTCTTATTATCTCTTAAATCTTTAGATTTTTATTCTTATTTAAATAATATAAATTATAAGGAAAACATTTCAAAAGGAATATAAATTATATTTAATATGGTAAGCATTTCCCCAAGAATAAAAATCTTAAATTTAATACATTCAATTTGCAATTATAATACAAATATAAGGCAAATATAAATAAGAAACTTCCACATATGGGATTCCAGACAAAAGAGGCAACTACTTTGCAAACATCTGTCCCCATTACACCATCTAACTGTACTTTATTCTAAAATTTAAAGATTTGCAAAATTTAAAAGGAAACTTAGGGAGATTCCCAATTCATTCATTTACTTTCTTGTGAAGTTGCAATCTTGAAAAGAGATTAAAAAGTTCCGAAGGTTAGGAATCCAAAGCCTCCTTTGAAAATATTTACAAACAAGCATACTAGGAAATACAACTATAAGATATACTAATTGTATTTCTTAATATGTTTTGCAATCCTAACAGCATCACCATTATAAACTGACCTTACTGAGGGGTCGTTCTCCAGAAGTTCAGTAAGCCGCTGTACTTGTTCTGGCTGGATGGATCGCCCTAATAGTGCTTCTGTGTTAGTGTAGATGAGGAATGCTGAGACCACACCTAGTAAGGTGCCTACACCCAAAGAACCTAGACTGTCATACAGTGGATTGCCTAAATAAAGCACATAAGATGTTAGTAAATTAACATTTTCTGTTATTTTAGTGAATTTTAGTAAGCAAAGAACCAGAATTGGCAAATCAAGGAACTTAAAATAATTTCTAACTCCTTTAGTAACTTCTAATATTTTTACTATACTACTAAAAGTGTTCTCGCTTCATATTACACAAGAAGTATTAGTGGTCTAATATTTTAAGATCTAGTTCATTACATGGGTCAAGATTCTGAGTATTTTCAGATTAGTCACATTGTGTGTGTGTGTTTGTGTGCACACATTTCTTTTACATTTAAGTAGCACTTTTCCCATCCCAAATTGACAAAACAATTGAGATCAAAAGCTGAAAAAACCATTTCTGAGGGGTCTGATTCTTAGCAAGGTTCTGAGAAAAAATGAAGCCATGTAAAGTTAGTGCTATTCTAGATACAAGTAATTCACTGCATGCTATGGGTATAAAGCAGTGATTCTCAAAGCATAGTCTCCTGGGGTCTCCCTGGTGGTGCAGGGGTTAAAGTCTCAGCTCTATCAAGCTATCACCAGTCACTGCAGCTTGAGTTCAATCCCCAGCTAGGGAGCTAACCCACATGGCGCAGCAGACCTCTCCTGTCTCGCCCACTGCTCCCCTCAGCAGTGTTATTTCAATAAATATCCCCACTCTGTCTCTGGTGAATCCTCTCACCCCACCCGACTCCCTGAACCTCTACTCATATCCCAGTTTTTGTATGCACAAATAAAAATAAATAATTGAAAAAAAAAAAGTGTAGTCTTTTGAACAGTAGAACCATTATCACATTTGATAACTTGGTGAAAATACAAATCTCAGATCTCACCTGAGACTTTCTAAACCAGAAACTGGAAGCAGTGTCCAGCATTCTGTGGCCTCCTAAGTCCTCCAAGTGATTCTTTTTTTTTTTTTTTAAGATTTATTTATTTTTTTATTTATTTATACAATAGTTGGGGTACAGGCCAGAGGCACAGGAGAGTGAGAGGATTCACCAGAGACAGAGTGGGGAGCAGAACAGGCAGAGAGAACGTAAACACTGCTGAGGGGAGCAGTGGGCGAGACAGGAGAGGTCTGCCATGCCATGTGGGAATCTCCCTGACCAGCTGGGAATCGAGCCTGTGCTGCAGAGGCTTCGACAGCTTCACAGCACTGCACTCAACCCACTGCGCCACTGGGGAGGCCCCATCCAGGTGATTCTGATTCTAAAAGTTTCCTCAATTTGTTAGGGGTTAATTCTCTCCTAGAAACAATGAGAAGAACTGATTTACCATACATGGATGTATAATTTAATATTCATAACAAACATTATTAACTATATTTTAAATATAATAATTTTACATTTTCAGTTTAGAAGTCTTTATTTCAAGGATGAAATGTCAATATTGAATCTCTTTCAATGCTTGATAAAATATTTTACTAAAAAATAACCTGTTGCACTAGTTTTAATAATCAAAATATAACACTAAAAAGTAAACTGAAATTATCTATGCTGAACGATTAAGAATGACCCACTTGTAAAATATAATCCACTAATAGGTTTTTAATTATAGAGGTCAAAAAAATCAAATATTGCTCTTTAGAAACCAAAATTTAATTTTTTAAAAAAATATGTGTATAGGCGCTATTACAGAAATCACATGAATACTGGCTGAAAAATACTTCATATCTTGGCATGTTATTTAACTTTAAAAAATTTAATTCAGGGCCTCCCCTGGTGGCGGAGCGGTTGAGCGCTGGGCTGCGAAGCTGCCCGCAGCCTCTGCAGCGCCGGTTTGATCCCCGGCCACCGGCAAGGGTCCCACATGGTGTGCAGACCTCTCGTGCAATGCCCACTGCTCCTCTCAGCAGTGTATTTCGTCACTCTGCCTGTTCTGTTCCCCGCTCTGGCTCTGGTGAATTCTCTCACCCTCCCGTGCTTCTGACTGTACCCAGTGCGTGTATAAATAAATAAACCTTTAAAAAAAAAAAATTTAATTCAGGGGATCTCCCTGGTGGCCTAGGGGTTAAGTCTCAGCACTGTCACAATGAAGGCCCTTTGCAGTGGCCTGGGTTTGCTCCCCAGCTAACCCACATAGTGCAGCAGAACTCTCCTGTTTCACCTGCTGCTCACCTCAGCAGTGTATTTCAGTAGATCTGTTCTGCTCCCCACTCTGTCTCTGGTGAATTCATTCATCCCCCACACCTCTGGCCTATACCCCAGTTCTTCTACGCAAAAATAAAATCTTAAAAAAAATTCAACTCATATAAAACACCCAAATTTAAACTTAATAAGTTTAATTTGGTTTGTATTATTATGTAAAAGAAAATAACCTATTAAAAGCTGACTTAGTCATCAAAGTCATACTTTCTTTTTTTTTTAAAGATTTATTTTTATTTATGCATCAAGAGCTGGGGTACAGGCCAGAGGTGCAGGGGGTAAGAGGATTCACCAGAGACACAGTGGTGTACAGAACAGGCAGACTGACTGAAATACACTGCTGAAGGGAGCAGCGGATGAGAGAGGAGAGGCCTGCTATGCCATGTGGGTTGCTCCCTGGCTGGCCGGGGATCGAACTCGTGCTGCAGAGACTGCAGATTGCTTCATAGTGCTGTGTTTACCACCAGGGAGATCCCTAAGTCATACTTTTCTTAAGCCTAAAATTTTGCTAAGTACTAATTTTTGTCCAAAAAATCTCTCAAACTGTAAGGTTAACCAGAAAAAAAACCCAAAACTTTTAGAAATATTTTGTGTCACAGTGAACATCAAAGTCTTAAAATGTACATTCAAAAAGAGAAAGATCTATTCATGATTTGGACTATTTTAAGAAACACTGCAGAATGGTGGAGGCTCATCACCATTATTTTAAATATGCAAGGACAAATGGGTAAGAATGGAAGATATTCCATTCTAAGAGAATTCCAACTTTAGAAATGAATCTTTACATATTAAAGCTTTCTTCTGTTTTAGAAAAAAAAATACAATGATTTCCTTTATTCTCATTCACCTGTATTGTACTGGAGTTCAAAGCACTTAACTAGTTACCAAAACTGAGGATAGAACCAACTTTAAAGTCAAGAAAATAGGAAAGTAACAGCAGTTATTATTGGCACTGATTGTGGAAAAGGAACAACAGCTACAATATACATTTATTTAGAACTTTAAGATTTGTTAAAGTTCTCATATATTATTTTAATAAACTATTTTAATAAACTGTGAAGTCACTAAAATAAATATTATCAATACTTTCATAGGTAAGGAATAATTTTTTAATTCTTTAAAAGCTGAAAGTGGTCACATTATTTATTAAGTCAAAAAAAGGTTTATAGCATTACAAAAATGAACTTTATTCTGTATTTATGACAGAAATTTCTAACTGACCAATTGTTTTATATAAATAAATGATTAGTATGAAATTAACATTCAACAATACCAGTTTAATGTTATTCAAAGACATAAAAGAAAATTCTCACATATTAGAGATTTAAGTAGTAGAAATAAATTGCCTATAATTTAAGAAATTTTACCTGTTATAGAGGTAAGGCCCATACAAGTGGCTGCTATTGTCACTCCCAAGACTGCTGCAGTATCCTCCAATAATATAACATTTGTACTAGGATCACGACTTTCTATTACTTGATCATTGGGGAAGAGACAAAATTAATTTTCTGAAATCTTACTTTGACATCATCAGGTAACTTGATAATAAGCATTCATTTAAAACTGTAGTGTAAATGAAGATTAAAAAATGCATAAAATCCTAATTTGTAAAACCCTGTTCAATGAAAACTAGTTCTTTGCTTCAATGTTAACATTTGTTACTTAAAGTCAAATTACTCTCTCAAATTATATAAACATATATAGAAATATGGTATTTCACCTAAGTTAAATCCAATTATAAAGTAGTCGTGTTCAAATTATATTTCTCTTTATAAAAGAGATGTTTATTTAAGAGTCACAGAGGGAAGACAAGACATATTTTGAACACATGTACAAGGAACAAAGCAAAAGTACTGGGTAATTTTAAGCAAATAAAGGAGATTAAATAATACACCTGGTTTCTAAATTACATACCATACTTGTAAAATGACATTCCTTTAGCTCGAGCACTCCTACGAAGTTCATTTAAAGCAACAAGAAGTGTTGCTGAAAGAAAAGCATTAATATCAGCAAGAAAGAAACTTCATGCCTCCAAACTTTAAAGATGGTATCTCAAAAGATAATAGGCACAACATTTTAATGCCAAGGTTACCAATAAGGAAAATTCTACATTAGTCACCCACACTCCAATTAATCATCATAATATAATAATATATTTCTAAATCACAGTAACTTAAATATCATTACTACAACATCCTTAATTTACTAGACAGTTGCTACATGGCAGATACTACACTAAGAACAATCACTTTGATCCTCCCAACCTTTTGAGACAAGTGGTATTATCACCACTTTATAGACTATAAAAGATGAAGGGAGTACTAAATACACAAAGTAACAGTGGGGTGCCTCCCTGGTTGTGCAAAGGGTTAAGTCTCAGCACTACGAAGTTATCTGCAGCCACTGTAGCATGAGTTCCATCCCTGGTCAGGGAGATAACCCACATGGCACAGCAGACCTCTCCTGTCTCGCCCACTGCTCCCCTCAGCAGTATATTTCAGTCAATCAGCCTGTTCTGCTCCCCACTCTGTCTCTGGTGAATCCTCTCACCCCCTGCATCACTGGCCTATACCCCAGTTCTTGTATGCATAAATAAATGAATCTTTAAAAACATAAAAAAGAAAGCGACAGTGTGTTTCTGAAGTAAACACACTATGAGTGAAGCAGAAAATCAAGAAGGTTCATACCTGATAGTGAAACTTCTCTACTGCTATAATTAAAACTTTCAAAAGCTTTGAAATATTCATATTGAAAAAGCCTTCTCTGATTAACATTACAAAATCTGATTCTTAAAAACTCATTATATAGTTAGTTTTTAAACTCATTTCAAAAACATTTCAAATGTTCTGAGTAAAGATATATGATGAAAACAAAAAATAAAAAAATGGCTTTTCCCTCCCCTCATCCACTACAAAAACAAAGAATTTACTATTTAAAGACAGAAAAAGCTTAGATTTCTCTTCTTACAGTTTTCTTTAATCAATACATATTAGTTTAATAAATATATATTTAATAACATATTAGTGAAATGCTAAATATTACTAAATTAAGTATATGTGATGCTGAAGCAAACACAAAATGTTCATAAATTAAGAATAAATATTATGACAGTACATACCTCCTTCAGACACCAATGATCCTGCTAAAATGCAATATGCCTAGAAAATATAAAAATGAAGCATAAATTAATATTTCACTGCAGAATCAGAATTGTTCCTGCATAAAGTTTGTAATGTTTAAAACAAACACATAAATTTCCATCCAATCCAGATAAGAATCTTGATGAAAAATAGCTCAACAGATACAATGAGATATGACATCTCAAAAGAGGAGACAACCTAAAAATTTGAAAGCCATCTTTTTAAAAACAGTAAGTATAAGTAACATACAGAGTGTTATGTCATAACCTAAGCTAAATTCACAATACAAAAGATAAAAGAGTTAAATAGTACTAAAATTTCAAATCTGGGGTGTGGATAACAAAAGCAGTAAGATCTACATCCATATCAAAGTAATTTCTGGATTTGTTTGGCTGCCCATTACCAAGAAAATCTTTTCTGAATCCTGATTCAAAGAGATAAGTTGTTATGAAAAGTTAACAATTTTGGTTTTGATAACACCACTTTCCTTACAGTCCAAGACACTCTCCAATTAAAGATATCAATAGAAGTTTTAAATCAAGCTAAACAGCAAGAGAAGCACACAAATTCTTTATAAATTTTAAATGAAATTCAAACCAAATGCCTATAGAATCTTCAACATTATCCTTCTGTTAGGCTTCTCTGGAATGGAGGCTTAGAAATTTTGAACCTAGTTCAACACTCATATTCTGTTAAGGAAACTGATTTCCCAATGCTGTATGACGTGCTTGAGTGCACAGATTAAAAACTAAAATCCAGGCTTTCCAGTCTCAATTCTAAACTTTTTTCACTGCATCTTATGGCCAATCTGAAAAACAGTTAAATTCCCAGCAATTCTTTTTAATCCCTTTCTTTCTAGAAATAACTTAAGACACATTTATCACCTAGTAAAGGGAGACAGTATATATCAGCCAAGATTCCAAAATAATACCTAATAAACACAAATTGGTCTATAGCATATTGAGTATATTATTTACCAAGGAAGTCACAGTCTGATGGAAACTTTAGTTATTACTAAAAAATATAAAAGCATCAAGAAGCTTTAAAAGTTATACATAATTGAAAATTCATCAATCCTTAGCTCTAGTGTCTTCAACCCTTTTGCCTCTATAAAGTAATAATGTACAAAATTAGATGACTGTTAGGAGAATGAAGTAAAGCAAATCCTCAGTCCTTGATACTGCAACTTTAAGCAAAATGACATATAAAGAAGCCAATTTTACTCTAAGCTAACTGATTAATAAATAAGAGTTATGTTTCTACAGCATATGTCTGTCACAAAAACACCATCAAACTTCTATAAAAAGATACAAAGCACTTCTAATACAATAATTTGTACTCACTCACTCATTCATTTTCCAACCTGGTTATTTCATTTCAAGGTTGTGGGTGGATGGCACCTACCCCAGCAGCTCAAGGTACAAGATAAGAAGCTAGTCTCAATAGCACATGTTTCTATCAAAGGCAGACTGAGACACACCAATTAACCTCACATGCATGCACATCTTTGACATGTGGGAAGAAATTAAGAGTACCAGGAGAAAATCCAGGTAAACATGGGGGATTCATGCAAACTCCACAGACAGTGGACCCAAATGGAAATCAATTTTTTTGCTCTCAACAGCTTAACAAAATGATATTGAATGAAATGTTGTTATTGAAGTATTCCATCTTTTCAAAATGGAAAAAATATGCTTGTTTACTTTTAATATTATAAAATCTATTAAGTGAGAAAACTAGTCAATAAAAACTGCAGGAAAAGACTAGCTTAATAGCCTTGTTATTATATAAATGTGAAGGTATTAAAAAATATTAAAATGAGACATTCTGGTTGTGAACAAAATAGGTTCCAAGTACCCCCACATTCCAAAATGAGGTGCTATACCACCTCTTCAGATTTTTACACAGAGGTGGTCCAATCTTTGTTTTACAATGCCTTGCCTACACACCCACTAGCCCACTTAAATGCTGAAGATAAGGAGGTCAAAAGTAAAAGTTTTTTGAAGAAACCTGTTAAGCGATTGAGGTTTAGAAAGCTGGATGCATGTACCCAGAGTTTAGAGATCACAGTGAACTATTTCTAATACACACCTGAAAAATGTATAGGCAAGTCTATTATGTGATAGTGTTTTGGAAAAAATCTGCAATTGCACCAAGTGTCAAAGATGCTTGTTTTGGGCCTCCCTGGTGGTGCAGGCAGTTGAGCACCACACTGTGAAGCTGTCCACAGCCTCTGCAGTGTGGGTTCAATCCCGGCCAGCCAGCGAGAATCCCACATGGTGAAGCAGACCTCTTCTGTCTCGCCCACTGCTCCCCTCAGCAGTGTATTTCGTCAGTCTGCCTGTTCTGTTCCCCACTCTGTCTCTGGTGAATCCTCTCATCCTCCCACGCATCTGACCTGTACCCCGGTTCTTGTATAAATAAATCTTAAAAAAAAAAAAAAGATGTTTAACACTTAGGGCTCAAACATGGGATTTTGACTAGGGGTCTTCTGAAAAGATTACCTTGCTAAATGAAAGATAATCTCAGCAGAGAGCCTCCCTGGTGGCGCAGCGGGTTGAGCACCACGATATTGAGCTGTCCGCAGCCTCCACAGTGCCAGTTCGATTCCCGGCCGGCCAGGGAGAATTCCACATGGTGTGACAGACCTCTCCTGCCTCGCTCACTGCTCCCCTCAGCAGTGTCTTTGGTCCGTCTGCCTGTTCTGCTCCCCGCCTTCTCTGTTAGTCCCATTCCTTCACATCAATATGACAAAGGCAGTCTATTGTACTTAATCATGATTCATATTATTTCATAACTGAGAGAAGAAAAAAAGATTACCCATAGAAGAGATTCTATCGGCTGAGGATTAAGCAATCCCATGATTCCATGGTACCAAGATAATCCTGCACCCATCATGAAAATACCAACTCCGCTAATTAGTGAAGCAATGTAACGCATATTTGAAAATCCATACCTGAAAAATAAAAAAGATTGCTTAAATACAAATGATTTCTTTTCAAGATATGTTTGGTCAATGAAAAGAAAATTTTAAAATTTCTAAAATTATCAAGATAGCATGATTTATATTTAAGTAAAATTTAAGTGCCAATTGAAATGTAATCAAAATTTCAATAAGTGGAAAACTTACAAGATCTTTGAAAATATATAAAAATGGAGTGCATATAATTTAATTCAGGTATTTTCTAATCTCTTTTCCATAAATCCTTTTTCCATTTTGATTTAGTAGAGCTACTTTACTATTACGTAGCAAAATGCTGGTAAATTAATCTTTTTAAAAATACATTCAAATGTTCAAGGAACAGGATTAACATTTTTCTTATACTGTATTTTCTAATTGAATATTTTGATCTTCTTGTACAACCAATGATTTGTATTACCTATAGTTTCATGCTGGATATTTATTACTGGTCCTGAACAGTTCAGTCACAGTAACTGACTGCTATTGTTTAATTAGGACTTTAAGTTTTCTGGATGTTTTTATGACAAATGCTTTTTACATTTCAATCATTTTCCAAGTATCTTTGCTCAATATGTGCATTATTTTGTATTATTATCTATACCAATAAAATACTGAGTATTATGGAAATCAAAAATATAATACACTATAAGAAGCAAAGAATCACTCATAAATAAAAATATTTCCTAGAAAATTTACTTTCAAACACAAACTCTATAGCACCCTCCCAGCAGATGAAAATTTAAACAGGAATTCTTAATTAAGACTGATTTTTAAATTCTTTTTGCAAACATATAATCTTGCAATAGGGACTTCTCAATTTATAAATATAACTTTGTACCAGTAGCTAATAACATAATGGACAGATACAAAATATTTTTATAATTATAGAAAATTCTACTGGACAGCACTAAAATAGATTATTGAAGGTACTTTGAGAATAAATTGTCACAAGCTAAAATTAAAAAAATTTTTAACCTGTTTTTAAACTTCTACTGTATAAAACTGGTCAGGAAAATAAGTTTTCCTGAGAAAATAAAACATTGCAATGATTTGTAATTATCAAACTAGAAGGCTAATTGTTCTATGTACTAGTTACTGATCATTCGACTATTCAAAATATATTATTAATAAGAAAACAGTAGTTTCTTGCTTTTAACAAAAAAATTTATATAAATTATATAGGTAGACTCCTTTATAATAAGAAAAAATTTTTTTGCCTTGAGATTGATCAAATTCTACTATTAAAACTTATTTTAACAATTATGCATGTGTTTTAGCTGGTTATGTTAAGTAGAAGCAACAGAAAAAAAACCTCTGTATTAACTGATATGATCCAAAATAATACACTCTAAAAGGCATAATTTTGAAACACTAACAATACTATTCCAAATCACAGCAAGAGGATTAAAATAAGTTAAGTATGGATTTAACAGACTTTATTCCCAAAATTTTAGATTGAGTGGTACATTAGTCTAGATGCAGAGTATGTTTCCTATGACAAAATTGAACTCTAAGATAAACATATGTGCTTTGTTATAATTGTCAAATATGAAGAGGACAAGGTCTCTACTCTTCATTGCAAAACATAATTTAAACTCTATTTTGAAGTTATATCTTGACATAGCAGTGAGTTCTGCATTTTTGGTATTACAGCAGAAGAAATGAGCAACTCTTTAACACAAAACTGCAGGGGTGTGTGTGTGTGTGTGTGTGTGTATATATATATATATATATATATATATATATATATATATATATATGAACTGCAGATTTCTATAATTCAGTTGCTTTTCTATCAATGATTAGTGGCTAAAACAAAATAAAGGCAATGTCCTTACGGATGAGTAGGATCTGGTGTTTGAACAGACTTGCTGATGCCCACTGCTAATAAACCCTAAAGAGAACAAAAAGTTAAATAAATCATTAGCAAGATGGGGAGTATAATGTAGTGAAACCAGTCTGGAGAATATAATCTGACAATGACAAAGAAACCATAAGCATATGCATATACTACAACCTAATAATTCTTATTTGCGGATTTACCTTATAGAAACAAATATAAACCCAAAGGGGTACAAAACACTATTGCTTACAGAGAAGAAAAAAGCCAATATAAAAATCCAACAATGAGGAAATGCAAGACAAATAATGAGATAACCAAACCATTAACAACTTTTATAACCGTTTAAAAGAGTGCAATTGAGATAAAACTTTCTGCACTAACACAGCAAAAGCTCCTAGTCACCATTAAGTGGAAAGGGGAAAAAAACAAATTTAGGAATAACTTATGTTATGTACTTATTGTAAACTATATCTAATAAAGAACACAGGAAAGATCTAGCCATTCTAACAGGTTCACTGTGATTTTGATTTTAATTTCCCTAATGAATGATGCCCAGTATTTTTTCATGTACCTGTAGGCCAGCCATGTGTCTCCTTCAAATATCTACTCAGATGTTCTGCCCATTTTTAAATTAGATTGTTTGGGATTTTTTGCTATCCAGTTGTATGAGTTCTTTAGAATTACATTTTTTTAAACAGGTCTCAAAAGTTACTGTTTTCAAAAGGACATGAGAAATATAATTCCCATCTACTCAAAAAGACCCAGTTGAAATCTTTTCATCAAAGCCTTTCTGACATTCTAATCAAGACCAAGGAATGCTCAAAGTACTTGGTATCACGAGATCTCAGGTTTTATTTATTGCTACTATTGCTCAATTTCTTATAAAATTAATTTATTTTTCTAGTTACAAAACTAATATATGTTCATTATAAAGAAATTCAAATAGTATAGAAAAGGAGACCATTTAAGAATTTGGGGCATGTTTCAGACTATCTTTATAAACGCCTATGTACATTTTTTTTTTTTAAGATTTATTCATACAAGCACTGGGTACACTCAGAAGCGCAGGAGGGTAAGAGAATTCACCAGAGCCAGAGCAGGGAACAGAACAGGCAGACTGACGAAATACACTGCTGAGGGGAGCAGCAGGCAGCAGGCAGCATGTGGGACCCTCGCCAGCGGCCAGGGATCAAACTGGTGCTGCAGAGGCTGCAGGCAGCTTCACAGCCCTGCGGCTCAACCGCTGCGCCATGAGGGGAGGCCCGCCTATGTACATTTTTTAATGTTGCTTTTGTCCACAATCTACATGCCTTTTTGCACTTTATTTTATGGAAATTTTCTAACATACAGATAAACAGAAAAAAACAATTCAAAAAATCTAATAAAACATATCAATAAGCCAAACTCATCTTCCACTCAGTTTCAACAACTGCAAATATATAATCACATCTATTTTATCTAAGTCAATCCACTCCGCTCCCTCATAAATATTTGAAGTAAATTTCAAATATCATACCATTTCATCTTTAAATATTTTGGATTAATCCCTTTTAAAAAACTAAACTTTTTTAGAAAATTATCATACTTTTAAAAATTAATATTGTTTATTATTATTAAACATCTATTCAATGACATTTCACATATTTAAATTCTGAAGTAGAATTCACACAATGAAATGCACAAATCCTGAATGTACTTCTCTGATTTTTGACAAATTCACAGCCTTGTAACACATATTCTTTTTTTAAAAAAAAAATTTATTTATGCATTCAAGAACTGGGGTAAAGGCCAGAGGTGTGGGGGGTGAGAGGATTCACCAGAGACAGAGTGGGGAACAGAACAGGCAGACTGACTAAAATACACTGCTGAGGTCAGCAGAGGGCGAGTCAGGAGAGGTCTGCTGTGCCATGTGGGTAGCTCCCTGGCCGGGGATCGAACTCATGCTGCAGTGGCTGCGGATAGCTTCATAGGCTGAGTCTTAACCACGTGCACCACCAGGGAGGCCCCATAACACATATTCTTATTAAGACACAGAACCTTTCTATCACCTCAAAAAGCTCTCCTGTGTATGTTCAGTCAATCCTCCCTCACATTAGACAAAAATTTTTCTGAATATTTTTTAACCAAAGATTATAGATCTATTCTAAAACTTCATATAAACAGAATCACACAATAGGTATTCTTAAGTGTTCACCATTCATTTAGCATATTGTTGGAGATGCCTATATACTGCCTATATGTATTTCTTTTTATTGTTAAGTAATATTGTATTGCATCAGTATTCCAGAAACTTACCTACTCCACTGCTGATGGACATTTAGGTTGATTCCAGTTTCTTGTCCATTACAAGGTGCTATAAAAATGCTTATAAAAGTTTTGTGAAAATTCCCATTTCTTTTGGAGTACTGAGTCATACAATAGGTTTAGGTTTACAAGACACTGACAAGTGTTTTCAAGAGTGATGGTTACAGTTTATGATCTACCAACAATGTCTAAGACTTGCTTTTCCATATCTTCATCAACATTCTGTTGTCAGTTTTTAATTATAGCCATTATAATGGATATACAGAAATGTCTTATTGAGGTTTTAATATACACTTCCTGATGACTAATGATATTAAGTACTTTTTCACGCATCCTTTCAAGTATCTTATTTGTGAACTACCTGTTCAAATCTTCAGGTTTTTAAAAAATCTGAGTTGTCTTTTCAGTACTGAATCATACAACTTCTTTATCCCGAATACCAGCCCTTAGTCAGATCATATGCTTTGTGAATATTTTCTCCCAATTAATTTTCTTGAGTATTTTGAAATTAGAGTTTAATCTATAAATTTATTTCTTACATAATTCTGTTTTTGAGTCCTATTTTAAGGTCTAGAAGACACTCTCCTTGGTTTACTTCCCATGACTTTTTCTGACAACCCAGTATTTTGTCTAGTTTAGCTGTTTAATGTGATATGTCCAGTCCCCATTAGTCTATCATGGGGGAAGCAGAATTTCTTGACACGATATTTTACAAGTAGAATTTTTATTTAAATTATCAGTTATTATTCCTGCTGAGTACATAGATACCTATCTACCACATTCTTTTAAACCCAAGTAGTATTTCAAAGTACAGACACTTAAAAGTTAACTTCAATACTTTAAATAACAATACCGAAACAAATAATCTACATATTTTTCCATGTCCATATGTACAAATACTTCTGCATAACAATTTTCTTATTTTCAAGTAAGCCTGTGACAAAATAGATTATTATGTGTTCTCTCTCCCCTCACTCCACACCATGACTGACTGGCAAAATATTACATATAGTAGTTATTATTTACTGAATATAATATCAAATGTTTATGTACTTTCCTAACCTTTACAAAGGGTTAAATACATTTGATAGTATATTAGATGAGTTCTCAAATTGAATTTTTAATTAAGATTGTTCTTTTGGACCTTCCTGTTGGCGCAAGGGGATAAGCACTGCACTACAAAGCAATCTACAGCCTCTGCAGCACGAGTTCGATCCCCAGCCGGCCAGGGAGCAACCCACATGGCGAAGCAGACCTCTCCTGTCTCGCCCGCTTCTCCCCTCAGCAGTGTATTTCAGTCAGTCTACCTGTTCTGTTCCCCACTCTGTCTCTGGTGAATCCTCTCACCCCCTGCACCTCTGGCCTGTACCCCAATTCTTGTATGCATAAATAAACCTTTTTTAAATAAAAATTATTCTTTCTACTCTTAATGTATCTGTGTCTAAGTTTACTGTAAGTATAAATAATGAAAAGGCATCTCTTTAGTACACCACATTCTTTAAAATGTGAAATGATACACAAGTAGAAATTTTTTTTTTTGTTCGTAAAAATGGCTTAGGGTTTCTAGTATTTGATGTTTACATCAAAGAGGGTTTAAGAAGGCATTTTAATTTATTTAAAAAAATCTTTCTTCATTTGAAAATTTAAGGAAAGAAATTTAAAATACCAGTGTAATATAGGAATCATTTTAATTCATCATTCATATCTTTATTCAAAAAACTGAAAGTCATAAGAACTCATATTTAGAGACCATATTCTTATCTAAATAACATCTCATCTACAAAAGCCTCTGCCGAAATTAGTGACTGATAATTTTACATTTCATATTCCATTGTTGAAAATTCTTAAAGCATAGCAAACTGCTTTAAAATACTATGCTCACATTCCTGTATATTTCAACACTTAAAAGTGAAACAATTTTCATTTTCTTCTAAAGCCAACCTTAGAAATCATTCAGTTTTAAATACAATTTTTAGACTAAACCCTTAAAATTTTTACTTTAAAATTAATCAGAAAAAGCTTCTATCCCTCACCTGATTACAAGTATCAGATAAAGAGTGTATAGCTTCAGAGAACATACTTGCTGAACCCGTATAAATCCAGGCAAGGAATTTAAAGAAACAGTTTAATCCATTGCTAGGAGAAAAGAGAAAATAATCAAGCATAGGTTTGGCTAACAATTTCCACCAAAAGCTTATTTTATTGACTGTATATACTTCTATACTAGATTCTGTTCAAAATGAAGTTAAAAGAATCCCTAACCTTCAAGAACCTCTTATATTTTATGTAATGAGTATAAATTTGAGAAGTACAGATAATGGTTTCATTAAATACTCAAATGAACAGGTATGATATGTGTAAAGCAAATTACTTAAGTGCATTATGAGAACTGGTAAGAAAAGTGAGTGTTCTGCACTTGGACTAAGTGAATTAGAATGGAAATTAATATTGTCCAGGAGACCAATGTGAAATGACTGGCTGGATTTAGCTCAGGCACTAATCATTTACCATGCTTTGTTATAACTCTTTAATGTAAATATAAATGAACATCCTCATCTTATAAATAAGAAAACCACACATCTTCCCCCAGCTACCTGTTTCCCTTCTTCTTCACTTCAAATAATTTCTTGAAGAATCATCTGCTCTTACTCTCTGTTTTCCTCACTTTGCACTAATTCTTCAATCCATGAAACAACTTCTGCATCAGATACTTCTTTCAGCTGGTCTTATCATAACCACCAGTTATGATGGTTACTGCTATTAAATTCCTAGAAACATTTTAGTGATTTCCATAATTTCACAGAAATATTTGTCACTATTTTCTTAAAATGCTTCCTTGGCTTCCATAACATCCCTAGTTTTCTTCCTACCTTGCTCCATATTCTTCCTCTACAGAATCTTTTTCCTCTACCCATTTCCTACATTATAAGCTTTCTTCAAGGTTTTTCCAGAATGCTTTTTCTTCCTCACTCACTCCCTACACTCATCTACACTCTCCAGGTAATCTTAATTTTTATGGCTTATATTATCCCCTACATACTAATTAACACTCAACTCTAAATCTCTAATCCAAATCTCCTTCAATGCTTCAGATCAATATACATTAACAACTATAAATATATATCATGCACCAGGTTTATGCTAAGCAGATTACATATATTACATGCATTTATCCAGTAAAGAATGCTTTCATTGCTAACCCCATTTTGCTGATGAAAAGAACAAATCCTGTTAATGAACTTCAGTTGGGTGTCCTACAGATGGATCACTCAAACTCAAAAATGAGTTTGGATGGTGCCCAGGCACCTGATTTCTTTTGCTCCCATCCTGCTACTTCCCCTTCTTCAAGAGCTTCTTTTCTCAGTTGATGATGCAATATCTTACCTAATATCCAGACTAGATGCCAGGGCACCATTCTTAACCTTATTTCCTAAATACTTCTTGAACCTAAACATGTCTGCCCATCTTTGTGAACATTATCCTAATTCAATACTTCATCATCTCTTTTCTCTATTATGTCAAATTACTTCTTCCAGTCTAGTGCCCCTCCAAAACTGTATTATGTATATTTTTTATGTTTCCAGATTTCACAATTCCTAACACACATAAAATACACATGTTTTACTCAAGAAATAAAGACAGCTGGTGGGGGGTGGGGGGGGGGAAAAGAACTAATGAATTGTAGAAGTAATGCTTTTAATCATCCTAAAATAAATTAATCAGCAAAATTTACAAAGAGGAAAAAACAACAGGAATCAAAAAGAAGAAACAAAAAAGAGGCAAAAATACCAATTATGCTCTTTCAAAGTAAGTGGGAGATCTACCTTAGAAGCTATAACCCTGATTTAAGTTTTAGGTATTCTAAAAATAATCCTGGCCAATTTAACTTTTTAAAAAAGATTTCCATCTAAAGCAATTAAAATAGAGGATTTTTCAGAGAGCAACTATTCTTAGATCTTGACCACATCATAAACATACAAGGCACAAGATAGGCCTCTATATGGGCTCTTTCCGCAGTACTCTACTGACAAAACATAAACTTACTGAACTCATGCTAAAACAACATAAATTTATATATATATAAACATTCTACATCATTCTTCATTTTTGTACAATGTATGCTTTCTCCTCTCAGGTGAAGTTCCCGTAAAATTCCCACCACCAATTCACCCCTGTACAATCACCACAGTCCATTGTGTTCTTCCCTCCCCTGTTTTGATCCCTCTCCTACCCCTCCCCTGCAGAATGTCTCTAACTTATAGTGGCCTGTTAGTTTTGTTTTTCGATTTATTATGATTTTTTTTTCCTGATCCCTCATTTGGTTTCTCTACATTCCTACATTTCTCTACATTCTCTACATGAAACCATCTGATTTTTTTTTTTTTTCTTTTTCTTTCTGGCTTTTTTCACTGAGCATAATCCAGCTCCATCCATGTTGCTACAAATACCATAAAGCAACATAAACTTTTAATTTTTTTACCTAAATACCAAATAATAAATGTATACATTCAAGGATATACACATTAAAAATAATACATTACTACTTTAAAAGGCTTATTTTTCAGTACTTACATGCAAATGGCAACCATCACAACTTTACCCGGGCCCTTAAAAAAAACTGATGTAGTTCTGGAACGTGGCTATAAAAAAAAAATCAAAAACATCTTCTCAGAGCAGCACTATAGTGCTTATAAATGACTCACAAACGCACAAACCAGAAAGCATCTCCCATCAAAACCTCTAAATAACTAAGTTTACTTATTTTTCTCAAGAAATAATTCTTTAAAAAGCAGACATTGGGCTCTTTCTCCAGAGCTTTATTTTATTTCCTTATAATTCATGGAAAGTCTGCCTATTTCCAAAAAGGATCTTAGTTGGTTACATAGAAACTAGAAATATATATATATATTAGTGACTTTGGTAAGGGCCATTTCAGTAGAGTGGGGATCAAAGTGCAACTGGAGAGAATTCAAGAGAGTAAGAGATAGGATAGTAAAGATAAACCTTTCATGCTGTCTCAATATTAATTTCCCTCTAGTAGGAAGAAAAAGAGTATTCTGGCACACATGTAGATAAGATAGTAAATATGGTGATGGAAAGATGAAGTGCTTTTTAGAGATAACATCTATTTTATTCAAGAATATATGAAGTAAGGTCATTAGAATAAAGGGAGAGGCTGTAAGAAATCTGGTGAAAGAGGAAATGGCTCACAACCACCACCTCACAGAGTTGGAGAGTGAATGCACTGTGTAAGTTTAGTAAATGTCCACTGATTTTGTATACTCATAACAAAGAAAGAAAAATCAAAATGAATATGCAATTCTCTCTTCCAAGGGCTATGCTTCTTCACTACAAACACAGGATGACAGTTTGAATGTTTAACCAAGGTAAAGAGAAGGAGAAGATTCAAGGAAATTAAAGGTGTATATGTGAAAGAGCTGAATCTTGCTAAGAATCTAATATAGCCTTCTCCCTTCTAATCTATAGGGCTCATGGTTTATAACAGTTATGAATTTAAAGAGAATTTATCTCTCAATTTTTTTAATTTCAAGAAAGCAGACAGAAACAAATACACTGCAATTTGCTGCATTACAATGTGTTCAAGGAAATCTTGGATTAGAATCACAAACATTGTGGTGCAACAGACCTGTTTTGCCCGTTGCTCCCCTCAGCAGTGCATTTCAGTAGATCCAACTGTTTGGATCCCCACTGTGTCTCTGGTGAATCCTCTCACCTCCCACACCTCTGGCCTAGAACCCAGTCCTTGTATGCATAAATAAATCTTAAAATAAAACTAAAATATCACAAACATTTCACAATCAACTGATAACTAGGGTTTTACTGTGTAACATAACATTATACCTTGGTGTTTCCCAGAAAGTCTCCATATTCTCTCAATATTTTTTGGTTTCTAAATAGTCCTGTTACAAAAAAATTATAAAATACAGTTAGCTCATTTCTATTCTTATCAGTCACATTTTAGATGAACATAATTATTCTCTTTAAGATTATGCTTTACTAGAACTAGTAAAAATATCAAGTTGTTACAAGAAATCTGGATTTGCAACCCAATTAAAAAACGGGCATGGGATCTCCTTAGTGGCGCAAGGAGTTAAGAGTCATTACTATGAAGCATCTGCAGCCACTGCAGCACAAGTTCAATCCCCGGCCAGGGAGGTAACCCACATGGCATAGCAGACCTCTCCCGTCTTGCCCACTACTCCCTCAGCAGCGTATTTCAGTAGATCTGCCTGTCTGCTCCCCACTCTGCCTCTGATGAATCCTCTCACCCCCTGCACCTCTGCCTGTAACTCAGTTCTTGTATGCATAAATATAGAAATCTTAAAAAAAAAAAAAAAAAGTAAGGTGGCACATTAGGTTTCATGAAAATTTTTAAAAATGGGCAAAGGATTTAAATAGACCTTTCTCTAGCGATGATATATAAATGATCAGCAAGCACTTGAAAAGATGCTCATATCATCAATCAGCAAAGAAATGCAAATTAAAACCATAGTGAGGTATCACTTCATACCCACCCACAGCTACTCTCAAAAACAAAAACAGGGCCTCCCTGGTGGCGCAGGTGGTTGAGCATTGCACTGTAAAGCTGTCCGCAGCCTTTGCAGCGCGGGTTTGAACCTGACTGGCCAGGAAGAAACCCACATGTCACGTCAGACCTTTCCTGTCTCGCCCGCTGCTCCCCTCAGCAGTGTATTTCGTCAGTCTGCCTGTTCTGTTCCCCACTCTGTCTCTGGTGAATCCTCTCACCCTCCCGCGCATCTGGTCTATACCCCGGTTCTTGCATTCAAAAAATACATTAAAAAAACAAAAACAAAAAATAAAAAAACAAGTGTTGGTGAGGACATAGAAAAATAAGAAACTTTGCACATGTTGGTGGGACTGTAATGGTGCAACGATGTATTAAAACAATATGGAAGTTCCTCAAAAAATTAAAAACTTATCACATGACACAGAAATTCCACTTCTGGATATACATCAAAAAAATGAAAAGCATGGTCTCGAAGACATTACACATTCGTATTCATAGCAGTAATCATTCACAATCACTAAGAAGTGGAAGCATGCAAAATATTCAAGAACAGATGAATAAACAAATTGTCAAATACACATATATTGGAATACCATTCAGCTTACTTAAAAAGGAAGTCAATCCTGTCATATAAGTGAAACTTGAGGACATTACACTAGTGGAATAAGTAAAAGAAGACAAATACGATTCCATTTATATATGAGATGTCATATAAACTCACAGAATAAATTCATATAAATAGAATGGTAGTTACTCGGGGAGAGGCAAGTGAGAACAAAGATTTGATGTTCAACAGATATAGTTTCAATTGTACAAAATGAAAAGTTATGGAGCTCTGTTTGATAACAATATGAATATACTTAATATTTCTAAGTGCCAAATTCCAAGCAACAGACCACCAAGGAGAGTCAACACTCCTGGAAGGTACACTTAAAAATGTATAAGATGAAGAGAAAACTAGATTTGCAATGAGAAAAACAGGTATGATACTCTTCACTATAGTACATGTAAAATGTGAGTGGTTTAAACTTCACATAAGAACCAATTCTACATTTTTAGCTCAGTTTAAAAATACAGAAGAAAATAATTTTCTATTAATGTATTTTCACAAATTTTGTACCTTAAATATTTCCCTTAATATACTGTAGAAGGCTATTCACAGTATCATTATTTTAACAGCAAAAGATTGGAAATCACTTACGGGAGAATGATAGAATAAATTACGGTATATCCTTAAAAACGGAGTATTTTTAAGTGGAATAAAGAAATGTCTGTATTTACCACAATGGAACAATCCCAGGACATGTTGAGTGAAAAAAACCAAGAATAGAAGTGTATATAGTATAATTTCTCTGAAATATTTTACCTAGAATATTTAGCTTTGGAATCCGAAAATTATAAAATAAAAATAAATCAAATTATTTCTAACTACCCGCAGAGTAAAATTTATAGTAAAAACAAACCAAAAAATCAGAGAAACCTTAATCACTCTGATAGCAATAATACCAGTATTTTGACATTGCACTGCATTCTTTCTACATGTATACAAACACATAAATCAAGTAAGTAATTATGTTAATTAGAAAAAGTAAAGTGGGAAAAATCCAGTAAGTTTATCAGAATAACTTACATATTTTTGTCTTAAGGAAAAAAAAAAGAATTTCTTGTTCTGTTCACTGAATACCTTTAAAAGATGTCAACCTATTAAAAATGAGTACCCATAATGCCCAATTGTATGCCTTCTCAATGTTATTTCCAAAAAAATGGGGGAAGTGATTCCTTTTAGAAATGACTGATTACCACTCTGGGGCAGGAAATGTACAAGATGAAACCAAAACATCTTATTGGAACTAAAAGCAAAGATGCCATAATACCAGGGTTATGACAAAAAGACTAAGGAGACAACTTGCAGTGCGCTTCCACTGCCAACAATGAGACAATGTGCATACCATTACTATGCCACTTTGTCCTGGTTTTGTCTATCTTCTCCACCCTCTACTCCTATTTCATCCCCTTCCTATCCCAGTACTACCCACCGTCTTGATACTTAACTCCCATACTCTCAAGAAATTCTCTCTACCTCTTTTCCTCCTGTTTTACTGGCCATAATTGTCTCACAGTTTTCACTTGGAAATTTCACCACCTCATCAGAGGAAATATTATCAATTTACAGTTTTGGTTCTGTGTAGAATTTAGAAATATAGTTAAAGAACTCAGAATTCTCGTAAAGATTTGTATTCCAAGGCTATCAGTTTCACATTATTTTACATTAACACAAAAATCTTTATGAGATTAGAAAGGCCTAGATAGGAAATATTTTATGTTTTGAAGGCCAAGGGGCAATATAAAGGATATATAAAGGTATGGATATAACAAGAGAAAACATTTCTACCTATCTTTCATAACAAGTATAATAAAATAAAAACATAAAATATGTCAGGACAGTTATTTGAAATACAGGTCTACTAATGAGAGGAATGAAATTACTCTTGGGGGAGTGGATAACATTTCACTTCATTGGGATTCAAAGTTGGTGTTCTCTATCATCAAAAATGATTGTGGGGCCTCCCTGGTGGCACAGGGGTTAAAGAAACAGCTCTATCAAGTTATCACCAGCCACTGCAACATGAGTTTGATCCCCGGCTAGGAAGCTAACCCACATGGTGCAGCAGACCGCTCCTGTTTTGACTGCGGCTCCCCTCAGCAGTTTATTTCAGTAGATCCACCTGTTCTGCTCCCCACCCTTCTCTGGTGAATCCTTTCACCCCCCAACTGCTGGCCTACACCCCCGTTCTTGTATGCATAAATAAATAAATCTTTTAAAAAATGATTGTGTTGTAGAAAACAGGATGAAGGTTCTTCAAAAAATATAAAAAGGAAATGAAATCAGTACCTCAGAGAAATAGCTGCATTCCCATGCTCATCACAGCATTACGCTCAATAGTCAAGATATGGAAACAACTAACTGTCCATCAACAGATAAATTAATAGAAGAAAATGTACTACACACATACACACACAGTTATTATTCAGTCATAGAAAAGAAGGAATTCCTGCCATTTTGCCACAACATGGATGAAATTAAAGAACATTATGCTAAGTGAAATATGCCAAAGAAAGATACCGTATCATCTCACTTATGTGTAAAATCTAAAAAAGTCAACACACAGAAGCAGAGCAAGGTGGTAGTTGGTCAAGGTTTAGAGTAAAGAAAATGAGAAGGTGCCAGTCAAAGGATACAAATGTTCAGTTATGATGAATAAATTCAGAGGCACTAACGTACACCAAGGTACCAGAGTTAATTATATTGTGCTGCATACTTAAATTTTAAGATTTATTTATGCACACACAGGCCAGAGGTGCGGGGGGTGGGGTGAGAAGATTCACCAGAGACAAAGTGGGAACAGAACAGGCAGATTGACTGAAATATACTGCCAAGTGAAGCAGCGGGCAAGACAAGAGAGGTCTGCTGCGCCGTGTGGGTAGCTCCCCAGCTAGGGATCAAACTCTTGATGCTGAGGCTGCGGGTAGCTTCACAATGCTGTGCTTAACCCCTTGCACTACCAGGGAGGTCCCATACAATTAAAATTTGCCAAGAGTAGACCTTAAGTATTCTCACCACACACAAAAAAAGGTAACCATATGAGATGATTAATGTGTTAATTAGATGATTGTGATAATCACTTCACAGTTAGATGTATATAGAGTAACATTTTATACCTTAAGGAAATACAATTCTTGTCAATTATACCTCAATAAAGTTGGAAAAAGAATTGATTGAGAAGGGTGGGAGAGTATGCCACACCAAAATATGTCACATTAGCATAAGAGTTATTTGGAACTGTATCACTTAAAAAACAGCAGATACAAGAACATTCTGACCTCTCCTTTTCTTCCTAAATGTAGGTGCTGTAAATTCCATGTAAAAGATATCCTTCCTATACCAAGAGGAAAGAAACCTTCTTATCACCAGAGATGGAGAGTCAAGGTGGAGGAATTCTCTAAAAACAAATCTTGTCAAAATAATTTATCTTCCTTTAGCATCCCTAAATATTTGTTACTTTTTCCCAATTACCTCTTTGTTCAACTTAGCATAAAAATAGCTAGACTTTACTACTTTTTGGGTCTTCATTTCCTTAAAAAAGGCTAACATGTCACATAAAACTGGTATCAAATAAATCTGTATGCTTTTTTCTTGTTAAATATTTTACATCAATTCAATACTCAAGCCCACCCAAAGATACTAAAAGGGTACAGGTATGCCTTCCTTACAATAAGACATGCTGATCTATTAATGCTGATGTGAAATGAGATTTGTCATATCTCATATTTGAAAATTTCTGTTCTTACAAATAAGTGCTGCCAAATACT